ACGGTGCATGTCAGGTGGGGTCAAGTTTTTATACTTGATGCTCTCCAGATATAAGGCGGCTGATGCTTGTGAAGTTGAGAATATAGTGGAGAGAGTTACACCACGACTTCAACACGCTAATTGTTCTGTTGTACTTTCAGCTGTTAAGGTGACTTTTGTTTCCCATTCATTATTTGCTTCAACATCAGTATTGTCTATTATCAATCTACATATGAGCATTCCATAATTTTGTGCCTTCACCTCTTTCTTATTGCTTTCCAGATGATCCTTCAACAAATGGCACTTATCACTAGCACTGATGTTGTTCGAAATCTTTGCAAAAAGATGGCTCCTCCTCTTGTGATATTACTCTCTGCCAAACCCGAGATACAATATGTTGCATTGCGGAATATCAACCTTATAGTACAAAGCCGGCCTACAATTTTTGCCCATGAAATCAAGGTGGCTTGATATGGAATAAAACATGTGGATTTGCCCACACACATGCATTTGCACTTTTTGCATGGCAGCTTGATTTGTATTTCAGTATCAATGCAGTACCCTTGCATGTTTGCTTATCAAATGCTTATTCTTGCTAGGTGTTCTTCTGCAAGTACAATGATCCAATTTATGTGAAGATGGAAAAGGTAGAAATCATGATAAAGCTTGCTTCTGACTGAAATATAGACCAGGTATCCCAATTTTGGTGTTATGGATTTCTATTGATAGTTTTTTCTCCTGCATTTAAGATGTATTAATGTTGATATAATAAAGTCATAATGCTGAGATTTGTAGGTTTTATTGGAGTTTAAAGAATATGCAACAGAAGTAGATGTAGATTTTGTCAGAAAGGCTGTTCGTGCCATTGGTCGTTGTGCTATCAAGTTAGAAAGAGTAGCTGAACGGTGCATCAGTGTTTTGCTTGAGTTGATCAAGATTAAAGTAAACTATGTTGTTCAAGAGGCTATTATAGTTATCAAAGATATCTTTATAAGATACCCTAACACATATGTCCTATCTTTTATTCTGCTATTTATTGTTGCAATATAATCCAAAACATAAAAATCATATCATTACATTTGTTAATAGTAATAGAAACCTCATTTTTGCACCTTGGAAGCCCTGCTGATGATTTCCTACTAACCTTCACAGGCACGAATCCATCGTTGCAACCCTCTGTGAAAGCTTGGACACTTTAGATTAGCCAGAAGCTAAGGTACCTTTGTGTCACATGTTGCAAAAATATTAGTACAGTGTTTTCTGTTACTACTGTTAAGTTGTTTTTCCTTAGCTCATATTTTGTCCTCTTCTTACCTCCTCTCTGTAAGGCATCAATGATTTGGATAATTGGAGAATATGCAGAAAGAATTGACAATGCTGGTGAGCTCCTTGAAAGCTTCTTGGAGAGTTTCCCTGAAGAGTCTTCCCAAGTTCAACTGCAACAGTCAAACTTTTTCTTAAGAAGCCAACTGAAGGCCCGCAGCAGATGATTCAGGTCTTGCGTTTGTATTCTTCATGCGTATTGTTAGTTTCTGTTCTGGCTTTATCACATTTGCATTTGCAAGGATTTCACCAAGGGTTTTATTATCTTTGATTACACATACTATTTTTACCCAAAAAATTGTCTGATTTTTCTCTATATTGACAAAACAGGCGTATAGGGATGCAGGCCATAACATTTTCATGGGAAATACACATAGCATCATACTTTTCCCACCGAAGACTGCTGAGCCTTCCCTTGCCTTAGTTATCTGGCAATACAAGTTGTGCTAAGTGCTGTGTATTTTATAAAATATTTGAATATCCAAAGAATTATTTCTATCAAAGTGTATGGGTATCTTTGGCCATGCATCTATTTCTGTTCTAGTGCAGAGAGATTAATTTTATCAGGGGAAAAATATAGTTTGTGATTTTCAGAATTATGTATTCCTTTACCAATGCAAAACCCTAGTTGTCTGAAATGAAATTTGCATAATTATTATGGTTAGAGTTGTCATCATTGTGGTTGCCATATTTTTAGCAACATGTTTCATTTCTTTTACTTAGCTATGCTTATCTTGGGACATCACATCCCGGCTAATTTTTATTATGTGGGTTTTGTTTACAGGTTGTATTAAATAATGCTATTGTGGAAACCAACAATCCTGATTTTTGGGACCGTGCATACATCTATTGGCACCTTCTATCAACTGATCCCGAGGTATGATTTTACTCTAAAGTCTAGCCAATTGCGGTTCATTGTTCTATGAATTAATCCTTCAAAATTTTAGGACTCATTTCACTACAGATGCATCTTTAATTTCTATTTCCTTTTCTTACCTTGAGAGGCTAGATAAGTATTTTGCTTTAAGCGTCTTCATCTCTGATCTGAGGACTGCTTTTAAGTCGGCCATCGGCCATACTATATGACTATGCTCAGCTTTAGAATGCCTTTCATTATGTCTATATGATTAGCTATGTGAGGCTTTTTGTTTAAGGATTTTTCCTGTCTCTGTGTGGTGGTCTTCTCTATGATCCAAACAGTCCCAAATCTTCAGGGTAATGCAGGGTTGCAATAGATAGCCATTGTTGAACACAGGTGTCATTGCTGACATGAATTTGTCATTTAATGGTACATCTAGACCACATGCGGTAAGTTTTACGTGGTTGAGCCTTACTATTTTTCCCCTCAGGCAGCTGAGGATTTCATGTTAGCTGGGAAACCAGTGATCAGTGATGATTCAAACCAACTAGATCCAACTCTTCTTGATGAGCTTCTTGCAAATATTGCTACACTGTCTTCTGTGCATCACAAGCCTCCAGATGCTTTTGTAACCAGTGTGAAGACTGCAATTCAGAGAACTGAAGGCGATGACTACCCAGATGGAAATGAAACAGGGTATTCTGAATCACCTGCTAATGCTGCTGCTGGTGTTGCATCACCTCCAACTACTTCAACTAGTGGCCCATATGCTGCAGGTAGGCAGCCAGCTCCAGCTCCAGCTCCAGCTGCTCCTGCACCTGCTGCTCTGGTGCCTGATTTGTTAGTTGATCTTATTGGCCTTGATAATAATGCAATTGTCCCCGCTGATCAGCCATCAACACCTTCTGGGTAAGTATGCTAGAATGCATGAATCATCTTGGTTTTTTCAGATAAGTCTCCTTTTAGCTACCAGAACATTTTGCTGCAAATGTGACAAATGTTCTTTAAAATATTTATGTTTTTAACACTAAAACAAATTCCCAGCTTTTCACATATTTCTTATGTTATTGGAGTTATGTGTGTATCTTATACATGCATACATGTTGCAGCCCTCCTTTGCCTATTCTACTGCCAGCATCAACTGGACAGGGTTTGCAAATCAGTGCACGGTTAGCTTGACAGGATGGTCAAATATTTTACAGTTTACTGTTTGAGAATAACTCACAGATTGCACTAGATGGATTCATGATTCAGTTTAACAAGAATTCATTTGGTCTATCAGCCGCTGGACCTCTTCAGGTAATTATGACTTGGGTGGTCTTTAGTTTGTTTATTATTACATTATTGCAGTTTAATCAATACTGTATATTAGGTTCTACCCTTGGCACCAGGAGCAATAGCAAGGACATTGCTGCCGATGGTATTGTTCCAGAAAATGTCTGCTGGTCCTCCAAGCTCTCTTCTGCAGGTTGCTGTGAAAAATAATCATCAGCCAGTCTGGTACTTAAATTATAAAATTTTGTTGCATGTGTTCTTTACTGAGGATGGTAGAATGGAACGAACTAGTTTTCTTGAGGTAAGAAATTTGTTCCATATTTCTTTGGTTTCTTGTGGTACAAAGTTGTCAAAAGCCCTATGTCATGAAGGATGATCATTGCTGAAAGGTCAGTCTATCACCAAGTCCTTTTGGAGCTTGTCTGACCATCTGCCATGTTTGTGTAGCTTTGATCTCCACCCCCCCCCCCAAAAAAAAAAATTTTCAGAGAGGTTTTTCTTTGATGATATTGATTCTATCAATTTAAATTGAATGATTTCTTCCCATTATTTAGACATGGAGGCTGAAAGAATTTACAGGCATTGTGGTTAGCAATGCAGAAGCAACCCTCGACCGATTAGCTGCATCAAATATGTTGTTTATAGCGAAGCGCAAACATGCCAATCAGGATGTGTTTTGCTTCTCTGCCAAGATCCCTCGAGATATACCTTTCTTGATTGAACTTTCAACAATAATTGGAAGCCCTGGGGTCGAGTGCGCAATCAAGACTCCAAATCCCGAGATATCACCATTGTTTTTTGAGCCATTGAGATACTCATGAAAGCTTGATTCTTTCCTCTTTGTTATTTTGAAATAGTACAAAATTTGTCAGTGTATGTAAAATTCATCTTAGCAACTGAGGTTTTGGATTCACATTCTTGCTAACTCCACCCTCCTCCCCTTTTTGCCCTTCTCTCTTATAGTGACAAAAAGGAAGCAGAAAGAAAAAGAAAGAAAACAATCCCTGCATGCCTGCTTTCCTCGATTTCAGTCATTTTTAGTGTACGTGTATTTTACTGTCAAAAACCATTTGCACAGTTAACTCTTCGATCTTCATTTCTTTTTGAAAAAAAATATATAATTGACTGTGAAATCAAGAATAGTAAGATTATATCGAAAATCGAATGGAAGACTAATTGTTACATCTTTCGTTTCGTGAACCTTGCAGCTTATTATTATCATGCAATGTCAGAGGAGCTATCAAGAGCGTAAATATTCTCGAAGGGCTTATTACCCAGATAGTGTTAAGAACAAATTATTATTTTACAATAAATAAGTGCTTGCGTAATGTAAATAATAATAATAATAACAATGCTTACTCTTATGGAAAGTTTGTCATGTGCCATGACAGATATTTGCCACTGATTGGCTTGCCAAAAGCAGTCACCAAGCACACTTGTAATATTGGAGACCCCACCAACGGAACCCTTCTCTCACCTCTCCAACTCACCAAGAAAAGATAAATACCCTTTTTCAACACGTGAGCTGCACCTGCCACATTGTTTAATCATTAATGCTCGTGATAGCCCTTTTTGGGTTTTCTAGCCTCTGCTTGATTCGATTGTCTTAGAAGAGACAAGCTATAACCGAGTTGGGGCATCCGAGTTGACTCAGGCAATTCTCTGAGAAAGAAAAGGTAAATCTTCAATTTTTACTCTGGTTCCATGTTAATTTTTGGATTTGGGCTGTTTAAACCTCTCCGATTTAGTAAAATATCAATAATTAGAAAAAAACCGTACGCTATTTTCAAAGATTTTCAGTGTTTTATGGCTGTGGATCTGAATTATAATTTTCAATTTTGTTCGTTTTTGTTCTAGAATCAAGATTCAAGATGGAAAACTCGTTGATTTATGTAATTTATAATGGAAACCCATGAATATTTTACTGTTATAAACTGAAATTGTTATGTTTGGTTGCTGAGAAAATGTCTGATAGTGAAAAGAAAAAGAATTGGAATGTTTAAAAGTTTCGCGTTAAAAAGTGCACTTTTTAGTGTTTAAAATCTGAAAATTATGTTCTGTATTGGCAGATGTCGTATTCCAGGGAAGGAAGGTGAGCCTTTTTTTTTCGAAGTATAATCTCTCTTCCCTATTGTAAAAGGTCATTTTCTTTCAATGTAAGTAAATTGAATTTTCTTTCAAACTGATACATTCAGGTCAGTTTCACCGGGAAGAGGACGTCGATCAAGGTCATTGTCAAGGTCCCGCAGGAATCGCTCCAGGTCTAGGTATACAAGCTTAGCTATTTGTTTATCATATTATGTTGGTTCGTATAACATATTAGGGTCATGTTTTACTGGTTTTTTAGCAGTTAAAACTTGTGTTAATTTAGTTTTTATTGCTCCAGGAGCCGTGATTCTCAGGATGCAGCCAATCCAGGAAATAATTTATATGTAACTGGCTTATCCACAAGGGTTACTACCGGTGATCTTGAGAAGTATTTCGGCAATGAAGGAAAGGTATGGAATGATTGTTTATGAAGACAACATGTTTTGTTCTTAAGTGCTCTTATTTCTCTTAATGCCTCTCTATAAGCAGGTAATTTTAGGTTTGTGCTACAGCCTTCAAGTTGCAATATGATACAGCAGGCATATAGGTCCTTGTATGTTTTTGAGCTGGCATATGTTGCATGGGTTTTCAAAGCATGGAACTTGAAACTATGTTGTAGTTTTTCTTAAAGTGTTGCTCCACCTTGTTTAAGTTAAGGGTGTAAGTGGTTCCTTTGCCTTTGTATAACCTCTATGGTAACAGAAAAGTGTAAAATATTACAACAAGAGTCACCTTAGAACTATAAGTGGGTGTAGGTTGTGCGTTGATCTGTCTCTGGAATTATATCACCTGTGTTTTTGTTCCAGGTTGTGGAATGCCATCTGGTTACAGATCCCCGCACCAGAGAATCTCGTGGATTTGCTTTTGTGACCATGGAAACAGTTGAGGGTGCAGACCGCTGCATCAAGTATTTGAATCGTTCAGTGCTCGAAGGTCGATTAATCACGGTGGAAAAGGTATTAATTTATACCAAGGATCTAATAGTTAGTCCGTCGTGAAGTTAAATCATTTACCTAGAATTTTATCTAAAATTCTGCTTTCTTCAGAAGTGTTGCCTGATAAATTTTGGCAGCAGGTCTTGTATGTGTAGCTTCATCGAAATCTAAGCTCTTAACAGTTCAACCTGTACCCTCTCACGACATGAGTTCCGCATCGACATTCCAAACTCATCAATTCAAACTCAACTATTTTGCTGAGGGTTGTATGCCCTTTTTTCCTTTCCTACATCAGTAACAATATCTGGAGAGGCTGTTTATTATTTCTGTGTCATTTTTGAAATACCCTCAAGACATACACGTTACATCAATTTGTTGGTCTTTTCGTGCTTGTTATTTGAAGGTGAATATCTAATCTTATTCATTACAATATAGATTGGTTTAAAAGATCAGTCAGCCCTCAGTTGAAATGCTGGCCATAACAGCCCAAGGCTGCATGCTTGTTTAATATTTTTGAAAAATTCATACTGGTTGTGTAGACCTCCTGCATATGTCTATTTCAATGTGGGACTTCCAGGATCTTTTAGTGCAAAAGTTAGTTTCAAATTTTGCATGTTGAATTACCAGCTTGCCTTATCTGCCATATGTTAACTTGCTTTGTGCTAACTATGCCAGGCAAAAAGGTCCCGTGGAAGAACACCGACTCCTGGGAGGTATCAGGGTTTGCGAGATAGAAGAGGTAGATACTATAATCACTCTTGCTATTGCATTTTTCTGGAAGTTCTTTATGATTTTTTTTTTCAAGTTATGTTGCCTTGAAACTTTGAGCTTGTTAAAGTTTGTCCTTTTTTCCCTTTATAGAACTTGTTAACTCTAGAACAGGTAGGCATTTGAACATGATTATCTTTTTCAAGCATTCTTAGATATTGATCAACTTGCCAAATATATGCAGGACAGGGTCGCAGAAGGTCTCGTAGCTACTCACCTCGACGATATGATAGAGATCATTTTTCAAGGGGTAGGCAAGGAAGATCACGATCTCGTTCTCCGCATGGTAGGAGAAGAGATGATTATGATTCATATAGGAGGCGCAGAGAGCGCTCCTTGTCTGGTGATGGCAATGGTTATCGTAGATGAGAGAAAATCGATCTCCAATCTCCATATGATAGGAGAAGAGATGATTATGACTCATAGTCATGTGATATCAGCCGGAAAGAGCGCTCCTAGTCTAGTGATGGCACTGATTATCGTAGCCGAGAGAAAATCATTCTCATCACAATTGATCTTGCCACTGCACTTAATTAGTAGTAGTTCATTAGATGAGTTTCTTGATTAAAGTGGGATCATTATAATCGTTACCCCTTTATGTCATCTCTCATGACTGTATTTATGATGTACCCTAAATGTTGTATGAACGTTAACTTTGCCTCTTTTTTGGCAATTAGCTATGATGGTTGGTGAAGAATGTGCCCACAAACATTAGAAATGCTACAATTATCAAGAGATCAAGAATCAAAATCCTCAGTTGGAGAGGATCGTGATTACCTTTGATCCAAAGAAAGGCTGCAAGTAAAGATGAAATAAGTTTCTACAAACCAAAATTTCAAGAAAGAATGTGAAGTGTGAAGACTCGGATTTTTGTTGGACAGCAGCAGCAGCAAGCAAGGCTTTTTGAGTGTAAAGGCTGTTGGATCAATTTTCCATGTTTTTTCCCCCCTTGTTACCGGCGCGCTTTTGCCTTTTTGTGGCTCATGTCGGATCAATTTTGGAGGGAAAAAAACTTGACAAAAAGAGACAAAAGGGTACGGAAATTAAGCAATTGTGCTTGGTAAAAAAATCCAAAAGCAATAAATCAATATGTCAGACCCAAAAAGATTATTATTATATACTATTTTATATTTAAAAAATGTAACACTAAATTTTACATGGGTCGGTGGGAAAGTTTGAAATTTGAATGCTGCAAAGTTAGCATTGGAAGCAAAACTTTTTTAAATGATTGGCGAATGGGTAAAAAATTAGATATGATTCGTGCATTTTTATTTTATATAAAAATTATATATCATAATTTTTGTGAATATGAAAATATAAAATTTTATTATTTTTATTAAATTTATATATAATTAATATTAAAATTTTAAATTATATAATTTTCGTATTTTATATTTATATTGTGTTTGTATTATATTATTATATTTTATTTTAAATTATTAACTAAAAAAAAGTTTTACTAAATTTATTAAATTACAAAAAAATAAAAATGAGAACGAAAAACAAAAAGAGAGGGAACATGTGGGGCTAGGAAAAGGGCCCCACACTTTGAATCCTAAAATCTGAAAGCGGGCTTTATAGAATGCGCTCCAGCTGCATGAGCGGACTTCAAATGAAATTTCAAATTTATTCAATTTGTTTATTAGTACAAATAAAAAATATATCTTTGGTAAAAACAGCCCGATAACTTTATACAGAGAGAGGGGAAATAGAATAGTAAGATTTTCGCTTGGTAGGATAAGATCCGACAGCTGGGTTCTGACACCTGTAAATCAACCGGTCATCGGCTTGGCTTTGTTCTGGATAATAATCAACGGCTTGGCTATTAGTTAGTGATAATTGACAAAGTTACCCAGTGGGGGTCGCAATGTCGGAGATAATTTGACTGAAACTTAAAATTTATTTCGATAAACGGTAAGATTAATTTTGATGAAATTAAAATTAATAATAAAAATTAAAGTAATTATTATAATGATATAATTAAAATTAGTGAAGAAAATATATATTTTGATATAAATATAATGATAATAGTAAGATGAATTATAAAAAGAAGATAAATGATTTTTAAAAATATTAAATTAAAACATAAATTTAATAAAAATTAGAAGTTATTTAATATTTATAAAATTTATTATTTATTCAACATTTCTAAAATTTAATAAAAGTTGAATTTATTAATTTTTATATAATAATAAAATTTATTATTTATTAATTTATTTTATAATAGTTTTATTATATTAAATAAAATAATAATAATAAAATTATTTTACAATTTTTAAATAATAAAAATCAAAATAAATAAATGAAAAAGGAAACATTCTCCGCTCAATTTTTAATGTCCAACAAAAAGGAGTTGAAATTTTTTTTAGGTTTTGATGTAATTGTTTGGATCAAGGGTAAAAGTGGAAAAAAAACCAGCTCCAAATAGCCCCTTTAGGGTTATGTTTTCGCTGAACTGGAACTTGGGATGACAAATTTGTTACTGCTGCGCCGAAATGAGAACATCCAAACGGGTAGCCAGTTCAGTTGTCTTCTCATTTGAAGGTTAAATCTCATTGTACCAGAACTGCAATTACATCCAAACAGGCCCTTAGTCATTGAAAATCATTGTCGGACACCTTGCAAACAATGCTTAAATTAAGGAATTATTTAGATGAATAAGAAAATTAATTTTTGTGAAATTAAAAAAAATAATAATAATAAAATTAATTATTATAACAGTTAGATATATATTTAAATATAAAAGTAATGGTAACGATGAGATAAATTAAAAATAATAATAAAAATAAAATTAGTTACAACAATAGAATATTAAAATTAATTGTGATATATATATATTTAGATGTAAAAATAATAATAGTTATGAAATGAATTTTAGTGTGAAAAAAATATAATTAAAGATTATATTAAAATTTATATACAATAATAAATTTAAATTATTAATATATATAATTAAAAAATAAAAAATATTTTTATAAATAATAATAATAAATTAATAAAACCATTTTAAAAGTCATACATTAATATAATTTTAAAAAATAGAGAAACAAAATGCTTCAATTGCAAAGACATTGTTGTCCTAAGTGTCAATTGGATTTTAGGTGATATTATTTTTGGTGAGTTTAAATATAATAATAAAAATAAAAATAATTATTACAAGGGTGAGATTAAAATTAATATTGAATTATGTGTTTAAATGTAAAAATAATAGTAATGATGAGATAAAAGAAATATTATTCATTAAAAAAATTATATTAAAATTTGGATATAATAAAATTTTTTAAAAGTTTATATATGATCATTTTATATCTAATATTTTTAATAATAATTAAATTAAATTTATTTATATTAAGATAAAATTAAATTTTAATAATGTTTTATTTACTTTATTAATTGTATAATTATTTATTTTAATTAATTTCTTGAAGATGTTTATTTACTACATTGAATTAAAAAATTTATTTAAAGATTTTGAATAAAAAAATGAAAACGGAAGAATAAATGCTATATCTTCAAGGGTAAAAAATAAAACAAAAAAAAAAAAAATGCTAGAAGAAATGGCTGGGAAAAATAATTTTTCATTGGAACTTTTTTAAATAAAAGTACGACGCGATAGAATTCCTCAATCATGTATTTATTGTAAATCTTATTATTTAAAATATGATAAAATAATATGATATAAATATAATATAAAAATAAAATATAAATGTGATATAATTTAAATATATAATAATAATTATATATAAATTTAATAAATAAATATTTATATTTTATATATTTTTTAATATAAATTATAACACATAATTTTTATATAAAATATAATATAAATATATAAATTTTAATATTTTACATGATATAAATATACAAATTATCAAATTTAACTCATACTTAATTTATGTGGATAACAAATTTGACTTTTTTTTGCTGCGAACTACATCTCATCAGGCGTGTAATTGCATCCAAACAAATCTGCTATTACTAAAATCTTTAAATTTTTTTAGAACAAAGTTTAAAATTTTACCATAAAGATCTTTTTTTTTTTAATATGACTTCATATTAATGATTAATCCCATTTGTTTATTTGAAATTAAAAAAAATTAAGAGATTATGAATTTTGTTACCAAATACTGTAACAATTGATAATTTTTTAAAATTATCATATTAAATAATAATTTTTAATACGTTAAAATTTATCATAATAAATATTAATTATTATATTTAATACAATAATATTATCGTAAATTATATTTTAATTAAATTTAAAAATATATTTTTTAAAATAAGATTGATGAATGAGGGGGACAAAATCGAGAGAAAGAAAAAACCTAAGCCATCATAAAGCTGTAAATAAGCATTTAACACAAGGGTGATTTTAAACACACTCTATTTTTTCTTTTCACACCTTTTTTAATCATTTTTAAATAAAATTACTAAATTACATTTCATCTTTTATTTTCACACCATTATCACTTTTTAATTTTTGAATTTGTAAATTGTAAAAAATTTTAAAATTTGTATATCCGAAAGCTTAAAAATTTTTGAATCAGACCATTGAAATGAATAAAAAATTTAAAAACTCACATGCATAATTTTTTTTATTAATTTGTAAATAAATTTATATTTATTTGAAATAATTGGTATTTTTTCTTTACATGATACAAAAATTTTCAAGATATGAAAATTTTTTCTTTTTTTTCTAAACCTTAAATTAAATAACATATATTATTTTTTAAAATCCGATAAATTATATAATGTATAGGATATTCATACCTAATAAATTATAAAATTTTTTAAAAAATAAATATATGAAAACTTTAAAAGTGAAATAAAAATAATTAAATAATTTTATTTAAATATATTTTTGAAAAAAAAATTCAATGTGAAGAGAAAAATGGATGTACGTTTAAAACTACTCTTCACATACGGTCACGAATAATTCGTGTCCCGTAAGTGCGTAGAAGAACCATGCAAAACAATTTTCTTAACAAACAAGTAATCCAGGGCCCCACAAGATCCTTATCAGTCCAGCCGAGATAACACAGGCCCCCACCTCCAATAATACGACCAAAAAAAAAAAAGTTTAACCCTTACGCCCACGCTCCCCTAATTAGCCGTTAGCCGAGCCATTCCCCCCCAAATCAACCAAAATGAAATACAAGTAGAAATCTAGCCGGTCATCGCCGGTTACAAAAGAAAAAGAAAGGGTGACCGTGCGGCACATGGCAGGTCGTTTCCAAGGCAGTTGGTAAGCATTTAGTGTGCCTTCGCTCTCTCTCTCTCTCTCTGTTTGTTCGATTCTTACTTCTTTCTAGTTTGTACTGCATTTACCTATTTTTCATGGATTTCAGTTAAACCCTCTCTCTGCTCAAATCCTAGCCTTTTTTCTTCTTCCCCATTTTTATTTTTTAAAAAACATTCAGTTCAGATCCGTTACGATCCCGATTTTCTAAACCTGAAATCCAAAATCCCGACCCGGAAAACCCACCCCTTCCTCGGACTCGGTTTTCTTCCTTCTTTGAATCGTTTTGCATTTTTCTCGTGCTCTGCGGGTAACACTACTGCCAGATTTTTTGGGTTACTTTCTTTTATTCATTGCAAGATTCTTTTGTGACATAATCTTTATGTTTGAATGGATTGTATACCAAAAAAGCTTCTCAATTCTCGATTGGGTTTCAGCATTTTTGTATTGAATTTGAGCAGAACTTGAATGTCACAAAGACTGCTCTTTTTAACAACAAAATTTTGACCTTTTTCAACTTGTCCTTTACTAATTTCCTTGAAGAAAATGCAGCAAAGAGAATTTCAGCTCTTCTTTTGCTTCTATCTCTGTTTTCTTCTTAGATTAATGGGATTTTGATTTCTTGACTAAATTTCTAATGCTTACCTTATATGGATAAATGGGTTTCCTTTGCTATAAGCATTTTTTTAGTTTTTGTTCTATAGTTGGGATTCCTTATCTTTCCTTGTATAGTTAAATTCTCTCAGCAAACAAACATAAATTTTCTTTCTTGGTTGGCTATTGATATGCAATTCAGCTGTAAAAAAGCTTCTTCTTTTTTGTTTTTCACAGGTTGATGATTAAAAATATGGCAGTTTTGATTGATTCAAATTCTTACTTCATTAGGGTTTTAATTTAATTGTGCTTGTTTCAGGTGATATCAGCATGACTTAACAGGCAGAAGCTTAATGGTGAGATAGCATCGCCTTCTTTTATTTATTTATTTCTGGGTTTCATTTATTGAGATCGATCCAATTCCCGTGAATCAGTCATTGGTTTCTCCAAAGCCAAATCCATATTCAACTCTTCCTCAATATTCGTGTCAGTGACCAATTTTTCTCTACTCAGTCTTCAAATTAATTACTCTTTATAAATATGGAATTCTCTTTGTACTTTTTTTTTTTAAAGCTATCTTGTCTTCTTTTACAGGGTCATAAACTAAAGCTCCGAATCTTCTATTAGAAAAACGCAAATAAATGTGAAGACAACTGGGGCTGATGAGTTATTGATTAGAAAAGTCAACTGCTTTTCTGGGGATCTGGGCAATTGGATTGAAGGTTCTTGATAATTTAACTTTGGGGAGGAAAAATGTTGGAGCATGAGCTGTGTGCTACTCGGGTTCTTTCGCCGTTCAGGGAGGAAAGCGGCGATGAAGAGCTTTCAGTTCTTCCAAGACACACAAAAGTTATTGTCACAGGAAATAATAGAACAAAGTCTGTATTGGTTGGTTTGCAGGGCGTGGTCAAGAAGGCTGTGGGCCTCGGTGGTTGGCATTGGCTGGTATTTCCCTTTACTTTCATTATTATTTTTTTTCTTTTTTAAAGTCATCGTTTGATGAACAGAAGCTATGCTTTCGTCCGTATAACTCCTCTTAAAGAGGTAACATTGTAAAAGTTCTGAATTTAAATCTCAACATCTACGATCTTCTGCCTAAGCCTCCTTTTGAAAAGGAAAAAAACGGTTTTCAATTCAAATTCTCTCCTTAACAATTATTCAGTTGTTCCTGACCTTCTGGTTTTTAATTGGTCTGGATTATTCTCAGATTTTTTAAATATGTTTTTTCATGGGGCATTCCAATTGGTTTACATGCAATAGTATACTTGCATGTGATTGGTTGTTTTTTTTAATTACTACTAGTATTATTTACTTTATTAATGTGATATTTTTTTGCATGCGGATATTATATAAAGCCATGTAATTCGGTCTAGGTTTTCGTCTAGAGTTTTACTTTTACTGGTTTCGGCCCCCAAACGAATCTTATTATAGTTAACCATGATTGGCTCTGATGATGATGTAAGTAGACGCTTTGATGTATCCAAGGAACTTGTCTTGCAGAGATTGTTGGCTTTTTCGTCATACTCAATCTTTTTAAGATCTAATAGTTCTACCCAAAAAAAATTTTTTTTGATAGTTGGACCAATATAGAATTTGTTGAACACTTTTGTTATCCATCCAATGATCAGTTTCTGTTTTCCTCACTCAAGGAAAGAAAAAGGAGGGAGCTGCTTTTCCTGTTTGTAATTTGATTCTTAACAGGATATGCAATTTTGTTTTGCATGTGTATCTACTTTTAGTCGGACAAGATGGACCAGACATCAATTTAGATGTTTACGATGTTTTTCCTAAATGAAATTGTCTATGATTAGCTTGGTCTTTTTCTTGATAATTGAAATTGACCTGTGATCTCTTTGCTGCTAATCCCTTTAATAGCTAGATAGCACTTACTCTGTCACCTTTATTTTGTGGAAGAATCATATTTTGTGACACCAGTGCTGCCGTTTTCAAGGTTTTGAAGAATGGGATTGAAGTTAAGCTGCAAAGGAATGCATTGAGTGTGCTGGAACATCCTACAGCGAATGAATTAGATGATGATCATGATTTTGATAACTCAAGCAGTGGCTCAGAAATTGGCGAGAAGGACCATGATTTCTGTAAGTCAAACAATTTCATGCCAGAAGAACATTCTTAACTAAAAACTTTTCTCGTTGCTTTTAACATTATGGTCATCCCCTTCCTTTTCTTTACCTTGGATAGCCACTAGCATTGAGTTCCACAGGCCTGCTAAACCAAGAGTTCGACATACAAAACCATGGGTTCCAACTGCATCCATGAAATCAACAAATCGCAATGGTTACAGAGATGTCCGATCCATTATTCATGCACCTCCATCGGTTAGTATCACCAAAATTTGCAGTGTATCTAAGCGTTTGTTTTATGATTTTGAAGTATGACTATTGTCACATGCCCATAATTGAGAAAATAATTCTAAGTGTATTTTATCATGTGTTTCCCAATTCTGAAGGTAAATCTGGCAAGACTTGACGCCGACTCCTTGCTAAGATATTGCAGGCACTTCAAACTCGTAGGTCCCACTAACTCTCAACCTGATGAATTTTCTTCGAGGGTCTAGATAAAATTAAATTTATCTAATTCAAGGGGTTCATCTATTTTGAACTGTAGGGAGGCAACAATGCTTATTCAACAAGAGATCAAATGCTTAATGCCGTGCAGCAGCATTTTGTGTCACAGGTCTATTCTCTCTTTGAGACTCATGCACATACACATAAACGTGCGACATTTAGGCAACCTTTGTGTTAATCTTACATCCTTTCTTTTGACACAGCCACCACTGAATGAATTACAAGTGATCTCGGAATTCATCACCGCTGCTAAGAGACTGAAACCTGATGAGAAACTGAGTGAGCAACTATGAATGTTTTTAACATTGTATATTACATACATATAACCTTAGATTAGATCTAATTAAAAGACTAATTGGGAAGAGTTGTCAATTGACCAACCGGATTTCTTCCCCGGATTCTAACCTTGTGATGTAGGGCTTCTGCCCTTTGTTATTTTCTGGTATATCTACTATTCCAATAGTGTATTATTCCCAGCCCTTCTATATGTTCTGAATTTCTACTCTGGGTTTCTTTGATAATGGTGGCATGATTGTAAATTTGGGATGAAACAGATTATAGTTTGAGATCTTTCAAAAATCAAAACATTGGTGGCATGGAAATAAACCGGGCCCCAATTATATGATGTTGCTGGCACAGAGACCAGGCTGGCATTTGGTGTCTCGGGATCTGTGCAACAGTCGGTGATGGGGACATATATTCCCGGGCTGCCTCAGGTTCCGAATCAAAGACTCTTGCTTCTTAAATATCTGCTGTTCCATTAATGTTACAAATTTATTTTGAATTAAAATATTTAATGTAATAATTGAATTTTAAAAGTTTAATATTTAAATTATTAATTTATTAATAGTATAATATTCGCATATAATGTGTTTACTTTTTTTGGTACATTTTAATCATTTGTGTCGGTGTACGTTCAAAGTTTTTTAAACTCCTTTTTTTTTTTTCAACTTTCAACAAAATTTTCTACGATGAAACTAGAAATTACATAAAAAAAACTATACTAACAAATGAAAAAAAAAAAAAAGTAGGGAATAGACATGGGAACTATATATAAAGAATTTGGACCATAGAAATATATTTAAAATCTTAATAATTGAGCTTAATGCTTTGATGGTATGGTGCCGTGCCAGTAGAGTTACAATCGTTGTCTACAACTCAAGTCAGATTATTTCTCTATCCAATATTTAACAAGTCAGTCTATCCATTCTATCTTTTAAAAGTAAAAGAAAATTTGTCTACACAGATAAAATTCTACGGCGTGAGTCACAAACTTATGACACTAGCACATCCACCACCATCAAACAATTTTCACATAAAGATGAACTGGAGAATAGTGTAACCACATGCCATTTACAGAAGCAATCCAACAAAAGGAAGCAAACATCTGTTCGCAAGATCAGAGTTTGCAGACTCATGGAACAGAAATATATATATATATATATATATATATACATAGAAAAGAGTTAACGTGCTAGTTTGGGCAACCAAGCAGGTTTTCTGGACAAAGAAGGCACTAAAAACCAGCATTACAGCATCATATTCCCTCTTTTATGAAACTTCAGGCAATCGCTTATTGGTGTAGGTAGAAACTAATGACATGCTGATCTAAACATTTAGAGTAAAGCATACATAGGCCATTAAATATTAACCTTTGAAATGGTATCAAACCTGTTTCTGTTTACTTTATCTGTGTATTTCTTTCTCCTAGCTTTTCATCTATTCATTTGCATGACTCTCTTATAAAATGAAGAAAAAAAAAGGAAATGAAGAAAAAGAAATCCAAAACCAAACTATTGCCAATCTGCAGCGGCCACTAAATATATGATGACGAATGAGAGAAATAAGTAAAAACTGAAATTTTGATGTGCTTGGAAGTTGTAACCTTCGCAACAAACTTAACTTCAAGTAGCTAAAGCTTATCAACGGGAAACGGATCACCGGGTAGGTCGAATATCATTTCCTGCATCATAAGAGAATCAGAACTCTCTTTTTATGTCTTTAGGTTATATGGAATAACTCCTATTTACTTATAAGAGATACAAATAGTTTTAAGACAAACCTTATCGCACACAGGACATGTGTCACTTCTTTCCATCCATTCAAGAATACATGCAAGGTGAAAATGATGCTCACATTTTGTGATAATTTTTGGATTTTCTGCATCATACTCTACCGGAAAGAATAGAAAAAGGATATATCAAAAACCTTTCTACTTGAAAGTCAAAACACTACTTAGCAGAAAATTTTGCAACACCATATTTGGCAGTGAGGCAGAGAAAAGTTTCATAAATTGCAAGGGGAAGACATACCTTCTAAACAGGTCGGACAAACATCCTCCTCCTCGTTTGTAGACACAATTGGTTCAACTGGTTTTGAAAGTTCAATTTCTATCCCCTTTGGTGACTCAATTTCAGTATTCGATTGTGCTTTGCAGTCCAATTTCTTTGTGTTCTCAGATTTTATATAAGTCTCTTGAGTGTTGACAACAACTGTTTCTTGACTGGAATCAACATTTGTCATTTGCACTACTTCATCGCTCTTACCGTTATGAATTCCTTGGGCTACTGAAGGAGTTTGAGAAGGCCTTAAGACTGCATCAAATGGCATTGGAGCCGGAGGAGGTCTATAAGCATCAGGAACTGATACATCCAAATTTGTGTCAACCAGGAGCCCAGTGGAGAGGGCAGAGGTAGCACCATTGTGAGAAGATAAAGGCACATGCTCTTCTAAGGCTCTTGGGTACTGTTAAGAAAAGAAGTTCAACTCAACAAAGATAACAAAATTGCATTCAATATGATAAACAATTACTTCAACTCTAATGGGTTACCTTTGAATAAGTATTTAGTAACCCATAATAAGTATGTGAGCAAAACGGTCAAATAGAAATTCGAATATTCATTTTTTGTTTTCAGGTTGTTCTAAAGTTTAACTCTGACCCATTTTGGCATTAAGGGTGATCATATCATGATCCATGAGCAACTTAGTAAGGGTGATTAGAGAATTAACAATTGGAAACATAATAATTGGTTGCATCCAGACATCCAGTTATTACCACAACGGGAAAAAATAAGGGCCCTAGCATTTCAGCAAATTTAAGACACTTTGATCCTCTCAAGTGCGCTGGTGAGTCCAGTCTAACTCATTTTTTAGCCACATCATGCTTTCACTCCTAAAATTTAGCAGTGTGGCACTTAATAAATTACAAAATACTCTACACTGAACTTGCAATGAGTTGAAACCAAATTAAAAAAAGAAAGAAGTTAAGCATGAGAAGTGAGGATGAGAAGATCAGGCTGAAAAAACTATAACCAAAAAATAGAGAACAACAATTCCATGGAGGGAGAAAATTGTACTAACATAATAATATGCTGGTGCACTATTTATTTCAACTCCTCTAGAAGAGCAACAGCAGCAACCTCCCATTCCTTTTACTTACATCCACTGGCCATATAACACTACTGATATTTGGTACATTAGGATTCCACACCAACACAAAGTAAGAACATCTGCCGTAAGAGAAAGACTAACATCACTCTGGAAGATATAAACAGCATACTATTCCATCCAGTAAATCATATACATGCCAAATGCCACATGACAACGCGATAAACACTGAAAACACTAAGGCAAATGCACTGATTTACAAATACCACAATTTCTAACAGAGTTTCAGAAAAACAACCAACTGCATGAAGTTCTTGGAGGAAAAGTAAAACCCAACAGAAAATAACAAAATTATATCTGGCTTCTCAAAACACTTGTCATCAACAAGCACACAGATGATAAAAAACATAAATAAGACCCTACTACAAAGCCAAGCTGACTGATACCCTTCTCTTACAGTAATAGCAGAATTTGTATGTTCTGAACAACAGTAATAGCAGAATTATAGAGGCAAAAGCAAAAGCATCATCCACTACAGATTGTCAAACACGAATCAAGTTTAGAAAACAACTTGGTTCAATTGTCCTGCCATAATTCCATATCAAGAACTTCAACATAAATTGGTCAACAAGGGCCAATTAAGTAAACTAAAAACCTAACAAGATTGTGGCAACTGAAAAGATAAAAAGCAGCGATAAACCCCAACCCCAAGTTTGCACTCCTCAAGTAATCACAGTGGATGGTCTTAATTGCAAACTTCTAACCAAAGCACACTTTCTTGTCGAACTCTAATCAACCCATGCGCTGAAACAATTGTAACAACAAATAAAAACAGGTAAATTCAATATGAAATCAAACAATAATGAGCTGCCTTCAGTTACTGTTCATCAACTGGCACTAAAATAGAGTTTTAACCGACAACAAACTATCATTGAAATACCTAAAACTGATAAATGTAATAGTAAGAAAATAAAAGAAAATCAATATCCTATATAAAAGCTATAGCCAAACAACTAAATTTCATAAATTTGAGGTAAACCCAGTTAAAGTTATCAATAATTCAACCATTCAAGAACTAATAAGAAAAAAAAATCAACTTATTCTTAGTAAAACCCTAAAGAAACCATAATTTAATCAATAGATAACGATCCAAATTCCAAAAAAAAATGAATAGGATATGAAATTACCTGTTGAATTCAAGAATTCCAAGCGAAAATTCAATAATAACAAAAATAAAAAGAGAGAATTACATAAAATTTTTTATTTATTTACTTATTCATAGAGTGTGATCGTTGTGGTTTTTTCATTGAGAAAGGTCGGCTCTCCATTAAAACTGATTCACTATTGCAGAATTTTTTTAGAATTGTTTCTCGGAATTCTCTCCACGCGCCAACCTTTCCGGTTTATTCCACTCTCCGTATTAAAAGCTTAATAATTAGTATTATATTCGTATAAATGTATAAATTTAGCGACGAAGGATATAAGAAAGTGGGATAGTTTTTGGTGACAACATTTGGTATTTGGAAAAATAATTGAAATTTGATGAGATAAGCATGATTTTACTCTTTTTATTTTTTTACTTTTATAAATAATTAAAATTTTATATAGTTTTTGACTTTTTGCATTTGATGAGATAAGCATGAATTTGAGGTTTGATTTAATTAATTTATATAATTATTTTTAAAATTTAATATTTAAATTTCACCCTTTATTATTTTTATTTACAAATACTAAAATAACATAAATGAGAAGCCAAAATTTGAGCCGTTTAATTGGGTTGTTATTTTTGAATGATTCTTTTAGGATTAGGTTTATTTCAGAAGTGTCACTCAGTTAGAACCCAAAACAATGGGGGCGATTTGTTTCAATGATCCAAGCCCAATCACATGGGGATGGCCCCAATTAGAACCCAAAATTCGAGATGGGGCTCAACTTTTGTTGTGGCACGTAGCATGATTCACGGTTTTTTATCAAGTCAAAGTAAATGTTTTAAAAAATTTTAAGCTAAACTTAGTCAAATTCAGGATTTTTGAAGTTTAAAAATTCAAAATTAGATACTTTGAATTTTGTTTTTATCAGTCAATTTGCCCATCACATTAATATAAAAAATTTTATAACTAACCCATTAGTTTTAATATTGAAAATGGAATCCCATTTTTACAATAATTTATAAAAGAAAAAAAAAACGACAACCCCATATTTAAAGGTGTTCATAGTCAGGTTGGGTTGGACCGAACTCATACTTGATATTAATAATTTATATATTTATTTAAATTTAACTTGACTCAAAATTTTTTATCTCAAAATTTTTTTAAGTTTCGTTCAAATTAAAAAATTAAATCTCAAACATACTCATTAAATTTAATTTATATACTAAAAAATAAAAAATATGATTAAATTAAATTAAATTAATTAAATTTAATTCACATATATAATTAAAAGTAAAATTGATATATGTAAAAATTAAAAATAAAATTAAAAAAATTTAAGTTTAATAAAATATATATTATTTTTATTTTTATTTTTTTTATATATGTGAATTAATTTATATATAATTTACATATATATAAAAATAAAAAATTTATATATATATATATATTCGAATTAGATTGAGTCAAGCTCAGATTTTAAATATTTGTCTAAGTTTCGATCTAAAATTTAAAAAAATCTAAAAATTATGTCTAAATTCATGTAATGTATTTTAAATTTTTGTTTAAATTATCTTAAAATTTAAACGAATTTTCAAGTTTGGACGAATAATTCTATCCTTAAACATCTCTAGAATAGGGATTTTGTATATAAACATGATTCATGTATATAAAACTATGATCTTCATATCAAAGTTCGATAATTGCTTATTTATATTTAATGCTGCAGTTTTAATTGATCAGTGTCACTGATTCCTTTCAGTGGGCTCTGGCTTTATCTAAACTTGATTGCTATTTCCCATGGTTGATTACTTTAAGTTCCATTTCATTTTCATTTTCACCTCGCAACAAACCATACGATTTAGAGGATAAATTACTTCCTTCTTACCATGTTCAACCATTCATGCTATTAAACAAAAATAAAACCTGTTATATCAACATGTATAGTTTCACATGTTAACGTTTAATTTATTTGTTGAAAGTATGGACCTGACATGCTGATAAAGTTTTTATGACGCATTGTATCTTTGGATTTCTACAAGAGTTATAATTTGACTCTATGTTAATATAATTTTTAAATTTTATAGGTGGGAGTAACAGATTGGTACGTGATTTATTTTTTAATTATTTTTTTAATTTTTAAATATATTTTAAAGGGTATGTATCATCCAATTAACTTTGCTTGTGAAATCTAAAATTTTTAGTGATAATTGATGAAATAATTTCTCTTTATATAATAATTAGTTTATGATCCGTGCAGTATATAGATTAATTTATTTATTAAATTTGAAGTTATGATTATAAAAAAATATTAAAATTTAAACAAATATATGAACAAAATATAAAGGTGTTATTCAAAAGTATTGAATTTCTTTCTTTTAAAATTTTTTAAGTAAAAATGGATGATCTGATTTTTCATAAACTATTTTCTAAATTTGTGTAATTTTTCAATTTAAACTTGAAATTAATACATTTAAATTTACAAAATTATGCAAAGTCTTGAAAAATAGACACATTTCTCAGCCTATGGATATGAATTGAATAATACTTAAAAATACAATGATGTACAAATTAATTAAATTATCATTTAGAATAAAAAATATATAATTTCATCTTCACCTTAATTATTTTCCGGCTTATATTGAAATATCTCTATTTGATGAAAAATTTTCTTATATTACAAAGTTAAAGAAAATAATATTTTTTATTATATGAATAATTTGATTCAAAAAGTAAAAGATTTGTAAGTACCTAGAAAAAATTTTAAAACTTTAACTTACAAATTTTATTTTTTAAATTTTTTAATTTTATAATTTTAATAAAAATAATGATCAAAGTTAATTTTATTTAACTCAAAAAATCGATACAAGACAAACATAAAATAATAAATATAATACGTCATAAGTTGCATAGAAAATATTTTATAATATGGTGAATATATACAAATATTATAATTAATTTTGTTCTTAAAAAATTATGCTTTTAATTTTTTATAAATTAAAAATACATATACCTAGATATGATACCTACAAACAAGAAATAAAATATTAATCATGACATTATGATGTTAAAATTATATTTATATATATATTTATTAATTATATCTACACATCCACGTCAATGCAGAATTGAATTCAACAGTGAATTCTAAAACTATACTTAATCATTTTTATTTAAAAAATTAAATACATTGAATGTCATTTTTTATTCTTTTGGTGCAACAAAATATATTAGACAAATACAGCTCACGTTAATATTATTTTACTATTACATTAGGAAAATCAAAAGCGTCTTAAATTTTAATATTAAAGCATACAAACCTTAATTTTTATTTTTTTGAATAGTCTCATTAAACAAAATGTAATATTTAAATATTGATATTATAACTTTTATTGATTATTAATTGATAAAACTATTGTTTTGTCTAATGGGATGTTTGATTTTGAAGTTCTAATTCCCCTAATATAAAATAGAACCTATTAATCTTGAAAGTAAATTCTAGAAAGAGGTAATTATAGCACAAAAATCTCATAAGTTAATGACAAAACTATAATTTTTGATAAAGTATAACTAAACAAACATCAATTCTTACTTCCTGCAATAATTTTGTTAAACAAAATGCAATATTTAAATATTATCATTATAATTTTTATTGATTTTTATCGAATAAAATTATTGTTTTGCCTAATAGGATGCTCAATTTTGAAGTTCAAATTCTCCTAACTTAATATATGACATATTACTCTTGAAAGCATATTTTAGAAGGAGGTCATTGTAGCACGAAAATCTCATATGTCAATGGCAAAGCTATAATTATTGATCAAGTAGAACTTGACATTTTTCACTTTGATATTTTTTAAAGGGAATATTAATTACCAACAAAAAATCTCGAAGCTTTGAGTTGGGTGTTTAGTAATTATTTTTGTAATTATCATCCATTTTAATCAATTAAACAATTGTTAAGAATCAAAATAATAGTTTCTCAAAATCCAAAAAAAAAAAACATATATAACTGGTAGTGAATGAAAGAGATGAAGATGATACTTTACTTGATATAAGTACAACTAATGCCATAGACATGTGCAATTGTGAACTAAATGAGTAATAGGAGAAATTCAACTCAAGAATGTTTCATCTAAATGGAAGACAATGTCCATTAAATAGTAAAATAAATGATATTTGATTTTTTTAAAAATTTACTAGAAAATTTATAAAATTAAAATTATATTTAGAAAATTTAAATTTAAAAAAGATATATTTAAATTATATATATATTTTAAAATTGTTAGAGATATACTAAAGTATATTTTTTTAAAATTTTTAAAAAGATATATCTAAACGTTCATTTGAAAAAACAAATAACAAAATTATTGATTTTATTATAAATCTATTTGAAAAAAGTGAGATTGGGATAAATTTTATCTTATTTAAATTAAAATAAAAACTCTTGAAATATTAGAATAAATCTATTTTTGAAACTTTCAAATATTTTTTAAAATTAAATAATTATTGAATAGGATTATTTGGTTAAAATTTTAAATTAAATTATTATCTTATGTGTAAAAAAATATAGATTATTTATGTAAGCATCCTTACGTAATATACTTTATCAAATATCTATGTCTTATGTAATATAATATATATAATAGATTTTTCAAATATGAGATTTTTTTACTTGTTAAAGTTTACGATGTTATGTGCTTAGCATTTGATTTGATATTTTACTTTCAAATAAAAATAAAAAATTACTTATTTTTAAATAAAAAATGAATTATAAGTACTAAGATTTTAATTCAGATTTATTAAATGGTATTTCTAAAAAATGATTGTATGATTAATTTATTAAGTTTAAAATTTATTTTTTGATATTTGAAATTGTTAAAAATTAAAATTAAAAATTTAACATTTCATCGTGTTGATATTTCATTTAATTATTTTTATCAAGATAATAATAAATGAAAAGGAATTAAAATTTTATATTTATGTTACAATTAATGATACATAATTCTAATACAATTTTAAATTATAAACTTATAAGTAATATTATTGGTTTATCTTTTTAAAAAGAAATAGTGCAGTGGACAGCAGTAATAAGTTTTGCTTGTTTTTTGTGCCAGAGCTTATTCAATGTATTGTTTTTCAATCACCTGATTTTGTTGTCCAAAATTGGCCAAAAAAATGATAAATCCATTAAAAAATACTGTGGCATTCCTGAGACATCTTCTTTTACGGGCCTCATGGGTAGGGCCTAATATTTAGTTACCTTTATTATTTTTTAAAATATTTATATGATATGATATAAAAATATTAAAAAAATTTAAAATTTAATAAAAATTATAAATAAAATTAAAAATTATATTTTATATTTTTATACCGATATACAAAAAATTCATACATAATTTTTATATAAAATATAAATAAATATAAGAATAGCCTGTCTCCAATAAATTCTAAAAAAATTGCCATATTTTTCTTGCTGTAGCCCATTGATCATTTTCTAAAATCCCAAGACACATGAACCTTACTCTAGGCTATCTTCATACCCTTTTGTTTTGTCCAATATTTTTCCCGTTCTCTCTGCAACTCTGTAGATTAGATTGGTTCGGCTTCTAAAAAGCAAAGATAATCAACAAAAACAAAATACCCACCAACAAAAATATGAGGTAATAAATTTGAAGACAAAGGGGCAAAGGATCTTACTTCCTTATGCCCACTTGATGTTTCAATTTCTTTTGTTATTTCTTCATTATCGTTTCTTTTAATCTTTCACCAGCCCTAAAAAAAAGAACCGTTTTTGATATAAAAGATTGAAAGGAAAGCAAACGAAAGAAATTCTAATTTTCATGGCAGGATGGTCAATTTTAACAAATTGGACCCAGGTGTTGGTCATGTAACACAGGATAGCGTTGAAGAGTCTGGTGATGATAAGGATAGACTAAGATGCTTGTTTGATCTGGTTCTTTCTGGTTATCTAAAAGAGGTTGCTAGTAAGGGTTTTGTTAGGCCTATGCCAGCAATGATTGGAAATGATGGGCAATCACCAGATTTGCTCAAGCTTTTCCTTGTAGTTAGGGAGATCGGAGGGTACGAGTTCGTGTCAGAAAAAGGGTTATGGGCTTTTGTGGCGCAAGAATTAGGGTTGGATCTTGACGTTTCAGCTTCGGTTAAATTGATATATGCCAAGTATTTGCATGAGCTGGAAAAATGGTTGAGTCAGAGTGGTCGAAATTTTGGGTTCTTGTCAATGGAGCAAGAGAAGGAGTTTAGAGGTTTGTTTACAAATGGGGTTGATCGAAAAGTAGTAGTAAACCGAGTGGCTCTATTGGAACGTATAAAAAATGACAAGTTCGTTGATAAGGATACCAAGAATGATGTCGAGAAAGTGTTTGGTGATGATGACGAAAAAGTTTATGGAAATGATCTTGCGGGGCTTGGTCCACCTGTTGCTAGGAAAGAATTTAGTACTCGTAAGAGAAAAAGGGAATCTTTATCAGGAATGCTGAAATGGGTAATCCAGGTTGCAAAATGTCACGACGATCCTTCAGTTGCTGCAATATTGGAGCCATCTAAGTGGAAAGAACATCGAGGCAATGAATTCTGGATACAAGCCATCAGGGCACGCGAAGCTTTAAGGCAGAAAAGGGATGATCATTCAGCCACTGAACAGTCTCTCTTGCAGGTAAAGTTATTATTATCGGTTAAATAAAGTTGTCCAATAAAATAAAACAAAATATTTCTATATGAAGTTGAAAGATTTTGAAATTTCCGGTTCGCAAATTTGAAATTTCCATCATAAAATTTTGCTAGAGCATTATTACACCAACTTGGGTGGTTTAAACCTTACTTGGCTGTTTGGAACAGTAACCATTGCTGTAGATTGGAGTTTTTTAGACCAGAATCGGCAAAATAAATGAATTCTCAATATATGAAACCTTTGGTTATCAAGGCAGAAGTTTGTAATGTGGATTTTACTGACTCTTATTTGAAATTAGGTTAGTTGTCAATTTTAACGGCATATTGCTGTTTAATTTACAGAATAATCAAAAGATGCATCCATCCATGTATGAGGATGACTTTCTTAGTCACCATTTTACAGAGAGGTTAAGATGCAGTGAGACACTTCATACGCCAAAATCTTGTTCATGCTCTTGTTACAGTTCTGGTTCAGCCTTGCAGAACAACTTGATTTGTCTCCACAAGACAGAGTCTGAATATGGCCCTAAAGAGCAATCCCCTGTAACTATTGACTTATCATCTTTAGATATGACTGCAGAGCTGTCTGGGGATGATTCTTTTAGAAGACAAGTGTCTGTGGGTCCCCTCTTTCAAGCTGAACTACCAGAATGGACCGGTATGGTTTCTGATACTGATTCTAAGTGGCTAGGCACACAGGAATGGCCCTTAAAAGGTGGAGAACATGATTCCTTAGCTGTAACAGATCCAATTGGTAGGGGAAGACCCGATTCATGTGGCTGTAGGATACCAGTCTCTGTTGAATGTATTAGACTTCATATTGCTGAGAAGAGGATGAAATTAAAGCTTGAACTGGGTTCATTGTTCTACCGTTGGAGATTTGATGGGATGGGGGAGGAAGTCGCACTTCAGTGGATGGCTGAAGAAGAAAAGAGATTCAAGCATATGGTACAATTAGAATCACCATCTTTAAATGCATTCTGGCCTGATGCATCCAAGTTTTTTCCTAGGAAGACTAGGCAAGACTTGGTAAGCTATTACTTCAATGTTTTTGTTATCCGGCGTAGAAGTTATCAAAACCGTGTGACTCCTAAAAGTATTGATAGTGATGATGATGAGTCGGAGTTGGGATGCATAAGTGACAGTTTTGGAATTGACGCCTTAAAAGTTCCTGGCTCAAATATGCTGAAATGTTCTCAGAGTAATTAGTGCATTGACTGGGATTAGTATGAATACCAATGAAGATTTATCACGTTGATTAGAATCTGGAAACACTGTGCTTGAACCAATGGTAGTTGAATCTTACTTTTCTTTTTTCCGTTACTTCTCTGCTTACCTTACGGCATCAGTGAACCAATGATGCAGTTTTGAAATGTCCCGTGGAATTTGCAACTGGCTTGGTTCGTTGACTCTGGTAAAAGAATTTTACAAATGTGCAAGTGTACAATACCTTTATCAGGAAAGATTTATACTTCTGCATCTGTGAATACTGTTATATTGTTTCAAGTACCAACTTCAGACAGAGGAAGATGGAAGTGGGAGACAATGATGCAGCTTCTGCTTCCGCAATTCTAAGTTTTACTTTGATTTTTCTCTTAAACGTTTACACTTTACCTGGAACTTACCCTATTGAATTCATTCATTTGTGTTTCAATGTTGAAGTGATTTTTTCTCTTCTCCCATCAATGCTGCTATCTTCATGTTTAATTTGCCTGCAGTTTTGGTTGAAAATCATCATACAACCAAATTTCACTCAGTGTTTGGATCTTTATTACTGATGATAATACTGAATTTATGTTTTTACTGAAAAAATTAGGAGGTCTTGTTGCATTAAAGTTCATTTTTGTATCATCAGATTAAACTTTTGGTGCAGAAGTGAGCAGCCTTATTCCATTCCAACTATTTTTCCAACTTTTGGAAGCAGATATATATGATGTTATATGAGCTTTTCCAAGTTCTCTCTTCATCAGGGTTGAATACTAAAGAGATAAAACTGCATTTGTCTCCTAATGCAATGACGGATATCATATATATATATATATATATATATATACACTTTTTTGTATTTGAGGTTGTTAGATCTTTATAATTGAAATTTGGGATTCAATGTTTTATTAACAGATATGTGTGAGGGAAGCAATAATGGAGATTTCTTTTTTTTATTTTTTATTTTGTTCAAATGGCTTTACCAAGGCACTATTTTTATTTATTTTTTCTTTTTTTTCCCCTTTAAAATGATTTTCTCAAATATTTGCATCAAAGGCAAATTGATTTTTCCAAGGAAACCTTGACACCAATTATGCAATATAAACAAAATGGTAACATCATATTTCTTCCATTGCATTACATTTTGGATTATTTGTAATTGTATTGATTGAATAATTTTTTAAAAGATTTGATTATTGAAATTTGATGCAATAAAAAAATAATGATATTTAAGATAAAAATAGAAAAAAAATGTAATATGAATATAATTAGATTTATAAAATATATAAATATTATTAATAATATGAAAAATAAAAACATTATAAATAAATAAATAAATATTTTATTTTTTAGTTTTTTATTTTAATAAAAACAACTAATTAAAACAGCTTAGATTCTTTCAATTTGCCACATAAAACAAAAACCTCTCATTTATCCCTTTTTCACAATTAAGAATGTAGGTTAATGAGAACTACCTCACCATTTTTAGATATTGGACACTCACATTTTACAAATAAAAATAACAAATAAAAGAATTTAAAAAAATAAAAAAACTAAAAAATAATAATAATAACATTAAATCGATAAAATAACTAAAAAAAGGGATTAAGGTTACAAATTTAAGTAAATTTACTGTATTCAACATTAAAAATTAGACATGATAATTTATGTATTTATATTATATAAAATAATAAAAATAATTCATATATTTGTATTATATTTTATATGAAAATAATATATTATAATTCATATTCACATAAAAATATGAAATATATTTTTTAATTTTATCAAATTTATTTATAATTTTTATTAAAATTTTAAATCATATTATTTTTATATTTTTTATTTATATTATTTTCGTACGATGTCATCGTGTAATATATTGATATTGTTGAATCTAGTAAAAATAAGAAAATTACTGAGTTGAAATTAGAATTACCACGGTGACTACATATATACATACATATATATATATATATATATAAATAAATGTAGTCCTCAAAGGTAGTGTTCATCTACTATTCATTGAGAGCCCATTTTTTTTGTCAAGTGTTGCACATTAAATGGTTCCTCAATTAAAAAAAAAAATTTTAGTTAAGCCCTTATTTTCAACATTCTTTTTTTGTTTATTTCCACTTAATGAAAGAAAAAAATTTGAAAATTGAGACAAAAAAAATTGATCAGTTCTTAGTTTTCTGTCCTTTTTTTTTTTTTTTTACAAAAAGAAAAAGCTGGTTTATTTTTCATAAAAAATTTTTTCCTTTTGTCAACCTAACGCAAACTTTTCAACTCTACCCTTTACGATTTTTTTTCTTATTTATTTATTTAGAAGAATAATTCACTTTCAACAAAAATAGAAACTAAAATGTAATGAAATTACCCAAAAAGAAAAAAAAAATCTTAAAGGAAAGGAAAAATAATTATTAGCAATGACATTTGATCAATTTATATGCTTAATTGAATGACACATGTCTTTAATTATAAAACAAGATTGTATTGAATTGAATGAGATATAATACAAAGATGATAAATTTTGCAATTAATTGGGTTCATGAATATTATTCATTGATTTATTTTATTTTATATTATAAATTACATGAATTTAACTATCAATGCACTTAATTATTCATAAATTTATAGTATCCACAAACTTATTTAATTAGAAATAGATATATTTCGTATTTAGTGTCATTTACATTTAATATTTTGAGTTTAAATTCATTTATATTATTGAGTAAGATAAATAATTATGAATCAAACTTAAATTACATGAATCTAATTATTTATGAATTTAATTATTCATGAATATATAATATTTATGAATTTAATTAATTATGGACTAATATTTTTAATGATTAATGTTATTTAAATTTAATATATCTATTAAATATTATAAATACATATTAATCAAATCCAAATAATTATATTTTAGTTTAATTTTTTATGTTTCAATATGTTGTAAAAGTATAAAGTATTTGTTTTGTATAATTAGAAATTAAGTTTTATTTTTTAATTTATACATTAATATGGTTGGTTCCATTTGAATGAACATTTTGATTTTATTCACTGGAGATATTATTTTATAAATATTTATTGTTTGTTTATATTTAATTAAATTGTGATCCGAGCGAAGCCGGGTACTTTTCTAGTCTATATATATATATATATATAAGCTCCTGGATTCACTCATGGATGTCTGAACTACTTTTGGGGTGGCTTTTCTTTGTGAAGAAATCTCAGTTCTCTTCTTTTTTTCCTCTGAAGAATCCCAAAGAAAAAAAAAAAAAGAAGAGAAAAATGTCTTCTCCAAGCAAACGCCGAGATATGGACTTGATGAAACTGTGAATGCATTTTTTTTTTGTTCCCAAATAACATTAAAAAGATTTCTTTATGTTATCTTTGTCTTTGTTAATTTGATTTTAATTTTTTTTTGGTTTTTTTGTTGGATTGATTTTTACTAGGATGATGAGTGACTACAAGGTGGAGATGATCAATGATGGCATGCAAGAATTTTATGTTCAATTCAATGGACCAAATGACAGTAAAGATCGTTTCGTACCCTTTTCTTTATTTTTTCATTCACTTCCATGATCTATCTCTTTACTTCTGCTAAAAATTTCATTTTCTTTTATCTTTTCTTTCTTGGTTTTTCTCATTCATCTCGAAAGTTCAATTTTTTTTTCCTTGGAAGTATGTTGACCGTCTGGTAATTGTTATTGGTTTTTTTTATTTTTTTTATTTTGATATTTGAAGATTAATATTTATCTAAGTGTTATTTTAATTATTGTTCATATCTGAGCTTCCACCTTTTATTTATTTAGTTCATTGAATTTTCTGAATGAGGATAGTGTTTGTTGATAGATTTTGCTTCTGGGTATTTTTAGACTAGAGCCAAATAAGGGTGATTCTTTTTTTTTTTTCCCCTTCTCATGGATTGTCTAATATGGAATATGACAGGTCCTTATTATGGTGGTGTGTGGAAGATAAAGGTGGATCTACCAGATGCTTATCCATATAAATCTCCATCAATTGGCTTTGTAAACAAGATCTACCACCCAAATGTTGATGAAATGTAAGTTTTTGGATGTTAAATTCGGCTGTTTTAGCTTTCTTTTACCGGCGGTATTAACTTGTATGAGGTAATTTAGAATGAGTAACTGGTTTTGACTTTTAAATGGCTGTTATCAGTAATAAAAATATATTCGAACTATGAGTTTCAGGTCTGGCTCAGTTTGTTTGGATGTCATCAATCAGACTTGGAGCCCCATGTTTGGTAAACCTTGCACATTGTTGTTTTTCCTCATTCTTTCTTGTTTTAAAGTTGCATTGCTATTACTCTTAGAACTTGAAAATCAATTTAACTTCTTTTTTTTCCACCCTTTTGTTCTATTTCAGATCTAGTAAATGTGTTTGAAGTGTTTCTTCCTCAACTTCTTTTGTATCCCAACCCATCAGATCCATTGAATGGAGAAGCTGCTGCTCTTATGATGCACGATCGTACAGCCTATGAACAAAAAGTGAAAGGTAGCATTTCTGCACAAGCGTTTGTAGTTTATTTATGCATTTCTTTCTCTTAAGAATGCCCAGCTCAAAAGTTAAGGTATTTATCAGGATTTCTTGCTTTTCTAAGGTCAATTAAGCGAAAGTCGGGCAGCAGTGAGCTTACAAGAAATTTTCTTGACTACCTGTGTTTTTGAAAGAAATTACATGAGGTCATAAATCTCATATGTTGGGGGCACAAAATTTGTTTTTATAAGTAGCACATAACTACTTACTCAGTTTAATTTGTACTCAGTTGACTAGTGAGTAACGGCAATTTTATTGAGTTGTCAACAATCTTGAACTTCATTATTAGTCTAAAGTAGGCAACACCAATCTTGAACGTCATCATTAGTCTAAACTAGTTCTAGCTTTAGTGTCTAACCGCCTTGGCAGCACAATTTTGTATTCTTACGTGCTTTATTCCATTTAGGTGAAATGGTTGGTAACGGTTGTAGACCTTGATGTTTGAAAATTGCTCGGCCTATACCAACATTTCATTGTTATGCATTCACAACATTGCTAATCTGTGTTTCTAGCCATGAACACCTTTTTTTTTCTTCTGTTCGTACCATTTGAAGTGATACTTGTGGATCATTCTCTTTTTCTTTTCAAGTTATTATATCCTAGCTATAAGTGCAAGCAGGTTCTGTTTCTATTTGGTGTTTTTAGTTACCTGCAAATTACTTTAGAATAGTCATCATACAAATTGCAATCAAGTGGAATGTTTTAATCTTTTTTTGACCATTTGAAAATGTATTCATTTCATCTTCTGCAAGATTGGAGGCAGGTGGATAGGGTACATAATGTGACTTAAAGTTCTTTGAAATTGGAAAATCTTTGATTCTTTCTAGGTTTTGATTTTAAAGAAAATACATGCACTGTAAACCTTGAGGTGCTTTGATTGGACCAAGAGTAGAAATATTTTCTTAGAGATAATGCAATAGCAAATATATCAATTGGTGCAGCCGTGTAAGAACATGGAGGGATGAGTTACCTTTCTTAGTGATTATGAAAATTAGCACCCTATGGATTGCAAAGATTATTTCCAATTGCTTTGTCGGACATCTGTGTTTCAGAAAGAATTCCTTGTCTGTGATTTCATTTACTACCCAAGGAAGAGTTGATTTTGAGTTTCTTTGCAGAGGTGGTACTTGTTAAACATCCAACTTAAAACCAATTGGCTGTAAATGGAGAGGCCCAACTTGAATATAGGACTATAGGAAATTGGATATTTATTAGATGTGAGATAACCCATTTTAATAGTATTGTATGACATAGATGACATAAAGTATTAAAATTGCTGTAAATTTATTGTTAGTCATTAGTATCAATAGACTCCTATTGCAATCCTACCAACTGTTTTACCAATACTTGAAGAGACCAAAGCTGAAGCTTGTTATCTATTGTCGTTGGCAGTCCTTTGTTTGCAATTTGGCTACTCTTTTGATATGGGATTAGAGAGAGTGTGATAGAGTTCAGAAGTTTTTCTGTTTGTTGTTGGAAAGGGGAGGTTGCAGCTTTAAAAGTAGGCCATTTTCAGTCAAAATAGGATAAATAATAGCTGGCAATAGACCCACTTGACCTATTTGTGGTGGCCATTTCACCTACTTTCTCAGTTCTTGTTTAAAATATTTTCTCCACAGATCTTAATCAATACAGCTTACTAGTAATAAGTTTGCGGCAAACCGGTTTTATCATCCTAGACAAGATGCAAAAAATTTTACTGGCATTACAAATATGGTTCTTTCAAAGTGTGATCCGCAATTTTACTTCTGTAGCAACATTCATTGCTTGTCCTACTTTCAATGTCGTTTCAAGGATGCAATCATTGCAATGCTTATGATTTTTTTTTATTCATTTTCCAGAATATTGTGAGAAATATGCCAAGCCAGAAGATATTGGTGCAGCGGCAGAGGAGAAGTCCAGTGATGAGGAGCTAACTGAAGATGAATATGCTGCCTCGGATGATGAGGATATTGCTGGAAAACCTGATCCTTAAAGAGAATTGTCTGTGCTGTACACGATATTCATCTCCAGGAAAATTTGAACTGGACAAAACTGGGGGCATATTGAAAAATTCCTGCCCCCCTTTCTGTCTTTATTTTCCATGAATGTTGTGTAAATTATTTCACTGTTGTCTAATATTTCAAATATTCATCCACTGTTAGAGACTAAAAAGCAGATTGGTAATGCTCCTGCCCCTCACATCAATTTAACTTTGTACATGCGAGAGTCCTTGCCCACCCAGGAAAATGCATTCACATCTTAGATATGCAAATCCTTCATTAAACTTTATCAAATGCAACTCATTAAATTTTCATTTTCATTTGATTTTCACGAAAATTTTTTTAAATTTAATTGTATTTTAATGAAAATGCAGTTACATCCAAATTCAACCTAAATGCCATTTAATCTAGATCTAGGATTTTGCAATAGTACCCCTAATTTGGGTCCCACTTTGTAGCTAAAATCTATGAGGGGCTCAAACTTCAAATTACACTTTTTTTCTTTCTTTATTCACCTTTCCCTTCACTTTCAGCAGTCTTGCCTGAGTTATCTTTATCTTCATCATCATCTCTTTAGCTTTATAACATACTTTTTTCAGAATTCTGTTGTAGTTTATATACTTGAAGATGTTCGATTTTTTGTAGAGATATTGGAAATGATCTATTGGTACTTACTTTATTTGAAGAGAATTTTATATAGAAAGATACATATGTATTTGCATATATTTAATAATATCACACTCAAATAGATATAATTTTTGTTTTAAATTGTTATTATCATTATATGCGATCATTAAAGATAATATATATATATATAAATTTAAAATTTAATTCGATTAATTTATATATCTAATCGTGAAAGATTAGTCGAGAAATATGATATTAGGATATGCAATATATTTTTTTTTATAAGTGAGAAAGATGACCAAATCAAATGAAGGAAATATGAAAAAAGGAAAAGAATTGTTAAAGGTTATTGAGAATTCTCTAATAAAAATATCTTAAGCCAAATTTTGTGATAATCAAGTTTCATACTCATCTATAGAATGCAATGACCTTTTTTTTTTTTTTTTTTTTCAAAAATCTCTTCAAATCTGCCCACCCAATACCGTTGAAAAGAAAAGAGAATATGATTGTGAGACAGTAAAAGATTATACGAGAGAATTAATTCTGCCTTTGTTTGATCTAAAAGGTTGACTTAAAAGGGTCCAAAATAATTGGGAAATCACAAAATGACATGACTTCGCAATCATGCTTCCATATAGGATCATGATCCTGCATGTTTGTGCTTGCTCCAAACTAGGGCTTTGGCTTTTCGGCTCAAATGTTTGGTTCACTCTTACCTTACATTTTTCATCGAGGCTTAATTCTCCCCGTATATATTAGGTTAGTTTTTAACAAATTAATATACATTTATTTAGATTTAATGATTCGTGTATTCGTATTATATAAATTATTAAAATTCATGTATTTTTATTATATTTTATATAAAAATTAAGTGTCATAATTTATGTTAATATAAAAATGTAAAATATAATTTTTTAATTTTAACAAAATTTATATATAATTATTGATAAAATTTAAAGACGTATTATCTTTATATCATTATATCATATTTTAAATTATTAAATTTAATTTAATTTTAAAGTAAGTAAAGCCCATTAGCAATGAAAAAGAAAGGTAAAGATCACCCCAATAGTCCCCTAGTGTGAAATCTAGTATTAGTGTTAATCATACATGCGAGGTGTCAAAGCAAGCTACAGTTTAACAACCAAAAGGCACTTTTCCTGCTATCGGTGGAGGTTGGAGAGCATGAAGAAAGGGAACCATGGGGCATGGATTTCAAAAAGATTAAAGACAAGGCCGGAAGGTAGCATACACATGGTGAAAAAAAATCTAATTTAAAGATTCAAATAAGATTAAAAACGGCTCTTCTGCTGTATGTTATGGAAATGATGGTTTGCAAATTATTTATTCAAATCTTTAAAAGGGCTCATCATTATTCCTTAATTTAAGTTTTAGATAAGAGCTAAATATAAAATTATTTTAACAAGTGTAATTAAAAAAATAAATTATTAAAACGGTTAGGCAAGAGAGTGTGTTGATTTACCAAAACAATCTTTTATAATAAAATGACAATGCTAGATTGACATTTTGATATTAAAATTTACAAGGTTTAAAGAAAAAGCAAGAATTTTCAAGTCTTCAAGATTTTTACTTTTTAAATTGGTTTGGTTAATTTCATCTGGAAGATCTTATTGACTTAGTAGGTATTGAGTTCGTAAATATAATTGAATCAAGTCAAATTCATGCAATGAAAAAATTAAATTTAATTTTGATTTAAAGTTTATTATTTAAAATTTGGTATGAGTTTAATTAAATTTTAATTTTTAAATTCAAACTTCACTTGAAATAAAAATCGAAATATTTGAATTAATTAGATTAAATTTATTTATAGAATAAAAAAATTCGATTCTTATATTCGATTTTAAATTTTATTATTTATATTAAAATTCAAATTTAAGCTCAAATTGATAAATACATATATAAATAAAATAATAATTTTAATTAAAATAATTAAAATATAAAAATTTGATTAGACTCATAAATTATTTTAATCGAATATTATAATATTTAAATTTAATTTATTCGATAAATCAATCTATTCAAACTCGAAATAAATTCAATAATAATTGAGATAGATTTAAATATTATTCGAATTAAATTTAAATAATTTATGACTATCATTTAAATCTTTAATCAAATTTATATTAATTAAAAGATTTTAACAGCTCCTAAACATTGAAAAAAAAGAGTGGGAGATAATTCGTTAAAAAAGAAATCCAAATGTCAAAGGGAAAAGGTCTCGTTTAAGTGAGATGAGCAAAATTTTGTGGGCATAAAAATTTTCTTAAAGAGGATGTGAGAAGGGAAGAGGGAAATGAGAGATAGGACAAATAGTGGGAGTTTGTTGAATTGGCGGGTAAAGGCCTGGCGAGGGGAAGAATTTAAGAATTTTAGAGGAAGGCCGATGGGACCCCTTCTTCGTTTGCGTCCCCAATTATTATGCAAGTGCTGCCAACGAAAGCCATCAAGAAGTGGATGTGCACACGTGCACAGCTTTACAAAACACTTTATTACAACGAGACCAAATCAACCTCCTCTTTACTTTTTTTTTTTTTTTAATTTCCTTCGTACTAAAAAAATAATTAAAATAATATTTTAAATAATCCACACGAATTAAGTAAATTGATGAGAATCAAATAATATTATTTTGAATATAAATTTTTATTAATTTTTAAGATAAATATATATAATTTTTATTTTTTAAAAAATTATTAATAAAATAATATTATTTGATTTATTAATAATATATAAAATTTTAAATTTTAAATTAAATAAAAAATGTTAAAATCATCCATGAAAAATGATAAATTTAGATAAAATGTGATAACATTGTAAAAAAATAACGTCTCAAAAATAATTTTGTGATGGTTGTAATTGTCTCTTTCATTTGACTAAACTACCCTCTTTACCCTAAAAAAAATTTAACATTATTTCAAAATTTAACAAATATTTATTAATCCAAGTAATAATAAATTTAATTTTTTTAAGTAAAATTTTAATTTTAAATTTTGTGAATAAAAAATATAAATTTGAAAGAATTTATCTTTTTATAAAATTTAATTCGCTCCGATTTTAAATTAATCAGAATTTAAAGTGATTACTGAACATAAAAAAATTTAAGATAAAAATTTTTTTATATTACTATATATTTTTATTGTAAAAATCGTAGTTACCAATTTTACTTATTGGATAAAAATAAGAGTATATGTTCAATTAAGTTGGGAAAAACAGATTTCACCTAAAATTAGAGAAATGATTTTTTCTTAATTTTTAAAAACTTTTTTGACCTTTTATTCTCCAACCAAATTAAAAAACTCATTTCTAGAATAATCACAATAGTAAATATAAGTGAATGAGAAGGGTATATAAGTAAAATGAATAGAAAATCAGGTTTTTTCGATAATCACGTATAATTTATAGAAAATCAAGTCATTGTCGTGTTTGACCTCAAAGGCCTTTGCTTATACACATATTTCACACAAACAATGTTTTTTTTTTTTTTTTTTTGAATTTCTCAGTTACATAATATAATAATTATAAAAAGGGATTTACTTTTTTTTTTTTATCATTTCTGGTTCAGTATTTCACTGCGGAAGCTTCTTCTATAAATCACAGCTTCATTCGTTTCTCTTCTCTCTCTCGGTTTTTTTTTTTTTTTGGAGGAAATTTGACATTTTTCAAGGGGAAGAAAGTTCGAGCTGGTTGTTTCGCGAGAAAAAGAAAAAGGAAAAGCAGAGATGAGAAGCGCAAATGGAGAATCCAGAGCTATGAATAACACTTTGGAGGCCATACATACTGCTGCTAACGCGATCGCATCAGCTGAGAATCGTGTTCCACAAGCTACGGTTCAGGTAAAATTTTTATTTTCTTAATATATTATTTTAAAATTCTGTTTCATTTAGTTTTCTGTTTGTTTTCTTTGATGTGATTGTTTTAATTGAATTTAATTCAATTTGTTTGAGTTTTGGACGTGTTTTAAGTTTCTCTGTTATTCATTTTGTGATCTGTTTTTGCATGATTTGATTTTTTTTGTTCTTTGATTATGTAATGGTGATTTAGTGAGCTTTTATCTTTAATCAAATTTAGGCTTAAGTTAAATCGTTGTGATTTTAGGCTTAGATTTATTGAAGGTTGACTTGTTCCAAGAGTCTTTAACTGTAGCATGTGGTTAGATTTAGAAGTTGATGTTTTTGCTTTTGTAACTAATTTTTCGCACTTCAAGTTCAATCATGCAGGGTTTTTACCTGTTGAGCTTGGCAGTTCAGGAATCTAGGGATAGTCTGTGTTGATGAAACAGTGTTTATCAATATATATGGTTTCTCCATTATAATTTTTTTGGATAACTAGAAACTTCTGTACATTCTATTTAGCTGGCTAAGATCAGATTAATCTCATTTCAACATCCAAATTCAAGGTGGATAATCAGTGGCTCTGAATAATGGAAACTGCTATATTCTGTCTATGGATATGATTTCCATTGTACTGGAGGTCTAGTTGAAGAAGAGTTAATAAACACACAGGAAAAGCTTCCGAAATACTTAAACAAACGGTGGGAAGTGCTTCTGCTCCTTGACCTCAACTTACATGGTAATAAGATGGATTAAATTGGGGTATCTAATATGTTAAAAGCTTTCCAAAAGGAAAAAAATAGCAGCATGCTCATACTCTTTCTGCCAAAACGTTGAATTGCTGTTGTCCGATAAGTTTTGAGCATGAATACTTTATTATGTTTCATTACCTGATACACTTTGGTAAATCTTCAATGAGGCAGTGTCGCATTATTGGTGTAATATGTCTTTTTAAGACAAAAGTTATCAAGTAATTAATTGTCTTGTCAATTATTTGATTTCTTTTTGGCTACATAAGAACTTAGTATAATTTCCCGTATAATTCATTTTATCTTAAATTTGTTGACATTCAGAAGAGAACACGGGTGGCTACTGGAGTATTTATTGGTGTTTTGGATCTTACAAACAGAAAAAAAACGAATTGGTTCCGCTGTACTTGTTTCTGAAACTATTGCTTCCGGTATTAATGTGCCTGCTGCTGAAAATCCAACCCAAGCTCCGGCCATGGTACTTCCTTTGTTTGCACCACCCTCATCTCCTGCATCTTTCCTTCCTTCTGAACTCCCCTCTGCTATGCAGTCTTCAGCTGGTTTAGTGTCTCTCACCTCTATTTCTGCTAGTATTTACTCTCCAGGGCATGCTTCTATTTTTGCAATTGGCCCTCATGCTCATGAAACTCAGTTTCACCACCTGTTTTCTCAACATTCACCCCCGAACCTTCAACCGCTCCCTTTAGTCCCCCTCCCGAGTCAGTGTACTTAACTACGCCTTCCTCGCCTGAGGTGCCATTTGCTCAGTTGCTTTGCCCCAACTTCCAGCATGGAGAGGCTGGACTGAGATTCCCAATATCCCACTATGAATTTCAGTCTTATCAACTTCATCCTGGGAGCCCTGTTGGCCAACTGATCTCACCAAGCTCAGGCATCTCAGGTTCTGGCACCTCATCTCCTTTCCCTGATGGTGAGTTTGCTGCTGGTCTACACTTTCCTGAGTTTCAAATGGGTGACCCTCCCAAGCTCATGAACGTTGATAAGCTTGCCAACTGTGAATGTGGATCACATCATGGTCCTGGCATTTTAAGCCCAGATGCTACAAGGTCCACACCTCGCAATTGTTTTCTTCTGGATCATCAGGTCTCTGAAATTGCGTCACATCCGCATTTGGGTAGAGAAAAGCAAGCTGGTCAGGTTGCAGTTAATCATAGAGTTTCATTTGAGTTGAATATTGAAAAAGTTGTAAGATGTGTGGAGACGGACACAGAAACACTATCAGAGACTGTGTCCGAATCTCTATAAATGAAGCAACAAGAGAGAAAGTAGAAAATGCTACTAAGGTGGTGGATGATTATGAATGTCGTGTTGGTGAAACATCCAATGAAAAACCAGAGAAAGCTCCAGAAGATAGGGAAGGCGAACCACAGCACCATAAGAATCAATCCATCACTCTCGGGTCAACTAAAGAATTCAATTTTGATAATGTTGATGGACGTGATGCCCATAAGCCTATTGTTAGTTCTGATTGGTGGGCCAATGACAGGGTAACTGGAAAGGACGATGGTGTACCCAGGAATTGGTCCTTTTTCCCCATGATGCAGCCAGGTTTGAGCTAACTGGTATCCATTTTAGTAGATGCCTTCTGATTTCCATATCATTTTAAGAATTTAGGTGTGCCTTTGGGGATTCAAACAATTTGGTGACAGCAACAGAGCGCAATTATTCAATCAAATTATAGATAATTTTAGGGTTTTGACTCATATAGCATATTGCATGACTGGCAATGAATGAAGGCTGTTTTTGAATGCTTCCTGACTAAAAAAGGGTTTTATAGGAATGTTTCTGATGTTTAAACATGTATTATATTGGAACTCAAAATTTAACTTAATTAGTTTAGGTAATTACGTTAAGAGATAACTTTCAGCGGGTCAGAAATTAAATTTCAGTAGTTGCAATTTTTTTTATCTCCATAATAATAATAATAGAAGTCGAGTTAAAGTGGAAAAATATATGATGATTATTGTCTACTTGAGATTCTACTCTTGTGGTAATTGTCCTTAAAATGTTTTTTGCTATTTACCCGAGGAAGAAATGAGTGACCAAAAAGCAAAGGCTGAGAGGAAAGTTGTTTGCCAAACCAGTATGGGCTGATGGGCTGTTCGGAGTCCGCACAAAACCTAGAAGCCACTCTTATCGATGGACTCATTGCCACAAGCCTATATAACATTACACATCGCTCTTAATTTTTGTTTTCCGAAACAATAAACATGTCTAGTGATACTAAAAATTTGATCAAGGTTACGTTAAATAATCCAGTATTTTGAGGTATCTTATATATTATGCATACCAAAACTACCATAAAAACATATAAAATAATAAAATTGTTACAACGGATATAAAACAAGTTAAAAATATTAAAAAAAAATTATAAAAAGTAACGAAAAAGCTATAAAATCATCTTAGATTTCAATGACCAATATTTAAGTAATATTATGGATCAGGTGATGACTAATCCCATGGAATTATGCTTTGACTGGAGTAAGGTTTTGGACAAAAATTTTCCAATACAAACATCCATGCTTGTGATGCATGGAATCTGCTTCTCTACAAAATAGTTAAGCAACATCTTTGTTTGGCGTCAAAAAATCAGTCAAAACCAGCTTGAACTCTTTGAAGGAACCAAATCAGTGTCATCAATTCTAAAATTGCAACATTGTTGCACCCAACGAACAATCACAAATAGCCAAAACAAGAACCAATGTTTTTCTTTAAAGAAACCAAACAAACGAACTTAATCTAACGGTATAAAACTATTGTTTAATAGGAAAAAAACCAGTATTTAAGATCCCGCATTTATTATTTAAATGGTGAAAAAATTTCTTCTCCTGTAGAAAAAGAAAAAACCAAAACAGTAATCTCTTTCTTTCTTTCTCTCTCTCTCTCTCTTCTCCCCCTTTTTCTACAGAAATAACCAAATAGATAGTCATTATCATAAATTTAAGTTTAAAATTACTATTATATCCTTTTAAATATCTATTCCATCCAAGCTGAGATTTCAGTCAGTGTTGTCACCCTAAAGCCAAACGTAACTCTTTGACGGTTTGAGTTTGACCTTTTTTAAAACCCCTGAAAAAATCCCCTTTCTTGTAATAGTCTTTTTGCCCAATTCTCCCTTTCTTCCAACAAAATTAGGGTTCCTCTCTCTCTCTCTATCTATCTATATATATATATATATCTCTGAAATCCAGCGAAAACTGAACATTTTCTGGGTTCTTATCTCTCAAAAATTTGAGCTTTTTTTTTTCTCGTGTCAATTGTGGAATTTAAAAATCCGAAATTCATTGAAATTATGCCATCATTTGCAATGCAGTGTTTGGAAACAGAACCGGAGTTAAACGGCAATGTTGTAACGATCAATGTCGGCGGCCAAATTTTCCAATCAACCAAACAAACCTTAACCCAAGCGGGCTCCAAATCCCTCCTTTTTCAACTTGCAGAAACGACGTCCAACCGTTTTGTCGACCGAGACCCCGATTACTTTTCTCTCCTCCTCTCTCTCCTCCGAACCGGTACCATTTCTTCTAAAGTCAAAGACTTTGACCTGGGCGACCTCATCGAAGAATCTAGATTCTACGGCCTTGAGTCCCTCTTGACCAGCTCTTTGACCAATCCTTCCCACTTTGACGCTTTTGCCCTTCAAAAATCTTCCATGTTACCCTTGAACGGTCGCGATTCCCCTTCCGCGATTGCCACGACGCCATTTGGGTCCTTGCATGTTTCCCACGGTAGCAAGATCACGTCTTTCGATTGGTCGCTGACAAGAAAGTCAACGATTTTGACCCAATTCACAGCCGTTGATTCCTTACTTGCAATATGCCCGGATGTCGCGGCGGCCGGTGCAACCGACTTCTCAGGACTCCAGATTCTCGATCTCCAAAATGGATCCATCAAACAAGTTCTCAATTGGGAGAATGTGACCCGGTCCGGTTCCACGGTTCAAGCTATTGGTTCATCAGGCGAATTCTTGTTTACTAGTTTCGAATCCAGTAGGAGAAACTCCAATTCAATTCTGGTTTATGATATGAATACTTTGAACCCTGTTACCGAGATTGGTCATAATGAGATTTTCGGGGCTGATCTTGATTCAGCCATCCCTGCTACAAAGCTGAGATGGGTTTCGAGTTACGGGTTACTTATGGCATCCGGGTCTCATAGCGGGCTATCGGGTGTGTCAGGTAATATTAAGTTTTGGGATATAAGATCTGGTAATGTGGTTTTTGAATTGAAGGAGAAAGTTGATTGCTTTTCGGATGTTTGCGTTTCGGATAATTTGAATGCGATTTTTAAGGTTGGAGTGAATTCTGGGGAGGTTTTTTATGCGGATTTGAGAATTTTAGGGAGTGTGAATGATGATGGAAATGATAATAGTCCATGGATTTGTCTTGGGGATAGGAGGAGGGTGGCTAATGGGAAGAAAGTAGGGTCTGGGTGCAAAATTGAGAGCCATGGTAATCGAGTGTTTTGTAGTAAAGGAGGGGAAATTGAGTTGTGGTCGGAGATTGTGATGGGTTCGGCGAAGAGTAGTGAGGGTCGATTGAAAGAAAGGGTCTTTAGGAAGAATTTGATGGGGAGAGTGAATGATAAAGGAGGCTTGAGGATAACCAACTTGTCATTTGATGGGAACAAGATGTTTGTGACCCGGAAGGACCAGCAAGCTGTAGAGATTTGGCAGGGTTCGACAAGAGGTTTTTGATCTTCGAAACCTTTGGTTAGATGTTGCATAGGACAAATGTTGATCAATCTACGAGTCAGTAAACTATTTCATAAGTTAGTGTCTAGTTTTATACTTTTGTAAATAGGACTGTCTTGTACCTTGTGATTGTTTATATATTTGGTTCTTGGTGATTGAATTCGTATCAACTATTGATACTGTAATATTGAATCATAAATGAGAAGAAGCTCGGCTTTGCTGTTTAGTGTATTAATTTTACGCCCTATACAAAATTTTTGGTGAATTGGTATTATTTTTGTTGTTTAGGATCTTGTTTCTTGGTATTCCGAAGTTTTGCACCTTTCACTCAATTGTTTCTAGTTCTCAGCTGGCCTTGTTTATTCTTTTTCTTTTGACCAAATTGAGGAAGAATTACCAAGGCTTTCACGAAAGACGCGATCATATCTTGTTATACGCCAATTTGGATGCTTTTGATTTTCTTGTGGATTTCGAAATACCATGGACCAAGGGGGGTTTGTTCCTGTGTTATTGATTTCAAGGATGAAGAGTCTTGACTGGAAAGTCGAAACATGCTATGGGAAAGTAGCAAGGAACTTCTGAGCTGTAATTGCCCTAAATAGCTATTTTTACGTCATATTCTTTGAAGTTTGAACCAAGAACTTTTGTTTCTCTTTGTATCAGGTCTCGTATGCTCTGTTGATATATATATATATATATATATATTTTTTTTTTTTTTCTGTGGCACGTTCATTACATGGCATTTGAGGATTGATAGTGTTGGGGGATTGCAGTGCTTGCCTTTGTTTTGCTGCATCCTGTCCTGACAAACATACACTTCAAGTACTCCTAGTGACTTTGGCTAGCGCACTAGTTCTACCAATTACCAACTCATATTAGAATTCTCTCATCTCCACTGCCACAACCTGGTTACGCTTTCTTTCTTTTTCTTTAACCAATTATTTTGTACTTGAATTTAAAGACAAGATTTTTATGGTTGTGATTTTCGTGATGATCACCTGCAAAACTATGCTTCAGAATTGGGGAAGTTAACATTCACAAATCCAGAGGATTGTTAAGATTTACTTTTAAGAAAGAAGCAAGATGAAGGATGGAGATAAAAATGATGCAACATAAACTGGATAAATCATGAACGAGCAGAGAGGTTAAAGAATAGGAAAAGAGAGCACTTAATTCATCATCAAAAGTTGCTCTGAACAGAAATAAAGCCTTAAAATGACATTGTTGGTAATCAGGATACAGCTTTCTTGATGCAGAAACTCCATTCTGATATAATGTTTCAAAGTCATTGTTAAGCTGGTGGAAGTAGCAGTTTGACATTAAAGCCATGCTTGCTTTGACATCCATTTACTTGATTAATTGATTTATGCTGATAAGTCATAGTCACTGAAATCCCCTACATCGTTTGCCTCTCTCTTTTTTGTTTTTTCCCTTCAATTATTTTCGTGATACTGCTATTCTCTCTTGTGCAAGAGAGCAATGAAATTTTAGGATATAAAACACTGTTTAGCATGGTCCTTGAATGGGATGATTTTAGCAGAACCTTTTGTTAAGCAGAACAAGGGAAAATTGGTTTTGAATCTTCTGGAATTTTTAGACTTGTAAACTGGATGGTATTTTGATCGAGATAATAATCTATGATTTTTTGAATTGTGTAGATACTTGATTTTAGCAGCTCCAAAACAACTCTCTCTTCTTTGATCCTTCCTCAATCTTATTCTCCTCTCTATTCAACCTTATTTCAGTGTTTATCATCACCTGCTGCTACACTCAATACTTGAGAGCTTCCCGTCACGTCCCGCTTTACTTGTTTACAACATTTCCTCCCTTTACAAATTGTAGGAGTATGCAAGTATTATCAAATAATTTTTGTAATCTTAAGCCTGGAGGATAAGTTTTTGATATTTCAGGAATCAATCTACGAATGTCTTCATATGGTAGTTAAGCCTGCAATTGCCTGACACAAATCTGTAACTTCCCAAAGTGTAGCGTATTTATTCCAAAATATGGCAACAACAATTTTACCGAAAGTGACATAAAATGTGCATTTCTGTGAAGGTCAAAGCACATTATGGCAGAAGAAGTAGCATTCTGAAGAAACACCAGGCCTGTCGGTCTGCCAATGGCAGCATTGATGTTTAAACTTAAAGGGTTGCCCTTTTGGCAATGACACTATTAAAGTAAGCTTCAGTATGCATGCTTACTTGATTCAGAATGGCAGCTTCAGCAGGAGCAGCTACAATTTTCCTAAAGCTCAAAGAAGTTATGGCTTATAATCTAGACAAGGCAGACAAGGAAAGAATTTGTGTCAAACCTGTCAGGTTGTCGCTGTAGCGTTCATTTGCAAACATGATTATGTAAGCAGGTCGTGATGCTGACTGTTTAGACTTTGGCTGTACTTGCTCCTTTTATAGCATTTAACTCGGTGCAGCGGATTCAAATAGTAAAGTTGAAAAACAAAAAAAGTTTAGGAAAAAATTTTTTTATGGACATTCTTTCCATAATTAAAATTAATAAATTCGGTGATAATTATATATATATATAAGTGTATACTTTAAAAAAAATCTTAAATTCCGTACTAATTTGGTGTACCCTCAATGCCTATTGTCACCACAGTCAGTTGGACACTAATTTTTGGTCGATTAATTAATTGTGAGTTAAGAGCTGTAGATTTTGGTTTCCTTTTGACCTTGTATAAATGCCTCAGGACAGTCCGTGGAAACCTATAATAACTAAATCTAAGTCCAAAACTTAGCTGTTGATTTCATTTACATGAATTTGGAATTTGTGGTAAAATTTTTGAATCTGTTTTCTTCCAAGATTTGACATAGGAAATCCATGTGATTGGTAATGATGTATAACAAAACTATGAGCTGGGCTCGTTTAATTTGAAGATGCAGTCTGGTTTCGTCCTGCAAACCAACATGGGTGGTCCAGGAGCTAGCCTGCCTTTGTCTAAAAGGCATGATGCCATTAAATGCTAGTATGTGGTTTTGGGTGGGTTTATGCTTTAAATAGACGAAGGCTGTTAAATTTGCGTCCTAGCAAATGATAAGGACATTGAAATGCTGAAACCATACAAGTTTGGGCCAGCTGGCTTATCCTCCCTTCAACATCTTAGTTACTTTAAATTGCCTCGAAAAGTTACCATGTGAAATGGGATGCATTTCATCTTTTTAGTATAAGAACAATATAGATACAATTTTCTTTTATAAAAAAAAAAAATCACAGCCTAAGATTAAAAAAAAAAAAAAGTTACAAGCGAAACATTCAAATTTCAAATTTATTGAATGTTAATTTTTAAAATAGATAATATAAGAATATAAGTTAATTAAATTAAACTCGAGATTTATTATATATTCAAAGACAATGGGTGATTTTAGTCGGCAGCTACAGCTTTTTCATTTTGAAAGTATTTTTCTTGCTAAGGACTCAAATACGTATATGGAGATGAATGAATTTATAAATACTAGGATGGTTTATGTTATTTTCATCATGAGAGGAGACCATAAACTTGGTTGAATTTACAATGCAACCTCCATCGATCATCATCAAAGAAGTTAAACAGTTGGCAGCATTAGATACTTGGAAGGCTACTTGAGCTATCATGACCTTTCATCAAATTAAAAGTCATAAATAATAACGATAACATCTCCATTGCTCCACCACTAATTCAAAAGCCCCATTAAAATTCATTAATGTCGACGGTATAAATATATTTTTTCAAAACTTCAAACCCAAGAAAACCCTATCAAACCCTGTCTACCTCACGTATTTTCATATTAATATATATGTATGTATATATGTGTGATCGTGATGTTCATGCATTTAAAGTCAAACGAAAAATCCCTACATAAAAAAATATGAGTCCAGAAAGGGGTTTGGATTACAAGTACAATGAAGTAAATAAAGAGAATATATATATATATGGATGTGTGCGTGGATCGTGATGGTCATGCATCCATAGTCAAAATGAAAAGTCTCTTCATAGAGAAGTATGAGTAAATAAAGGGGTTTGGATTACAAGTTGAGTGAAGCAAAAGAAGGGGAAAAAAGAAAAGAAGAAAAAAATGGTGATAAAATAAATGATTGTTGGATTGGGTACTCAAAGTTTCTAATTAAATTACTGCTTTAAGTCACATATGTCCTATTCGAAATTGTTTTGTCAGACAGATCATGTTGCTTATCCGTCCTGCCTCACCTTGATTGCGTTAATCACATCTGGGTTGGGAGTTCAAGTCTCCGTCCCTCGAGGTGAATGATGAGATTAATTATAATGAGATTAAAAATAATAATAAAATTTATTATAATTATAATTTTAAAAAATATATTATAATTGTGTTTAAAATAAAATTTAATAAAATATTTATATTAACTTAATTTTATTAAAATTGATGTTTAAATTTAATTAAAAATGTGATAAGCTTCGTTACACCACATTAAAAGTGTGATGAGATTCAAACGATTACTAAATCAAATAAACAAGAATTAAAATTATCAAAAATTTTTTAATTCGACAAAAAAAAAACTGAAATTGCTTTTAATTTAAATTATTAATAAAGTGATTCATCGATAATATATAATATTTATATATAATTAATGCATCCAATATTATTTTATTAATTAAATTTTAAAAATAATGCAATAATTCTTATCAATATATACTTTTGAAAATTAGTAAGATAACCTTAAATAAATCTAAAATAATGTAATACACTTTTCATGCATCATAATTTATCTTATTCTTCGAGTTTAACCAAATGAAATGATTGATGTAGATAGAAATATCAATCTTATCTATATTCAATGAAAAATCTGATTTTTTATTCGAATGAAAAAGATGATGGGGATGAATATTATATTATGAGTATAATGATGGAACGGAGATGAATATGATTTTAAATTTTTATTGAGTATGAGAATGGAGACAGATACTATAATATCCGTTCTATAATCGTACTTATACCTTATATATATTTATATATTAAAATTTTTTTATTAAATAATATAAATTATTATTTTAGATTAATTACAATTAATATATTTTTATTAAAAATATTAACATATATTTATAAAAATATATTTTAATATACAAGACAAAAATAAAAAATAATTAAAAAATTTTAGTTTTTATTTCTTTTTAAAACTATGAATATAAATATCACTCATATCAATTAAATACCCACGAAGATGTTTGATAAAAATAAATTTAAAATATCTGTTGAACATAAATGTAAAAAGAGGTATAATATAAAAATTTAAAAATAGAGAAAAAAATGTTATATCCTACCCATATCTTATCCATTGAGATTTTTAGAGGCAGGTATGGCCGCTCACTAACACCATAACCAGTTAGATGAAGAACAATTTTTTCAGCAATAAATAATATTGTCAAAACCAAAGGGAAAAAAAAACCGATTAAGTACTTCTCTAAACCTTAAACCCTATGCATGGTTTTATGCATGTAAAGAAAGTATGTAGAAACAAATAATAAATATTATTTTATGTATACGAATTTAAAAAAAAAAATTATATAGATTTTATTTTTACTTGATACAATAAAGATTCATAATTTAAGCATAAAAAAATTATAATTTTTTAAAGTAATTATACAAATTAATTGAATTAAATTTTAAAATATTTATACAAATTCTATACTAATTTCTATTTTATGTATATGAAAATAATGTAATCTGTATAGGCATATAGGGAGTAGAATTGTTCAACCAATCTTGTTTACGTCGACATCGTCATTCAATGCCGCCATAGTAGAATTAAAGGAGGAGAAGCTCTTTCCCGCAAAATTAGGTGAGGCCTTCCTTTCCAGGGACAGAAATAACACAAAAATTTTCATGACTTTCTTTATTTGTTTTGTGAATGAGGGTTAATTTTATAATTGGTGAAAGGTCTCTCTTGTAGGGTTGTTTTTTTCTTATGATTTCTCAACGACCCCAGTCGGCCATTAATGGCTGTGTGTTTATAAGCTGAGTTAATCAGGTGATACATGCACAAATAAAAACTAAAGGTAAAAACAAATAAAGAAATAAAAATGGAGTCTGAAAGAGAGAAATTACAATGTGAAAGAGAGAGAGAGAGATATTCTTAACAAATTTGGTTGCCCATATTAATTTCTTGTTTTCTGACTTTCTGTGTTATTTCCCTCTATATAACGCTTTTGTCTTCTTTATTTTCCATTCGCTCAGACTTCCTGTTCTCTTCTCCCTTCTTCCCTTCCCCTTCCATTCTCCACATTCCTTGATCCTGTTAACAATCCAATAAACAAAACCAGTCATTCTTCACAAAACAGGATCTGGGTTCCATTTATTTTTCTCCATTTTTGCTCTAAGAGCTCACGAATCAGTAGCTTGAAAGTTGAAACTCATGTTCCAACAACTGTAAATAATTTTTTGTGTTTGGTGTCAGCATTAGAGAAGAAATTAGAAGTTTCTTGTTTACGTCCAAATTTACTTGGTGTGGTCGCTAATCACATGGATGCATCGGCAGCTTTTATGATCTTACTAGCCATAGTAGCTTATTTAGTATGGTTCAAGTTCATCGCAAGGTCACTCAATGGTCCACGTGTCTGGCCTCTATTGGGCAGCCTCCCAGGGCTTATCCAGAACTCGCATCGCATGCATGAGTGGATCGCGGACAATCTCCGCGGGTGCGGTGGCACGTATCAGACATGCATCGCCGCCATTCCATTTTTATCCCGGAAGCAAGGTCTCGTGACTGTCACGTGCGATCCTAAGAACGTGGAGCATATTTTGAAGGGCCGATTCGATAATTACCCCAAGGGACCTATTTGGCAGGCAGCGTTTCATGATTTGCTAGGTGATGGGATCTTCAATTCTGATGGTGACACATGGCTATTTCAGCGTAAGACTGCCGCATTGGAATTTACCACCAGGACGCTGCGCCAAGCCATGGCACGGTGGGTTAGCCGGGCCATCAAGCAGCGGTTTTGCCCGATTCTTGAGACGGCTCGACTCCAGGGGAAGTCGGTTGATCTTCAAGACCTCCTGCTTCGGCTCACCTTCGATAACATATGCGGCTTGACTTTTGGCAAGGATCCTCAAACACTATCTCCTGGGCTTCCCGAGGACGGCTTCGCAATGGCTTTTGATCGAGCCACTGAAGCCACGCTCCAACGCTTTATTTTGCCTGAAATTATATGGAAGCTGAAGAAATGGTTTCGGCTCGAGATGGAAGTCAAGCTGAGCCAAAGCCTTCAACACCTGGATAAATACTTATCCGAAATCATTAATACACGTAAGCTTGAGTTGGTGAATCAGCATCAAGGTGGGGTCCCACACGACGATTTGCTGTCCCGTTTCATGAAGAAAAAAGAATCCTACTCAGACGAATTCCTCAAAAACGTGGCACTGAACTTCATTCTAGCTGGACGTGACACCTCGTCGGTTGCCTTGTGTTGGTTCTTTTGGTTGGTCAGTCAAAATCCAAGCGTGGAAGAGAAAATCGTGACCGAAATTTGCGCTGTTCTAATGGAGACACGTGGCGCCGACACGTCCAAATGGGTAGACGAACCCCTAGTATTTGAAGAAGTTGATCGATTGATATACCTTAAGGCAGCACTGTCCGAGACACTAAGACTCTACCCTTCGGTGCCACAAGACTCAAAACATGTAATCGCTGATGATGTCTTGCCTAATGGAACATTTGTTCCTGCTGGATCAAACGTGACATACTCAATTTATTCAATTGGTCGGATGAAATTCATCTGGGGTGAAGATTGCCTAGAATTCAAGCCAGAAAGGTGGTTATCCGAAGATGGCAAGAAATTTGAGGCAAAAGATTCATATAGATTTGTTTCCTTTAATGCCGGTCCTAGAATTTGTTTAGGCAAGGATTTAGCTTATCTGCAGATGACATCAATAGCAGCGGCGGTGCTGCTCCGACACAGGCTTACAGTGGTGCCAGGCCACCGGGTGGAGCAGAAAATTTCGCTAACACTGTTCATGAAATTTGGGCTCCTGATGGACGTGCACCCAAGAAATCTGAAGCTTGTCCTGGAAAAAATAAGCAAAGCTGGTGAAAAACTCTCCTGCTAATGGCAATTATTAGGGATTAGCCCGAGCAGCTGGAGTGGCATCTGACCCAAGGGTATGTTTTAATTTTGATGAAATTTTTTAATAGATATGCACGATGAAGAAGGGAGCAAGTATTAATCAAGATAATATTAATTATCTTTATTTTTATTTTTTGTTTAAAGGAAAGCAAAGCTCTTACAAAAGGAGAAGAGGTGACGAGAATTTCCGTCCATACACCTTCTTCAAAGCCACTTTGTCACCAAGCCGAGAGTTAGAAGATTAATTGTCTTTGTTTTAATTTATCTATAGATGTACTATTCGAAGTGAAATAAAAACTGAAATCCAATTATATATTAACCTCCCGAAGATTGAAATTTGTATAACTGGAAAATGATAACACAGTCATTTGCTTCAGTACTTGGTGCTTCTTTGTTCTCTACCATGAAAACAAGTTTTGGTTTTTTAAATTTGATTATTTATGAGGCTTATTGTCTGAATTTAAAAACAGAGATAATTGGAATTATACTTATTTTTTTCTAGTTAGTATTTGAGAACTGAGATCATCTTAAATTGAATGTTTTTCATTTTTTTTTCTTTCTTCAAACTATTTTATTTATATAATTAATTGAATAATTAATTAATAAATTAAAATATAATTAAATAATCAAATTTACACATTATAAGATTTAAATTTAAAACCTCGACCTCCTTCCGATTTTTTTTAATAAAAAAATTATAAATATTAAAATTCGAATATCTAATTTATTAGATATTATTATACAAATTAATTGAATTGAGTCGTAGATATTTATTTCCTTATCTTTTTCATACGTCCAAGTAAACTTTGCTTTCGTGAAAGAAATGCAATATTGTGACTAATAAAACAACATTCTCTCCCAAGGGTATATGCGCTACATATGGCATAATCAAGTGGACTTTGATTTAAAGAAATTGATGCAAATGTTTGTCGCTAATAATTGGTCCACATAGTAAAGTAAAGCCTACAATTTTGGTGAGCAACTGAGACGTTTAACAAAAAGTTAAGAGGATTTAGTTGTAACCATCCTTCCTATACTTATTAGATCTCGCGGCAGTTGGAGATTATGACAGCTTTTTGGGCATTGATTATTATCAACAAGTTTTGAGCTTATCAACTAACACTCATTTTCAATTTTTCATTAAAATAAACCCAAAAAAAAACCTTCGAGCGGTGGAATTTTCTTCGATTTTTATACAATTTGCTGATGCTATTTCTATGCTTGAACAGCAGTCACCATTAAAATGCTACTATTAATTTCTATACTCAGAAAAAAATAACTTGGGGAAATAATAAATATCAGTCAAAATAGGGTCCAGGACAGAATTCAATTGGGGCGACAACTGAAACCATTGGTTGGTTGATGGTTTACTCAGCCTTCAAGAAGAAAATATTAATTATTTTGAGATAGTTAAAGGAAAAAAAATTACATTCGGATAAAACTTGAGATATCATGATCGAATTACGATAAAACAAACCCTAATCCGATTCTTAATTCAGCAACAAAAACCTTCTAAAAATGTAATTTCTTCATGCCCCTTTCTCTCGATTCGTCCCCTTCATCTGCATCCAGAAAAGTAATGGTCCACAGTCTATTGCCTTTACTAGAAAATGTAGACTCCATCACGGAACCAAGGCTGCCTGGCTGATGACATATATAGAAGGCGGCTATGTTATAGAGGTCACCGTTGGGCCAAAAAGAAAAAAAGACAATTATTTTGAACCCAAGGCTAATTGCCTAATTTCATTATTTTTTTCCTATAGGGTCAACTTTGGTTAGTGGATTGTTCCCATTGTACTGCCCTTGGTTTCAATATCCGCACTAATAAATTACTACTTGGATTAAGAGCTTTCAAATATATGTATTCTCCCAAGTGAAAGTTTTTCATATACATAAAAGAATACAGCAATTTTGAGGGTTGGGTTATAATTATCCTTCACCACAGGTCCACAGCATTTGTTTTGATATGACATAACGACTGTAAACAACCTGGAAAATGCCCTATCTATATAACATGCATAAGATTTGCAAAAGTAACAATTAGTTGGTAGTCAGCTCGGTGCATTCACTACATGTCCAAAGCTTGAAGAATTAAATGATTTTTATTTGTTGATTTCTCGAGTGTAAAGCACAGAATCAAACTATTCCAGTTGTTATCTTCAATTTGCTAAAAAAAAATATTTTTTCTTGTTCTACTTGGTTCATATCATGAATCTTCTCCTAATTAGTGAGAAATGAATAAGGACAAATAGGAAAGATGGCAAGAAAACTTCATTTTTGTGTGTTTAAAACCCAGATGAATGTTCTTATAAATTTGCACCTTTAAGAAGGTATTAGGCAGTCTGGTGAAGAAATTGAGAGAATTCATTCATGGCGCCTAGAATTATCTGTGGCCTTAATCAAGCTCAGGTTTGATGCTTGTCCCATTTCTAGTTCTCTTTTCTCTGTGTTTCTCTATAATCGTAAATGGATCAGAATGGTAGAAAAGTTTTGAAGATCTTGATTTAGAAAAACAGGTCAAGATTCTCAATAAACTCTTTGTCATGAGCATTTAAGGTAATTAATTAATTTGCTTTTTGGATGGAAAACAAAGTTACAATCTTATAAATAAAGTTGCATAAGCTCAAAACAAAAAATCCATGAATCTGTTATCAGTTAAAATTGAGTACTAAATAATTAATGATCAATTTTATTATTTATTTTGTACAAAAAAAATCATAAATTGAAAATAAGTGAATTCATTCACGTGTTAAAATTTAAATTTTAAATCTGTTAAATGTTACATCTTAATAATAATTATATAAATCAATTGAATTAATGAATTAATAAAGGTGTTGTATTTGATAGTCTCAAACTCTGTAAACAACCATCATTTGCTCAAAAACCATAAAATCCAAAGAAAAAAATCCCCCTTAATTTTTACTAGAAGAATTTTAAGTAAAGTGGCCTGCATGGTAGCTCAAACATGTTACATGTACGGTTTAGCACAAACAACTTTATGGTTAGAAAATAAATAAGCAATTCATCAATGCCACCATTTGTACAGTAATTTATTGTTATAAAGTATAATAAATTATAGTTCTGCTTTTGCTTAATAAATGAAAATAATGGCATAGATGGAGCCTAGTTCTCCAAAGAGATTGTTAAGTGCAAACTCATTGCCAGCCAAGTCACTGAAAATTGGAATGTTGAAGAATGGAGGCTGCTGATCTGGTACAGCTCCAATTAAGAGGACCACATGAAAAGTACTCAACCAACTGCTTTTGCTTCTCCTGGTTATAATTATTTCTTGATTTCTTTTAATTATAAAGAAAGTGGCTAATTGGATTTAAAATAGTCTCAAGAATGCAACAAATTGGTGAGAATTTTAGCTAAGCCTGTGCAATGACCAGCAAACAAAATCATCAGTTTCGAACACCTTATCCAGTGAAGCACTTGTGCAAAGTGGATCACAAAATCAAATTGAAATATTCAAGTCGGATGGATGGATGTAGTGTTGGCAATCAAATCCAAATCTATTAGATTTTAACCCGACTTAATTTTATAAGAATTTTTTTTTTAAAATAAAAATTCGGGTCAAGTCAAGTAAATTCATTTTAATCCAATTCAATATATATAATATTATTTAATTATTTATATTTATATATTAAAAATGATATTTTATTAATTTTTATTTAAATCAAATTGATTATGATTTTATATATACGATAATCAAATATAAAAAATAATATTTTACTATAAATCAAATTGAATTCAAATATTTATTATATAAAATCGAGTTGAGTTTAAAATAAATAAAAACTCGTCTCATATCATCTCTAGATGGATGGATGGTAACAAACTCAGCCTTTTCCTTTTTTTTTTTTTTTTTAACTATTTACATTAAACTAATCTCGGGCAAAATCCAGGGTTACAAGGTGACAGTCAATTACACTCGATCTTCTGCCTCATGCTCCGTAAGTATTCTTTAGTTTCATTTAGTTTTGGTCATCAACCATTGTTAACTTTTGCCTCATGGGTTTAGTTTCTGTTCCAAATACATATTAAAGTAAATATAAGCAGTTTATATATTTTTTTCTTTTACATAAGAAATCAAAGTTTAAGAGAATTTGAAAAAATAAAAGTTACAAATACGGGAGATTGAACTTTAATCTTGCTGGAAAACACCCTCTAAAACAGATAGATGAATCATTTGAGTTAAACAATGGGAACTGTCATTCACTTATTCTATTTGCAACCAAAAATCCCATGAATTTGTTACCACAATAAAAATTTCATTAGATTTATATATATATTTTTTCCAGACTGAAGGGAGTGATTTTTCCGATTGTGTTCATATCCAAAAACAACCAGCCCTTGACCATCCTTTGCTTAAGAGCCATAAAATTGGAGTGTGATCAAATCTTCTTTGCAAACCAATCCAAAGCTTGCTCTGGTTGGGATGACAAGTACTTCCCAATTCCCACTTTAATCACCTGTTTAAACTTCTTAAACTAAATTAAATTATGCTACTAACATATTGTTCATCTTCTTAATTATAATAATGTTGTAGGTCAAACCAAGTTCCTTTCTAAAGGGATTAATTGTTCAAATTCATCATCTAAGTCATTATAATATGTGTGTTTTCTTCTTTTTCATTTTTTTTTTCTTGTATAAGTTTTCATTATAATGAAGCTATGTAACAGAGATTGCTGAACAAGCTATGACGGAGGAGGCCTACATTAAAGAGCTACAAATTGTAGATGGATCCAGCAAAAATCAAAAACAAAAAGGGTTGTTAATTGCCTTGGAACTTCAATTGAAAAATCTAGGTATTGTCTTTTTGGGCTTTGGGTTTCTGGCCTGCCTCCATCAATGACAAAGCTTACTAGCCGAGAAAAACCTAACCCACTCTTGAATCGGCTATATATTATCCTTGAATCAAATATTTAAATTTTGAATTCATTAATAAAATAAAATAAAATAAAATTATATTGAGATGTCAATAGATATGATATGAATATGATAGAGTATTTTTTTATCTTTATTCTTAAAATTTTGTACTATACTTATTCTCAAACTCGTACCTAACAAAAAAATTAAATTTATCTCTTTTTTATCTTTATAGATATTTAATACATATGGATAATTTTTATTTTCATAATTTAAAAAAAAATTTATTTTTATTTATTTTTATCTTATATATTTAAGTATTTTTTTATAAATATATATTAATATATATTTTGAATAAAATATATTAATTTTAATTAATCTAAAATAATAATTTACATTGTTTAATAAAAAATATATTTACTAAATATATATAAATATATATAGAGGATACGAAATAAATACGGGTTAATGTTATATTATCCATCTTTATCTTTATCTTCATACTTAATAAAAATTTAAAATTATTTTTTTTTTTATCTTCATCTCATACCCATAATGTATTGTTCATCTCCATTTTAATTTGGATAAAAAATTAAAATTTATATTGAATATAGGTAAAATTAACATTTCTAATTATATTATTGTATAAAAAATATAATTATTTTAATAGATATTATGAAATAAATTATCGTTTTTATCATAACTTGTAAATTTAATTAATAACAAGGTTTAAAAATAAAAATTTTCTATAAAACTAAAAGTCAAACACACACGGGAAATTCTCCCATGTCTCCCAACATTTGACTGTTTAGGTTCAATGTCTCATTCAGAAAAAAAAAGAAAAAGAAAAATTATTTCTTTCAAAGATTCTTGCGAGGGATAGAAAAAAAAAAAAAATCTTTTCATACACACCAGTGGAAGGCCTTAGTTCACTTTCGATGGCTTGAGTAAAAGATCATGATATAAATTGTTGGTAGCGTCAACATTACTAGAAAAAATGCACAATGAAGGAATGGCTCAAGTTTGACTAAAAATTCGATGAAATTATTTAATTTAAAGATATATATTTTTTTATAATTAGAATATGAGAGGTTATTTCTAAAGCATATTATTCGTAATATTCTAGAAGGTTTAAGTGAACAACAATTTTTTAAACATGGATTTCTTCAAAGCTTGTCTGAATTCAACTTGGCTTGCCCCATCCAATCTCAATTTATGAACACTCAAAATCTAATTATACATTGGAAATTTGTAATTGTGCAAATAATTTAAAAATTAATGAAGAGAGACAAAAAAAAAAAAAAATAGTATGCAGATAATATAAAATTTAAAAAGTAATGATTTTATATATATACATATATATTATTTTTATTAGTTCTTTATAATTTATATTATAATTTCAATAATTATTTTCTTTATGAAAAAACAAGTAAAAATTTTATGTTAACAAAAATCTATATATATATTTTATAGTGATATAATAATTTTAAATATGATGAGATAAAATTTAAAAAAATTAAAAATAAGATAAATAATAAATTTAATAAATAAGAGGAGGTTAGGTATAATGGCTGATGGAATTAATCACAATAGAGTTAGAAAATTTTTTTGGAGGTCGTGATCTATCCTTTGGTTATGTCTCTTAATATAATTACATGACATAAAAATAATATAATTTAAAATTTTGATATAAATTATATATGAATTTAAAAAATTATAAAAATTATAATTTGTATTTAACCTATCGAGTGATAATTCAAAAATTTTTATATTTTATGTATATTTGATACGTAATAAGCGTAATAAATTAATTATCAGGAATGGATGAGGGATAGAAAAGATTAAACAGAAGAACTAAGGTGCCAATTTCAAATAATCCAAAACAGGGGGTCTTCGATATAAAAGAACAAAGATAAAAGACAATTGCGTAAAGCACAGGAAAAATGATAATGGGAATATATTTATTTTAAGTAAGTTGGCATTAAAAAAAATTGAGAAAAGGGACGGGTAACCAATCCAACGCATCCGATAGCACGATAACAACAAAACACTTGACTTCACTATTATGAGCTTCAGAGCATGACTGAAAGTCATGAACGATGCGTCATTGAAGTCAAATCTGACGGTCCTGCTTCTACGTCACAAACGTGTGACCTAACATCAGCTTTTTCACGGGAGGATTTCCCACTTTTTTCGTTTTCCAAACGGACCAGACCCTTATTACGCAAATTGAAACGACAAGGACAGCACTCTATTATTTCGCTTACTCGAAAACTAAAAAAAAAAAACTCTCTTTTCTCTCTGAAGGGCTTTTCGTTTTTGCTCTCTCTCTCTCTCTCTCATTCATATTAGAGCCTTTTGCGCTTCTCTGTGCCGTCTCTCTGGAAACTGACGGTTTTTTTAGACGGGGCTATACTTACACTTCACTGTAAGTAATGATTGTTTTTTTTTTTTTTTTTTAAAGTCTTTTCTTTGTATGTTTTAAGCTGAAAATTTTGGATTAATTTGACTACTTTTAAAGGGTTTCAACATTTGATTTGTTTATTCTGTTCAAGCTTTCAGCGTAGTGAAGTGTGGGTTATTCTGCTTTTATAGTGTAATTTGAGTGTTTCTTTCTTCATCTTGGACCAATTTATTCATTGTTTTAACTTATGGGTTTTTAGGTTGTGGTGAATTTGGTGATGGGTTTTTGATTTTGAGTGGTTTTGTTGTGTAACTTGACAGATTTTTAGTTCTTAGTTTTTGTTAATTGTTGTAAATTGGTGTTTTTTTGTTGGATATATGAGTTGCTTGAATTGCAGATCCAGGTTAAAAAACTTGTTTTGGATTGGTTAGATTTAATTTATATGTCAGTTTATATGGAAAAATGGGTACTCAAATCTTGGATCTGTTATGGCAGTAATAAATTGAGTGGCAAGGACCCCTTTTTGTTTGTGCAAATAGTTCAATAGCTGCTCTTTTTTTAGCTGTAAAATTGAGCTGGAGTGCTCTATTGATTAATTAGAAGTAGTTTTGGACTAAATGGTCTAGCTAGGATGCGTCTTCTTGATGTGGACCAATGATTAGCTAAGCAATAAATTCAAAGTTATGACTTTCATATGTGACATTTGAAGTCAATGCATCATGTATGGCTGCTTTTTGAAGGGGAAATTAATGATGAAAATTTTCAACATTCTATCAAGTTTTTTTTTATTTTTTTGGTCTGACCATATTCTGAACTTAAGCTGTCTATGTGCTTTTGAGGGGTCCTCTCTGCTTTCTATTTGCATGTTAATATCTATCTTCGAACCTGTATATTTAGTATAATTCTTTTTTTTTTCTTTTGGTATATCCTTTGCTAGACGCTCATGATGAAGCTTTTATACACGTTCTTACAGGCTAATGTGTGTTTAGAGCATGCAACATGCTTTAATCAGCATGCTCAGCGTCATGTCCGTTTCTTTGTACTTGTAATGTAATTATGTTAAGGAGAAAGTTGTTGGACTTAGTTAAAGTTTAACCAGTATGTTAGCAGCAAGTATGACCAGGGATGTTGAAGTAAGTATCAACTGTAATTAAGAATAGGATCTTTTACTCTGAATTTACCCAGTATTACATAAACATGCCTACATGGTGGGGAAAGTCTTCATCCAAAGAAGACAAAAGGAAAGCAAGCAAGGAGAGTTTCATTGATGTTATAAATCGTAAGCTTAAGTTCACGTCTGATGAAAAATCCACTAGCAGATTAGGGGGTTCTAGAAGACGCCGTTGTGATGCTGTTTCAGAAAGGGGATCTCTGTCTCGAGTCCCGTCGAGATCATCATCACCCTCCACGCAAGTATCACGCTGTCAAAGTTTTGTGGAGAGGCCTCATGCTCAACCACTTCCACTACCTGGGTTGCATCCTGCTAGCGTTGTGCATGCTAATTCTGGAATTAATGCATCAACAAGACCAGGAGTTGACAAAGATTCAAGGCCATCACTGCTTTTTCCCTTGCCGAAACCTGAACAAGTCTCTAACAAACTGGATCATGTAGACGCTGAGGGAGATATTGCTACTGCTTCTATTTCTAGCGATAGCTCCATTTATAGTGATGACCCATCTGATTCTCGTCTTCCTAGCTCCTTGACTTCTGATTATGAAAATGGACAGAGAACTGCTGCAAACAGTCCGTCTAGGTGAGTTTCAACTAATATCATTTAACTTATAGTATTTCTGAACTGTCCCCCTCTTGCTACTTGTATGTCACCCCTAATTGATTATCATTTCAATTTTTAATGAAGCATAAAGCACACGGATCAGTTGCCTGTCGTCAATCAGGACTCAAAAGAGATACTGAAGCCTGCTAATATATCTTTTAATCATCAGTACCTATCCACATCACCTAAGCGAGGACCATTGAGCAATCATGTTCAAAATTTACAGATTCCTCAACGTGGTGCTTTATCTAGTGCTCCAGACAGCTCAATGTCAAGTCCTTCTAGAAGTCCAATTTGGAACTCTGGTCCATATACGGGAAAGCCTTTCACTGACATAGCTTTCCTGGGATCTGGACAATGCTCTAGTCCTGGTTCAGGCCATAATTCTGGACATAATTCAGTTGGTGGAGATATGTCAGGACAGTTATTTTGGCCACAAAGCAGGTGTAGCCCTGAGTGTTCACCAATACCTAGTCCTAGAATGACAAGTCCTGGTCCGAGCTCCAGAATACACAGTGGTGCTGTCACCCCTTTGCATCCGCGAGCTGCAGGGGCTGCCATTGAGTCACCTACAAGCCGACCTGATGATGTGAAACAGCAAAGCCACAGGTTGCCTCTCCCTCCAATAGCAATATCTCCGTGCCTCTTTTCTCCTGCGTATTCAGCAGCGACATCTCCATCGCTACCCCGAAGTCCTGGTAGGGCAGAAAACCCAACAAGCCCTGGCTCCCGCTGGAAGAAAGGACGATTGTTGGGGAGGGGCACCTTTGGACACGTCTATCTTGGTTTTAACAGGTCTGTCAAATGGTTATTCTCCACTCTCCATCTGTTTCATATTAATATGTTCTGTTTATTTTTGAGTGTTGCATTTTGCAACATTATTTGCTTTCATAGCCACAACTTTATCTTTATAAAGCTATATGTGAGATTGAACCCAGCTAATTTTTTCAATCACAATGTGTCTGAGTTTTGGATTAATCCTTGTTTAATTTTATCATCTAATTTGAATGTGCACATTCCTTGTTCAAGGTTGTTGAGTTCCTTGTTTTCTGACTCAAATTGAGTGGTCTAATATTTTTTGCAATTTCCTTACTATTTCAATGCTTGATTTTGGTCTCTCATCATTGTTATATGAGACAGAGTGTTTGGCTGTTAAGGAACAACATAAGAATAAAATGAGCGTAGTTGAAATGAGGATGGAAATGAGGATGCTTACATGGATGTGTGGTAAGACTAAAAAGACAAAATAAAAAATGAAAAGGTTCAAGGAAAATTAACGGTAGTCTAAATTGAGGAAAAGATGAGAGAAGCCATTGGAGATGGTTTGGACATGTGAAACTTAGGTCTGTTTGTGCATCAGTTAGGAGAAATGAGATTTTGGATTTGGGAGAGACTGAAACTTTTAGAGGTAGATCAAGAAAGATGTGGTTGCAAGCAATAAGAAATTATATGAGGCTTAGGGAAGTTGATGAAAAGGTTGTTTTTGATAAAAATGAATGACGCAAGAAGATTTAAAACTATGATCTAATATGAATTTTTTTAGCCTTTCGTACAGTCGTCCTCAGAGTTATGGGATGTAAGGCTTAGTTTCTTGTTGTTCTTCAAAGCTTGATTTATTTTCTCTCTCCTTTCTCCTTTTTACCTCTTGATTAGTGAAAGTGGGGAGATGTGCGCAATGAAGGAGGTAACTTTGTTTTCTGATGATGCCAAATCAAAGGAAAGTGCACAGCAGTTGGGACAAGTAAGTCCTTCTCTTATAGGTTATTATTGTTATTATTAAAAAAGAGATTTTTTTGGAAATTTTGTAGCTTTAAGAGCAGAAATCATGTTTTCCCTGAGGTTCATGTGTTGATTTTTCTTTTGGTGTTAATAATTTTAGGTGATTTTTATACTCATGGATAGTTTTTTTGCAGGAAATTATGCTGCTAAGTCGCTTACGACATCCAAATATAGTGCGATATTATGGATTTGAAACCGTGAGTTTTGTTCTTTGATTTTAAGAGCTTGTAAAGGTTTCATTCCCATAATTGTTCTCTGATCATCTGTCATTATTAGAGGTTCTCTTCAGATTAAATATAAATAGATCAACAGGATCAGTTAATGCATTATACTAATTCCATTTGTTTGCCATTTTATTTCATGAACAGGTAGATGATAAACTTTATATATACCTGGAGTATGTTTCTGGTGGATCCATTTACAAACTTCTTCAAGAGTATGGTCAGTTTGGTGAAAGTGCCATTCGGAATTTTACTCAACAAATTTTGTCTGGGTTGGCTTACTTGCATGCTAAAAATACCGTTCATAGGTAAGCTTACTTTCTGGTGTGCTTGGGTTGTTCACTTTGGGAATATCATAATCCGTCATTGTGTCAATAATGCTGGAGTGTCATTTGTTATAATGTGCAAAATTTTCAGAGACATAAAAGGAGCAAACATACTGGTTGACCCTAATGGCCGTGTGAAATTGGCTGATTTTGGGATGGCAAAGCACGTAAGAGCACTTATCTATAATTTCATAATTAATGCTTTTACCTACAAAACCAAAATAAATAATGCTTATGTTGCTATGGTTATATGAACTATATTCCAAAAGATGATATTATCCTAAGTAAATTCCTGAGTCCTATTTGTCTTTAGAACATCCTTGTAAGAAAAATAATCCATAATTTGCTGCCTCGTAAGAATACTTTAAGCACATATTCCATGTCTCTAGTTTCTAATATAAGGTTATCTGAAATAATTTGCAGATTACTGGGTCATCTTGTCCATTATCATTCAAGGGAAGCCCCTATTGGATGGCACCTGAGGTCAGCCTACTTTTATAGTTATGTTTCAAGGTCTTCATTTCTATGATGCTTTTTAGTAATATTGTTTAATTCCATTTTCCATTCAGGTTATAAAGTACTCAAATGGATGTAACCTTGCTGTTGATATATGGAGCCTTGGGTGCACAGTTTTGGAGATGGCTACCACAAAACCACCTTGGAGCCAGTATGAAGGGGTTAGTAAATTTTTATACACGCATGAAATTTTGATTTTGTTAGATATTGTAAAAAATAAATGTCATCACTAATACAGCAAAGTACCTTTCCCTTCTGTATGACCATCCTAGTAATTAAATTCCTTTCTAATGGAGAATGCTGCATTTCCAGTGTCATCGCTAATACAGCAAAGTACCTTTATCTTCTGTATGACCATCCTAGTATTTTAATTCCTTTCTAATGGAGAATGCTGCATGCCCAATGTGAAGATTTCTCAACCTTTTATTTTGTTTTTGATACATATTTTATACTACTTCAAAGGTTGCTGCTATGTTCAAGATTGGCAACAGTAAAGAACTTCCAGCAATTCCTGATAGTCTTTCAGATGACGGGAAGGACTTTGTGAGGCAGTGTTTACAAAGAAACCCATCACATCGTCCTACAGCAGCTTGGCTTTTAGAACACCCTTTTGTAAAAAATGCTGCACCACTGGAAAGACCCAATTTTAGTGCTGATGCATCAGACCCATCACCTGCAGTTGCCAACGCCATGAGAACACTGGTATAAATATAATAATAAGTTTTGTATATCTGATCTGTCTAATGATTTGACCTTTTTTATCACAAGTACCTGTTCAGGTTTTTACCATCATTGCTGACTGCTGCATTCTGCTTTTGAATGTCTCATTAGGAAATTGGAAATACTAGGAATCTTTCATGCATAGATTCAGAAGGGACGGCTAGCCTTCCATGTAGAGGTTTAAAAATTGGATCAGGATCCAGGTATCTCTCTCTCTCCAACGTGGATGCACACATGTTAACACAAATGTGAACACACACTCGTAGTTGTATGTTCAACCTAGACATGCATGCTTAAACGTGTCCTAATGGTGGTTGTGCTGTATATGAACTTTGATTTACGGTTTAGGGCCTTTGGACATTTAATTTGTAAATATTTTGGGCTTTGTAAAATAAAAATGGTCCAAATACTATGGGTGACCCGAAAATCACTTTTTTGCATACCACAATCTGAAATAATGTACTAGTTATGCCCGCCCCTCTCGTATCACAAAATTTTTAAATGGCGAACCAATTCCTGATTTCGTACCTTGAACCGAGGCATACCATGTTCCTGGTACTATGACTCAGACTTGATACTTCTATCAGTGTAGTGCATGTTGTCATCAGATGCTGTATTATGATTTCATGAATGATTATAGAATGTTCACATGTAACTAGGGTCTTTTTCCTGCAAAATACTTTGTCTTAATACCTTTGCCCCCTTAGATTCCTGGCGCATCGAATTTTATCTACTTTTGTGATTGCATTTAGAGAGAAATAAAGCCATTACCTCTAGCTTGAAAGCTGCTGTGGATGTCTGGGTTGGTCTCATTCTAACTAGAAAATGCGTCTGCAACCAAGTTTTTTATGTGTCAACAGTACCTGCTCTAATCCAGATATGATCTTTCAGTCTTATCATGATTTTCTTTAATTACTTATTCCTTCTCTATTGCAGTGACGCTCATACACCTAGGAACATGTCATGCCCAGTTTCTCCCATGGGCAGTCCTCTACTACATCCAAGGTCACCACAACATTTGAGTGGAAGGATGTCCCCCTCTCCGATATCTAGCCCTCATACTGCCTCTGGTTCTTCCACTCCTCTTACTGGTGGGAGTGGTGCCATTCCATTTCATCACCAAAAACAACCAATGACCTACTTGCATGAAGGTATTGGAATAACCCCAAGGTCCCAAAATAGTTTCTATGGAAATGCTAGCAACCCTTATCAAGAACCCGAGCCTGATCTGTTTCGAGGGATTTCTCAAGCCTCTAATGTTTTCCAAGAAATTATTTCATCAGATAGTGGTGCTTTTGGAAAACAGTATGGAAGATCTGGCCATGTTGATCACAGGGAACTCTATGATGGACAACCAGTCTTGGCTGATCATGTGTCTCAGCAACTCTTAAGAGACCATGTGAAGTTGAAACCATCACTGGACCTTAATACAAGTTCATCAATGCTTGGGCGTAATGGAGGATTCTAGTTTGCTCCAGAAACCTGTCATGGGGAGGCTTTCAAGGATTTTTGATGGTATTTGGGGCTCAGTTGTTGCTTCTTTCCTCAAAGTTAAGGTCACAGGCTCAAAGTTCCACGCATATATATTTGCTTGTTTCTGGAAGATTGAGTGGCATAAAGGAGATATGATGTTGAAGTGGCCCCTTTGCTTGGTTGTTCAATTCTCACAATAAGCAACAATCAACATGCAAGAGGTTCTTGGAGGCTGGGTTTTAGCTGCACTCACAAAATTGTCATGTTGGTGTCGGTGACTGAAACTCTCCACCTTGCTGGCACATATTTCACCAACATGGTAGGCAATCCGTGTCACTTGTGAGTATATCGTGCAATGTGCAGGCAAAGAAGTTAAAAACCAAGCTCACCTCTGGAGATTGACTTTAAAGCAGTTCCTGTTGATGAACCCATCCGCTAGTGTAAAGAGAACTGTACATTTTATCACATCAAGAAACTCATAGAAGAGCAATTCTTTTCCAATTTTATCGTACCCCCTACAATTTTTACAGGTGGAAGGACAGTGCTAATGGTTAAAAAAGTTTTGTACAGAAGGTGGGGAACCAAAGCCATATCTAGGCTTTGTCAAGATGACCTGCAAAATTTTTGTGACTGGTTCTGGTAAATTTTTTTTTTTCCATCAGCTGTTGCAGCCCAGTCAGAAACTTAATTGTGGCTGCTGATAATGATGTATCACACTGGCAGCAAATTGTTAAATTATAATTTTACTTGTATTAGCTTTGAAACATTGGGAAATGAACTATGCTGTACATTTTCGGGACATACAATGTTGAAAAATCGCGAGTTCTGCCTCGATGTCTTCATTACTAGCTTCGGCCTCAATTTCTCCAAAGTTCAAATAGATTATTAGCCGGCTTGAGGGCTGAATTTAGTAATTGACATGGTAAATTGATGATCGAAAGGGAAGGTTGGCGGGTTGCCACTGTATTCATCTTTGGCATTTCTTACTAATGCAAAACTATTACATCAGAGTCCCCACTACATGAAACGAACTGCTAAATTAGTTAAACTGTACATCTGAACCACAGGACACCACAGTGTAACCATCGGGCTGCATTTTTTCATCTAGTTTTCATATTCATGCAGTCAAATCGAGAACAAGGACTAGTTGCTGAAACTATAACTAATCTCTTTATTTTCAGATACTTAAATATTCCACATTTATTCCAAATCCTGTCCATAGAATAGGAGATCACTCCATATACATAACCTTTGCATGATATGAAAATAGTGTGTTTTCACAGCTTTCAGTTTTAAGAGCACAGGCTTTCTCTTTAATTTGGATTGTATACATGTAGCGAGAATGCAATCTGCAACTCCTTTTCCATGGGCCTTCTCAGCCAACTACTTAGAATTGGTCAAGGTCATGCTGAAGTCCCATAGCCTTTTAGCCAAGTCTGCATCTTTAGCGTTAGACCTTGGGTTGCCTATGTTGCTGTCCACGAAATATTCCCCACTAAAACCTTTAACTTGCGGATTTAATGCGACGTAGCAAGTTGTGGCAGCTCCCTACAACCATATCGACAAAATCCAAAAAGCATCTGAGCCATGTGCAAAATGAATCTTATCACAATTCATAAATAATACTACCTGTGGAATACTTTTGAGGAAACATTTGCCAACTGTATTGAAAATGCCTGCATCAAGGCAATTTATTTGAGTAGTAATCTAAAGACAAAGTTGATATAAGTCAACTTCAAGCAGTTTGATACTAAGGGATTCATTCAAGGTGGGGGATGAAGCATCACTACATATTTGTACTACCTGTTACTAGATTGTAATCAGCACTGTCAAGTAAAATCATTACAGTTGTGCAGCTAACCGTGTCCTTACTAAATTATACATTGTAAGTCATATTCTAAGTCGAAGGAAAGTAATCTAACTTGTTTTAAACTTCCAATATACTGAAAATATCTTCAAAAGGCAACAATCAACTAAATCTTAAATGATTTGAGGGATTACTGTTGAGAAAACCATGGTGGCGCATAAGATTGGTCATAATTACTCCAGGATGAAGTGAATTTGCTGTAATCTCCACCCCTTCTTCCTGTTTGTATCAAGAAAAAAAGAAATCATTCAAAGACTAGATCCCACTTGGCAAATTAATGGCAATACGGCAAGTTGACCTTGTAGTTATTAATTAAAAATGATGTAATAAACTCTAATTACACAATATTGCAGCAGCAAATGAAATTTAAGACACACAGAGAAAGATACTTAAACAAAGTAGAAACTTCTACTAAAAAAAGCACTAGAGGTTCACTGATAGGCCGGTTACTTTTCTACCAACAGAATTTGGCAAAACAATCTATTATGACCAACTTTTTCAATGTGAGAAAACCATGGTGACGCACTAGATGCAACTTTTTCAATGTGAACATGTTGTCACCTGCATGATACATTAGGTTCAAGAACTGTGAAATGCATTGGTTTGTACGGTTTGTACATCAAAGACAAATTGACCATATTGTGTACCTTTAGGTGCCTAGCAAGCTCCTTAGCGTGCAGTATGTTAGCAAGCTTTGATTGTCCATAAGCAGACCAAGAAATGTATCTGTAAATTAGCAAGCAAAAGGAGAAAGAAATGATCAAGCATTCTATAATTATCTTGGACCAAACGAAACTAGTCATCCATGATTTTGCGCCCCCCCCCCCCCCCCCAAAAAAAAAAAAATAAAAAGCAGCAAGTTAGTGAAGCCTGTCATCTGTTTTACCCTGATTCATCATTGATTTTATCAAAACGAATTCCCTCGCGATACGCAATACGGTGACCTTCTGAAGATAAATTAACAATCCTTCCTTCTCTGTTGCTTTCACGTGCTGTATTTTTCATAGTCTCCAACAAAAGGTTTGTTAACAGAAAATGACCTGCAAATTAGTTACTATATCTCATTAGATTTGACATTCACGTACACATAGCAGCTATTTTTCAATCCAAGTATAAAACATCAATTTACTCATAATCAACAAACTATTTATTAATAACTTTATATAAAATATATTAACCTAAATGGTTGGTCGCAAACTGCAGTTCTATGTTGTCCTGGGATAACATGAAAGCAGTCTCCATAACCCCTGCATTGTTGCTTTCATGCAAAGAAAGAGAAAATTAGTCCTCTAATCAAAAGTTTTAATAAAGTTCACGCACAAGCAAAACCAAAGAGCAATTAACGGAATAACAAGAAAAAGGCAATAACAGCTCCAGTCATAAGCACAAAAGAACATTAGTTAATTCACATATCAGTGCACATAAATGCATATATCCACATCCACATGCGTGCAGAAACTTGAAGAAAAATTCCATAAATAATTGAACTTGCAGCAGTTTATAGTTCTTACATGAGCAGATTAAGGGGAAGACTTGATGACTGATAATCTGATGCAAATTTCCTTACTGATGCCATCGAGCTCAGATCTAATTCCATTACATCGATCTTAGCACCAGGTATTTCTTTAAGTATTGCTTCTTTGACGCTCCTACCAGCATCCATATTCCTTACTGCCATAACCACATGGACACCACGCAATGCAAGAACGCGTGTTGTCTCTACACCAATGCCACTTGACGCTCCTGAAATGAACTGATATGAGCACTTGACTACATAACTAAAAGAAAAACATGAAAGCAACAATATTAGGGCTGTGGTGGTAATAAATATAAACGCATTTTTGTCAAGCAAGAAGTTGGGGTTTTTTTTTTTTCTCTTCCCCATTCTTCTTTTGGGAAAGTGGCCTTCTTTTGAATAACAAAGACTAAAGCTCTCATAAAAATATTGTAAATTTAACCGTATATACCCAAAACCCAGAACTTGCAACCAAAAAAAGTTATGCACGATCTCTCTGCAAAAGGATCATCACTAAGTTCACTAAATATGGCAAAGCCTGCCAACTGGGGATTAAATTTGTTAGGGACATTTTTAGATCATAAGGATATAATCATCTTTTATTATAAGAGAATAATTCGCAATTAAATCAAAGTTATTTTGATGTTTGAATCGAACTAACGTGATGAACCACACTTATATGATAGACCGACCTAAGCATACCTCAACCATGTTAATCTAGCAAGTCACCGTTCTCTCATGTATAAATATTCTTTTACTCGCTCTAAGCAGGGGCAATTTTTCTCTTAATTTTCATTTTTATGTTTGAGGTCTGTCTCTCCTTATTTATTGCAATACAACAAACGCTAGAGCACAAGTACCAAGACAATTACAACTTTTGCTCCTAACCCATTTCGTACTTGTTACGTTCACGGTCCGAGATTAACGTCAACAAAATTCATAAAAAAAAAAGTTCACTTCTTGTCGTTTTCTACAGAGATAAATTTCATTTCTTGTCCAATCATCATCTGATCTTTCTATTTGTCTAATTGGTAAACCTGTAACATTTGAACGTAAATGACCCACCTACTTGGTTTTTCTATAGAAAGACAAGAAAGGAGTCTAAGTAACTCGGAAAAAAAAAAAACCTGTAACGATGGCAGTGAGCCCAGTTCCATCAATCCCTTGAGTAACTTCCACTGCTGTAGAAGAAGCAGAGAAGCCAGATGGTCCTTTTCACCCAAAAATCCACATGCTTTCTTTTGCAGATTAGATTACGGTTACACTTTCACTACCCCAAAACAACAGATTCACTGTAGAACCAGACTAGCCGTTTTTGACAAAAGTCAAAGCTTTGCCATACGTTAATACAAAAAGGTCATTGACCATGTCAATATTTCCTCGTTGACAACAATTTCTTGGAGGAAACGAAAAGAAAAAAGGAAATCATGTCTTGTCATGACATCATAGGGTGGCCCCACTCTACAACGAAACAATTACACTATTAATTATTATTACCATTCAGTAAATAGAAAGGAATTTTATGTCAATCTAAAATTAAAAAATTTTAAATTATTTATTTAATTATAAATATTTTTAATAATTAATTTTAATACATTTAAAAAGAAGAGAATCAAAGGAAAAAATTAATCTAATTTTTTTTAAGTTCTTAATCAATTTTTAAAATTTTTATCTTATTATTTATCTAATTAAAAAAAATTACATACATAAATTATTAAATTTATATTTTTAAATGTTAATTTTAATTATATATCAATTGATCTAAAAATACTCAATAATTAATTTTTTTGAATTTATTAAAATTAATCATTAAATTTTTTTTTTTATAAATATAGATAACTCTGGTAATAAAAAAATGTAAAATATATTTAAAATATCAATTAATTTTATTCATGTGCCCATGTCTCTGTTCATTGTATTTCTCTACATTAACAAAAATAACATTAAGTTCTTCCTTATTACATGTAAATAAAATAAATTTTTTTATATTTAATTATAATTATAATTTTTTTAATTATTTTATAAATTAAGTTATTTTAGGAAAATTTCTAATTGAAAAACCAAAGATTAATTATAACTTGTCTGTTTACCAATAGTGTTAGATAATAAACGTAAGTCTTTGGTCATTTAATTAAATTTTTTACTTTAAAAATGTATAGTTATAAATTTATAGTTAGAGATTATTAAAAAAATTATAACTTTATTTACACATAATAAAAAAAAAAGATATTTAATTTAATTTTTTATTAAAATTTAAAACGTATATTAAAATATTAAACCAAAAGAAATAATGCTTACTTCTTAAGAATATTTCATTGATGATTAGGTTTTAGAAATAAGGTATTTCACGTGGGAAATTAATTTAAAAGTTTTTAATTTTATATATTTATAAACAATTTATAGTATTATAAAAATTTTAGTAATATTTTATCCACGCATGCTTTTTTTTTTTTTTTGCCTGGGACATGCAATCTTAAATGTGCCCTAATGGTGGTTATGCTGTATACGAATTTCAGTAGGTAGAGGGCCTTTGGATATGTAATTTGTAAAATATTTTGGCTTTGTAAAACAAAAAAAATGGTCCAAGTACTATTGGGTGACCCGAAAATCCCTTTATTGCATACCGCAATTCGAACCTTGAACCGAGGCGTGCTATGCTCCTGGTACTATGACTCAGACTTGATACTTCTATCATTATAGTGCATGTTGTCATCAGATGGTGTATTATGATTCCACGAATGATTATAGAACGTTCACATGTAACTAGGGTCTTTTTCCTACAAAATCCTTTGTCTTAATACCTTTGTCCCCTTAGATTCCTGAAGCATTGAATTTTATCTACTTTTGTGATTGCATTTAGAGAGAAATAAAGCCATTACTTCTAGCTTGAAAACTGCTGTGAATGTCTTGGTTGGTCTGATTCTAAGTAGAAAAGGTGTCTGCAACCAAGTTTTTTATGTGTTAACAGTATCTGCTCTAATCTAGATATGATCTTTCGGTCTTATCATGATTTTCTTTAATTACTTATTCCTTCTCTATTGCTGCATTGCAGTGATGCTCATACACCTAGGAACATGTCATGCCCAGTTTCTCCCATTGGCAGTCCTCTACTACATTCAAGGTCACCACAACATTTGAGTGGAAGGATGTCCCCCTCTCCGATATCTAGCCCTCATGCTGCTTCTAGTTCTTCCACTCCTCTTACTGGTGGTAGTGGTGCCATTCCATTTCATCACCAAAAACAACCAATGATCTACTTGCATGAAGGTATCGGAATAACCCCAAGGTCCCAAAATAGTTTCTATGGAAATGCTAGCAACCCTTATCAAGAACCCAAGCCTGATCTGTTTCGAGGGATTTCTCAAGCCGCTAATGTTTTCCAAGAAATGATTTCATCAGATAATGGTGCTTTTGGAAAACAGTATGGAAGGCCTGGCCATGTTGTTGGTCATAGGTAACTCTATGATGGACAGCCAGTCTTGGCTGACCATGTGATCAGCAAATCTTAAGGGACCATGTGAAGTTGAAACCATCACGGGACCTTAATAAAAGTTCATCAATGCTTGGGCGTAATGGAGGAATCTAGTTTGCTCAGAAACCTGTCATGGGGAGGGTTTCAAGCATTTTAGATGCTATTCGGGGCTCAGTTGTTGTTTCTTTCCTCAAAGTTAAGGTCACAGGCTCATATTTCCACCCATATATATGATTGTTTCTGGAAGATTGAGAGGCATAAAGGAGATATGATGTTGAAGTGGCCCCTTTGCTTGGTCGTTCAATTTTTACAGCAAGCAACAATCAACATGCAAAAGGTTCTTGGAGGCTGGATTTTAGCCGCATTCACAAAATTGTCACGTTGGTGTCGGGGACTAATACTCTTCACCTTGCTGGCACATATATCACCATCATAGTAGGCAATCCGTGTCACTTGTGAGTATACCGTGCAATGTGGAGGCAAAGAAGTTTAAAACCAAGCTCACCTCTGGAGATTGACTTAAAGCAGCTCCTGATGATGAACCATCCGGTAGTGTAAAGAGAACTGTACATTTTATCACACCAAGAAACACATAGAAGAGCTATTCTTTTCCAATTTTTTCCCTCCTTCCACAATTTTTACAGGTGGAAAGACAGTGGCAGTGGTTAAAAAAGTTTTGCACAGAAGGTGGGAAACCAAAACCAAATCCAGGCTTTGTCAAAATGACCTATTAAGTTTGCTGGGACTGGTTCTGGTAAAAAAAATTTTTCCAACAGCTGTAGCGGCCTTGCCAAAAACTTAATTGTTGCTGCTGATAATGATGTATCTATATTACACTGGCAGCAAATTGTTAAATTCTAATTTTACTATATGTATTTTGAAACATTAGGAAATGAACTATGCTGTACATTTTCGGAACATACAAAGTCGGAAATCGCTTGACCTGCCTAGGTTTCTTTATTATTTGTTTTGGCTTCGATTTGTCCAAAGTTCAAATAGATTATTAGCCGGCTTGAGTACTGAATTTTAGTAATTTGATATGGTAAATTGATGATCGAGAGGGAAGGTTGGCAGGTTGCTGCTGTATTCATCTTTGGTATTTCTTACTAATGCAAAAAATTTACATCAGAGTCCCCACTACATGAAACGAACTGCTAAATGACTTAACTGTACCTTTGAGCCACAGGAGATCACATTATTACCATTTGGCTGCATTTTTTCATCTAGTTTTCATTTTCATGTAGTCAATACGAGAACAAGGACTAGTTGTTGAAACTATTACTATCATAGACTTGAATATTCCACATTTCATCCAAATCCTGTCCATAGAATTAAGACATCACTCCATATACACAACCTTTGCACGATAGGAAAACAGTGTGTTTTCACAGCTTTCAAGTTTAAGAGTACAAGCATTAAACTGCAAATATCTTTAGCCCAAGTATAGTCATACAATTTGGATTTTATACATGAAGTGAGAATCCAATCGGCAACTCCTCTTCCATAGGCCTTCTCAGCCAACTACTTGGAATTGGTCAAGGTCAAGCTGAAGTCCCATAGCCTTTTAGCCAAGTCTGAATCTTTAGCCTTAGAGCTTGGGTTGCCTATGTTGCTGTCCGAGAAATATTCTCCACTAACACCTTTAACTTGCGGATGTAATGCGACATAGCATGTAGTAGCAGCTCCCTACAACCATATCAAAAGAAACCAATAAGCATCTGAGACATGTGCATAAAGAATCGTATCACAATTCATAAATAATATTACCTGTGGAATACTTTTGAGGAAATATTTGCCAACAATATTGCCAATGCCTGCATCAAGGTAATATATTGGATCAGTTATCTAAAGACAAAGTTGATACAAGTCAACTTCAAGCAGTTTGATACTAAGGGATTCATTCAAAGTGGGGGATGAAGCACCACTACATATTTGTACTACCTGTTACTAGATTGTAATCAGCACTGTCAAGTAAAATCATTACAGTTGTGCAACTAACCTTGTCCTTACTAAATTATACATTGTGAGTCTTATTGTAAGTCAAAGGAAAGTAATCTAACTTGTTTTAAACTTCCAATATACTTAAAACCATCTTCAAACGGCAAAAATCAACTAAATCTGAAATGATTTGAGGGATTACTGTTGAGAAAACCATGGTGGCGCATAAGATTGGTCATGATTGCTCCAGGATGAAGTGAATTTGCTGTAATCTCCATCCCTTCTTCCTGTTTGTATCAAGAAAGAAAGAAAATCATTCAAAGATTAGATTCCACTTGGCAAATTAATAGCAGTACGGCATGCTGACCTTGTAGTTATTAATTAAAAATGATATAATAAACTCTCATTGCACCGTCTAGCAGCAACAAATGAAATTTAAGACACACAGAGAAAGATGCTTTAACAAAGTAGAAACTTCTACCTTCTACTAAATGCACAAGTGGTTCACGAATAGACCGGTTACTTTTCAACCAACAGAATTTGGCAAAACAATCTAATAAAAATGAAAATTGTAATGAAATGCAATCTTTTCAATGTCAACATGTTATTACCTGCATGATACATTAGGTTCAAGAACTGTGAAATGCATTGGTTTGTATAGATTGTACATCAAAGACATATTGACCATATTGTGTACCTTTAGGCGCGAAGCAAGCTCCTTAGCATGCAATATGTTAGCAAGCTTTGATTGTCCATAAGCAAACCAACTGTGGTATCTGTAAATTAGCAAGCAAAAGGAGAAAGAAATGATCAAGCATTTTATAATTATCTTGGACCAAACAAAACTAGTCATCCTTGATTTTGGCTCCCCCCCCCCCCCACCAAAAAAAAAAAAGCAGCAAATTAGTGAAGCCTGTCATCAGTTTTACCCTGATTCATCATTGATTTTATCAAAGCGAATTCCCTCGCGATACGCAAAACGGTGACCTTCTGAAGATAAATTAACAATCCTTCCTTCTCTGTTGCTTTCACGTGCTGTATTTTTCATAGTCTCCAACAACAGGTTTGTTAACAGAAAATGACCTGCAAAATAGTTACCATACCTCATTAGATTTGAGATTCACATACACATAGCAGCCATTTTTAATCCAAGTATAAAACATTAATTTATTCATAATCATCACACTATTTATAGATAAATTTATAGGGAAATATATTAACCTAAATGGTTGGTCGCAAACTGCAGTTCTATGTTGTCATGGGATAACATGAAAGGAGTCCCCATAATCCCTGCATTGTTGCTTTCAAGCAAAGAAAGAGAAAATTAGTCCTGTAATCAAAAGTTTTAATAAAGTTCATGCACAAGCACAACCAAAGAGCAATTGACAAAATAACAAAAAAAAAGGCAATAACAGCTCTAATCATAAGCACAAAAGAAAATTAGTTAATTCACATATCAGTCGACATAAATGCACATATCCACACGCACATGTGTGCAGAAATTTGAAGAAAAAGTCCATAAATAATTGAACTTGCAGCAGTTTATAGTTCTTACATAAGCAGATTAAGGGGAAGACTTGATGACTGATAGTCAGATGCAAATTTCCTTACTGATGCCATTGAGCTCAGATCTAATTCCATTACATCAATCTTAGCACCAGGTATTTGTTTAAGTATTTCTTCTTTGACACTCCTACCAGCATCCACATTCCTTACTGCCATAACCACATGGACACCACGCAATGCAAGAACGCGCGTTGTCTCTACACCTAAACCACTTGACGCTCCTGAAATGAACTGATATAAGCACTTGACTACATAACTAAAAGAAAAACAAGAAAGCAACAATATTAAGGCTGTGGTGGTAATAAATATAAACGCATTTTTGTCAAGCAAGAAGTCGGGGGTTTTCTTTTCTTTTTCTTCCCCAAGCTTCGTTTGGAAAAGTGGCCTCCTGTTGAATAACAAAGACTAAAGCTCTCATATGCCAGAAAGATCTGATAAAATATTGTAAATTTAACAGTATATACCCAAAACCCAGAAATTGCAATCAAGAAAAGTTATGCACGATCTCTCTGCAAAAAGTTCATCATCAAGTTCACTAATTATGGCAAAGCCTGGCAACCGGGGATTAAATTCATCAGAAAAAAAAGTTCACTTCTTTTCCTTTCTGCAGAGATAAATTTCATTTCTTGTCAAATCATCAACTGATCTTTCTATTTGTCTAATTGGGAAACCTCTAACATTTGAACATAAATGACCCACTTACTTGGTTTTTCTATAAAAAGAAGGTATTTCCCCAAACTATCCTACCAACCAAACAGAAGCTCAGATTAAGAATCTGACAGCTAAAATGAAAGACAAGACAAAAAACCCAGATCAGAAAACGAGTCTAAGTAACAGAAAGAAAACCTGTAACGATGGAAGTGAGACCAGTTCCGTCAATCCCTTGAGTAACGTCCTCTGCTGTAGAAGAAGCAGAGAACCCAGATGGCCCTTTCCACCCAAAAATCCACATGCTTTCTTTCGCAGATTAGATTACAGTTACACTTTCACTACCCCAAAACAACAGATTCAAGTCAACGCTTTCCAGACATGTCAAAATTTCATCCTTAACAAGAATTTCTTGAATAAAACGAAAAAAATGAAATCATATCTTGTCATGACATCAGCGGGTGGCCCCACTTTACATTATTAATTATTATTACTATGTAGTAAATATATATCAATTAATTTTTTTCTTGTGCCCATGTCCCTGTATTTCTCTACATTAACAAAAATAACATTAAGTTCTTCTTCTTTATTACATTTAAATGAAATAATTTTTTTATATTTTAATTATAATTATAAAATTTTAAACTTGATTAAAAAATATAATTGAAATACTTTTAAATTATTTTATAAAAATATCTAACTGAAAAACAAAAAATTCATTATAACTTGTCATGCGTTACAAATAATGTTAGATAACAAGTAAAATTTTATTTTAAAAATGTATGGTTATAAATTTATAATTACAGATTAATAAAAAATTATAAATTTATTTACACATAATAAAAAATAAGATATTTTATTTTTTATTAAAATTTAAAAGGTATATTTAAATATTAAACCAAAAGAAATAATGCTTATTTCTTAATAATATTTTCATTGATGATTAGGTTTTAGAAATAAGTTATTTAACATGGGAAATTAATTTAAAATTTTTTAATTTTGTATGTTTTTAAAAAAATTTATAGTATTATAAATTTGTTAAAAATATTTTCAATGATGTTTAGACTTTAGATGCAAGTTATTTCACATGGGAAACTAATTTAAAAGTTTTTAATTTCATTTAAACGTACTAAATGCATGTTAACCAATTGTCAGCTAGGCTAACAAACTTGGGAGTGGTCAAGCCCAAACTAAAGGCCCATAGGCTATACCCTCTTTGAGCCTTGGAGCTTGGTTTGGGCAGTTTGGCAACTTTGCTTGCTGCCCTTAAAATCTTACGGAGATGCACGATGCTATCATACAAAAGTAGTATAAAAAATAGCTAAAAAAATATGATTTAAAATTTTGATAAAAAAATAAAACATATGTTTTGTATTTGGTATTGATTCGTGATAGGATAATTTTTTTATTTTGTATGAATTATATATGAAATAAACAGATATAAATACACGATATTGTCAGGTCTTATAGCTCTGACTTGTGGGGGTAATGCCAGTATGCTACATAGCAGTCAGTGGCAACTCTCTGCAGCCAATGTCAGAACTAGTAATATAGAAACAGCTAAGTTGTGCGGCCACTTTGATGTGGATACTGCTAACAGTATCAGACAGCATCAATATTGATCATTGATGAAGAAAATTGATAACTGAATACAATTTTCTTAATTTGATTTGGAAACGAACATATGGGGTTGAAGTATCAGGAAATGCAGAATTTGGATTGTATAGATCGCCAAATCAAAGAAATTTTGATTAAATTGAGTACCTTTAAGCGCCCAACATGTAATAAATGTTGCAAGCTGTGATTTTTCCATAAGCAGATAAGACGAAGAAATTGGTAAAAATTAAAATCCACGTGCAAGATTTTCAACTAGAAAAGACCCTTTATCATGTCAATACCATATGGTAGGACAGTGGGGACATCAATGGCCAGTAATAAAATCTGGATTAAGGAGGGAGAGAAAAAAGAATCCTTCATTGATAAGTTTAATGAACTCAACACAGCATAACTCTAGATAATTTACACACCATTATCAAACACAAAATGCAAATTCAGGGGTAGAAAGAGTTGAGAGACAACAAATAAGTTGGGTAGAAAAAGATAAAACGTAGAAGAACTATGCAAGATGCAAGATGATGATTAATCTTTTTCAAGCTCTGGTCTTGAAAGGAATAGCCCTGATGACTATCTGGTGGTAAATTGCAGCAAGAGCAGCTCCAATGAAGGGTCCAACCCAGAAGATCCACTGCAAGCAAAGAGAAATTTGAATCAATCTGTGACTGACAATATCAACAACGAGAAAGAATGGTGCATGAAGAAAGATACTTACATGGTCATCCCACGCGTGGTCTCTGTTGTATATAATGGCAGCTCCAAGACTTCTGGCTGGGTTAATACCAGTTCCAGTGATGGGAATGGTGACCAAATGAACCAAGAACACTGCAAACCCTATCGGAAGGGGAGCCAAAATCTGCAATGTAGTGGCTAGAAATACATTAAAAGGGTCTATAATTCAAGTACTTCACCAACAATAGTGCTCGGTTCAAAAAGTAGGACAATTTTTTGCTATAAAAACCAAATACAACTACAGGTTTTAGGTAGGATTCTTGATTTACACTTTAAAACCAATTTCATATGTCATATGGTGCTTTCCCATCTACATGACATCTATAGAATACCCATACAGATGGTTAGATCCACTACAATTAAAAACAGTTCTGGCAAAATCAAGTTGTGAGAAACAAAAGTTAATGATTAATTAAAAGCAGATAACGTATGTCATGTAAATTAACTAATTAAGAGCAAAGTATAACATAAAAGGACAAGAAGAAAATACACATACAGGAACATGAGAGTCTCTGGCGTTTCTCTTGCCATCAGTAGCAGAGAAAACAGTGTAGACAAGAACAAAAGTGCCAATGATCTCAGCACCAAGACCATCACCCTTGGTGTAGCCATGTTTCACAACGTTAGCTCCACCACCCAGCATCTCATAGCGACTGTTTCCTTGGAATCCCTTCACTACACCGGCTCCACAAATGGCACCAAGGCACTGCATGATGATATAGAAGACTGCCCTTGTAAGGGACAGCTTCCTTGCTAGTAACAGCCCAAAGGTCACAGCTGGGTTGATGTGGCCACCTGAAGTTACAAAAAAGTGCAGATCAGGTTATCAGACATCTTTTTAAAAAAATCTTAAGCATCCTCAAAAACTTAGGTTAGACTAAGGTTTACTATGCCAGAAAAAGTTCAAAATTTATACTTCAAAAGAAACCAAAGTCGAAAACATTTATTGGGGTTTGAAAAATTAGCCAAAGAAACCAAAAACTGCAAACTACACATTAAAAGTTTAAGGAAGGTGACCTGAAATGCCAGCAGTGCAGTAGACAAGAGCAAAGATCATGCCACCAAAGGCCCAAGCAATGCCTTGAATACCAACAGTAGTACATTTGGTCTTAGACTGAGATACACCCATGACAGTCAAAACGGTGATGTAAAGGAACAAGAAAGTGGCCACAAACTCTGCAATGCCAGCTCTGTAGAAAGACCATGACTTGAGTTCACCAGGCTCAGACAATGGTGCTTGGGGTGGCTCTTTGTAGTCCTTATCTGTCTGGGCTGATGTCCCAATAGGCTGTCTCTCTGGGAACTTGTTTGCCCCTAGCTTAACATCCTCCTCTTTGTCCTCCATCTTCTTTCACCCACTCAACAAGCAAAGATTGAAGCTTTTTTCTCTTTTTCTCTCTTCCCAAAGAAAGCAAATGAGTGCAGATGAGAGAAAGCTGAAGAATACGGTGACTTCGGATGGTATGCGGTGTGGACGTCACGAGTAATGCTGAATTTCACGTCGGACGTAAAAAAAAATTACTAAGATATATAAAAATTCACCTCAATGAGATGTCTTTTATAAAATAAAATTATAATATAAAAATAATTAAAATAAATAATATCTCATCAAAATATATCAAAAGAGTAAATGTCGAATCCTAAAATCAACACGAATCAAAATTTAAATTAGCTTGTGACATTTATATTTGGCTTAAAGCAAATGGGTTGTCTTTAATTTCCTTTTATATTTTATTTTCTTCTTGTCTTTTCATAAAGCAGATTATTTAAATTACAATACTACTACTCATGTTTTTTAATATTTTTAATTATTGTATTAAGGGTATGATTAGCGTTTTTGGAAGGATTGTTGGGAACAGGTGTCACATGTTGGTTTATACCTTTGTTCTTATATTCAACAGAGTTTCTTCAAATTTTTAATATAGAAAAAAGAAAGTCTCCATTTTTATCTTAACAATTTTGATTTACTTGATTAGTTGTTTTGGGCCGCATGATTATCCACCAAGCATCCTAATCAGAATTAAGAAATTCCCTGGTAGGCAATAAAATATTTAAAAAAAACTGTTTTGGTCTGTTATCATTGTGAAGGTAGCATTTGATTGGGCAGTTAATTGCTTAGATCACTCAAATGAATAAAAATTTCGGTCTCTTGACTGCAAATTCAACCCTTTGGACGGTTGTGATTTCTTTTTGGAAACTTACGTCACTCTCGTTAAGTAGTAACAGGGAAAAAATAGTCATTTCATGATCATTGCAATCTTTTCAGTTTTGCGACGAAAACAGATTCTTTGCGAAATGGGTTTCGCCTTTCCTTGATTAGAAGAAGAGAAGGTTCATCAATGGTGGAGAAGACAACACCGTTCCCATAGCGTAATTATTTGTGCAAGACTGTAATTCAGTCAATGCAATAATATTCCTTTAATAACTCTAGTATCCATGACTAATATTTGTTCACCTTTTATTAACAGTCATAGACATGGATTCTAATTGGTTATCCCGTAATCCTTGCTTGATCTTTCCTATTTCAATGACCTAAACATATAACAAACAATAAACAATAAAAGGGTATAAATTTCATTTTAAAAACACTTTTTTCTGTATTTATTCTGTTAGCAGTGAGTGAAAAAGCTGCAAATCGATCATGGTGGACAACTCACTCATGGGATACCCCTTACATGCTGCCTTAGCCCCACACCTTGCAGGCAGGCCCTTACCCCCCCCCCCCCCCCTTTTGGTTTCTCCTTGCCAACTGAGTTACAGGAAAATACTAAAAAAACAGAAAAAGGTGTTCAACTCCTCGGTCTTCAAGGCTAGTTTAATCAGGAGCTTTCCGGAAGTATTAGACTTTAGACACCTAATCACAGCACCCAGCGAAACCCTTTTTCTTTGACGGTAGGCAATTATCTTTTGTCCACAAGTGAGTCCCAATGAGTACGTGGCAGTAACCTATAGGTAGATTTTGACTAGTGACAAAAGTTGTCATCCTTCCACACCCTGCCAGATTAAAGTAACATGACTGTGTTTTGGGAATATATTATGAACTGGCTTCCTTCCCTTCATGCATATGTAACTTTCTTGTTTATTTCTCATGCAAAATCGCCCATAATCAGCCATCTTCATAGTATTTCTTTCTTTTAAAAAAAAAAAATGATTAAGGTAAGAAGCAGGTGGTTTTTGTAGATTCTACTGTTTCACTTCCATCTTCCACTTTTCTCAATCTAAAAATTGCATATGGAAATACTTAACAGCAAAATGAAGCAGGTAGTAGAGAGCTAAAAGTAAATTATTTCAGAAGCAATTCTTTGAAACTTATCAAATACATACTCTCTTTTTTTTTTTTTTTGAATGAGACACTATTGTTAATTGATAACATGCCCTCATCAAGATTTATGCTACAGCTACAGTAGGTCTCGGGTGATCAGCATCAACCACACACTACAAACTCTACAATATAATTAGTTAATTACAAAAAAAAAAAGGGACTTACATTTCGTCATTCAACTCTTCACTATGTTGGTGTTCGAGTTTGATATGGGGGCAGGGTCTTTCTGGTACTCCCCTTCTCCAGAGAACAATTAGATCACCTCTCTTTCTTCCTAGGGTCAGAAAGGTTCCTGCAACAATGTGTGAAATTTGTCAGCTGACAGTAACGGGACCGAGGCTTTTTAACTTCTCAACCTGGATTTGGATCCAAGGAAGAGGGAAGAAGAAAACTGCTTGTAGTGGCAAAAATTACCAAGAGTAAAAGGGACAATGTAAAGGAGTGCTGGTTGACCATGTCCATCCATCAAATTTAGTGCCACGTATGTAATCAGAAGACCTGCCATGGATGAGAAAGTAGTAGAAAACTATGATTTGCAAAACCCAGGTAAATGATGATAAAGGCAACAAAATGAAGGGAATTTTCTAAGTATCAACAAACTAAGTTTTCACAGCCATTGTAACAAGAAATATATGGTTCTTTTTCTTTTGGGGACCAACATGCTTTCTTTATCATCTTTACCTAAGCCATAAGCAATCATTGCCCATAAGAAGTATCCAGCTCGAAGAGTCTTGTTTGCCAGCCAATCATACCTGTAAGCACGAGTGATTCAAGTGAGTTCTAACTTCTATGCAGATGAATTGGCAACAATTTGAGAATTAAATGGCCAAAAAAGTATGCCTATAAATTTTGAAAATTAGCAGAAAGGAATATGTCACCATTTCTGTCAGCTCCATTATAGGAAGGGATAAATAAATATTTTAAATAATTCTCGGATGGAAAAATGATACATGATACTCGTAATTTTAATGCCAGTTAGATTCATTTTGCAGCTTGAAAATGAAATATTCAAAAGATAACGTATCAGTGGAAATTGCAATTGTTTTCTTGATATGCTGTATTATAAAACTGTTTTAAAATTATGCTAGGTTTAGATGTCTCCCGAATATTACTTAAATAGTAAAAAAATAGCTCTCCTTTCTGATTAAAAAGTTAACAACAACTCCTTAAGAGCCACTGTAAATAATAATAATAATAATAAAAAAAAAAAACCTCCCTATGAACTAGTTGATATTTAAACAAAAAACTGTCCAACATGGAAGGCAAACACATTGTTTGAAGAAGCATGAAAGAACATTTTCTCTGAAAAGAAAGGTACAACTACTGACGGACAAGTTCATGTACAGAGCACTGACAGGAATAAAAGATTTTGCAAGGGAAGACTGCAAAGTTCAAACCTGAGTGAAAATGCTATCAGCAATCCAGGTATAAGGATGTCACCAAATCCTATTATGCTACAACCACCCCAAGGATCAAACATTCGTGGGATCTTCAGTAGCATTGGAATGCCATCCTCTCCACTTTTATCACCACGAGCTACCTATGAAATAGACACAAGCAATCAATATTACTTTCTAGCCTTACAAATTTTGAATATATCCATAATAGCCTAAAGACTAAACCTTTAAATTCTGCTGTAGCACATGGGTTAGAGTTGGAAAAGGTGAATTACTTACCACAATCATCACACTTTCATGGAACAACTTCTTTGAAATAAATACCCAAAAGATGTCATATAAGAAGGCACAACTTAGTAGAACCGTTCCGACCTGATTCACAAACCAACCATAATTATGTCATACTAACAACTTGTTCCCTGGAAACAGTCGTATTTGTCAAAATCATTCCATATTTGATTATTTTGGAAATTCCAAAGAGAAAATTCAAGGAATCTAGGAGATGGTCTGCACAAGTCTAAAATATAACGAGATGAAGCAAATAAATTTGAAAAGCTACCTTGAGATTAGGGACATGGACAATCTGCAGAACTGTGATTATCAGTGCAATTCCCTGAGAAGAAAATAAATTATAAGTTGAACTCTCCAACGTAAATCAGTAAATCTTGCATCAACATCTAGTGAAAAAGAAGAAAGAAAAACAGAAAGGGAGAGAAGAACAAGAACTAGGAATAAGCCAAATGTCTCATATCCATCCACTTAAATGGTGATTGTACTCATTACTTCTTAACGTGGTATTGTATAGTACATGATGCATAAGATAGTTCCATCATTGACCAGTTAGAGCATTCAAAATCCACTATTAGAGTGAATACTCTAGCAAAGCCATGGCTTAATGGAAAACAAAAAAAAAATTGTCTATCATGAAACCACGAGAGGAAAAAAGTTCATCATCTATTAGTTGAAACATAAACTTATCTTAAACTCACTCTTTCCATGGGAATGAAAATGTTGCTCAACAAGATAGGGTGTGCATGGGGTATTAAGATAGGCACATTCTATTATTGAAGCACATAGTTATTGTATTCATGATGTGACTCATGGATCCAAGTAGCTTGCCTCTTATTACCAATGGTGGTTGCCAGCCTTTAGCTGGAAACCAATATTGAGTGCATCAACAAGAGAAAGCGGAAAAAAATTAGGCCAAAAAAAGGGGATTGTTAATCATTTGTGATAATGGAACTTAGATAATCTTGAAATATATTAGGAAACTTATCAAGAAAGTACATCCTTACTAGTATATCTTGACCTATCCAAGCAAAGGAATCATTGCGGTAAACAGCCCAAACAACAGCAAATGCTATGCAGAAAGGGGAAACAGCCAACGTAAGGTATGAGAGAGCTCCGTAGAAAGGCACTTTAATGTATGATTCCCCAGCACGCTTGAACCACCTGTGAGATATAAAAATTTATTCAGAACCTTGAAAAGACAAGTCAATTCCCTAAACTACTGAAAGCTGTAAACTGAGGGAATGGTGTTTATCTAGTCAATCAAATAAGAAATAAATGATCCATAGCAACAAAGTGTGACCACTTTTCTTCATCTATTTGATGACAGTTAGCAACATTAGGAATAAAATAGCTTTCAAACTAAATCCTTTTATTCAGTTTCTCATAATACTTTGATGGTTATCACCATCCACTCCATATCATGCAGAGAAAAAAATAACAATACATTATCAGCAGTAAATATACAAGAATCAATCAACAATAACCCACAAGAGGACATGCAGACTTAACAGTTTTTAAATGCAAACTTCTCATAACACTCTGAATTCATATTAAGAAATACATGAATACCTTGACAATAAAGCAACCAAGCAAGTTTGAAGGCCCTGCACGTACATTAAACTTTAGATTTACATGCTAATACTTCATTGAAATATCTGGAACAATTGAAAAAAAAATTGGTAATGTTCATAGGAACATTTTGTGTATGCAAACATGAATTAAGAGAAGCAGCATATTCATGCAAGCATAGATGAATAATAACTGGGAATCAGACATGAAAGAAAGTTGTACCTCCACACCACCTATGCAGAAAAGAACCACCAAGAGCTCAACAAACCAATATGACATAAGTTCGTAAAGCATAACCAAGAAGCAAGAAGCAACAACAACAAATAAGACAGCTGATGTGGTGTTGATGTCCACAATACCACCAGAACCCACATGTCTGGTATCTGGAATTTCATCCAAAGCATCCTGCATTGATAAGATAAGGTCTACAAATTAATAAGCATAATATAGCTGTAAATAGACGGACACAACTTCAGATACACTGGGGGCGGCAATATGTAAAAATGACTGCACGTGACCTTTAATAGTTTGTCCTGTTCAATAGCAGCTTCTCTTGCACTCCATGCAGACCAATATGAAGCACATAATATGGTACCAACAGCCATCAGCCATAGAAACACTTCGGCTATGTCAACTAGAGGTCGCTTTGGAGAGTAAAGCTGTACGGACACTACAAAAGCACAAAGCATTTAGAAAGATATCATGTATAGGTCTTAGTAGGGTGATCACAGCAGGTGACAAAATTAAGTAAAAGAAATATTAAACTAGAAGCTTACCTGATGAATTCCTTGTCAGCATTTTCTCCAAGCTTGCACCAGCTTCTTGTGGAAGCAAGACAGCAGGTATGTGTATATCTAAACTGGTTTCATTAGGCTCACATACCATCTTGTAGAGTTCTGCAGGAGAATAAATAAGTTTGACCTTTAGCAATGTACATGAACTCCAATATGCTGTCTTTCTAGGTCAAACTATTTATCCAACAATAATTTAAAAAGTGAATACTGTCAATCTCATACTTATTCATCGCAATCCAAAAGGGTAAAAGTCAAGAGTAATGACAAAAGACCATTTTCCAGTTAACATAACAATAACACACTGGTTATTTATCAACAATGCATTTGAAAACCTCAATTAATCAACACATGCATCAAACAACAATCAAAAACATTAAGTACCTTTATGGTTATTTATAATGAGGACAGCTGAAGCATGAGCTGCCTGTGCATTATTTGCCTTGGTTGTGAATTTGCAGTGGCCTCGGTCCACCATAATGACATCATTAGCAAGCTAACAAAATCAAAGTTATGCAATGATATTAGTAACTAAAATATACTATACTTGCTTGCTGTGCATGATCATACATAAATTTAAGAGTATATCAGTAACACAATAAACAAACCTTATTCTTTGGGGGGCTACAACAATCACGAGGGTCAGAAAGAGTGAGGCGACTTTGGCTTGCATTTTTCTCCTTCAACACTATAGGAGCACCAAATCTGGCACCTACACCAACAAACTCAGCATCCTCTACGCCATTAACCCAAGTTTGAACTTTAACCTAACAAAGTCGTGACAATTGACAGTTAAACTCTATAACAAAACAATAACAAGGATAAAGCTCAACAAGATACAACAGAGGCACAAATCAAGGTTGAGAACAACTTTAATTCAACAAAATGGAGTCCTAAAATTGAAACGAGAAAAAAAAATGACATAAAGATCAGGAAATTCTAAATGAAATAAAGATCAGGAAATCCTATATGAGCCATGAAAGTAAATAGCTATTATTACAATTTATCACTCCAGCTTCGAAATTTTTATAAACTAAACCACTATCAATCCAGGAATACAATACCAATAAGACAAATAGAAATTAAAAAGGGAAAATAACTGCACAAAATCACCAAAATACAATTGCAGCAAAAAAAGGCTCGGCCACCATCTTACGACAAGGAACTAAATGCTATACAATCCACTAATATACAATTTACTGAACTCAATCCAGTTTAGTTTTACATACAAATTTGAGTCTTTAAGAAAATTAACTAAAAAAAAAAAGTCAATGTAAAAGTCAACATCCAAAACGCCTACCTCAAGACTTCCAAATTTCGTTTCTTTTCTCTCTTTAGAAAATTACTTCTAAATTCCATTTCTTCTAACCCTTAAAGGTGAGAAAATAAAAGAAACAAAATTGACTTGCTTACCACTACCAAATCCAATTAAAAAGGAGTCAAAAACAAAATTTAAACCAAACCCAGTTGAGAAAACAAAGAAACAAGAACTGGGTAGGAACAAAAAAAAGTAGCATTTCGAGTGATTACCAAAACGAAGTCGTTCTCACAACCGGGCTTCTTTGGAGCTGAATCATCGTCTTGTACTATATCACCGGATAAGACAGAACATGGCTGACAGACAAGTGAAATCAAAGCTGATACAAAGATTACTCTGCAAAGACTTTGCAAATCCATTGATTTGGGTTTTTCCACCTACTCCTCTTACTTGTTCAAGGGACCCTCTCAATTTCCCTTATTTCGTGCATCACAGAAATGTTTGCCTTGGGCCTTATTGGTTTTTGTCCTCTTCTTAATACTGATGAAATTTAATACCAACAAAAAATAATAAAATAATGAACAGGAGGAGTACTGGAGTTGCAGTAGACTAGTAGTTAATAAACGAGCAATGGGCTTGGACCGAAGTGAGATAAGCGTAGCAAAGCAACCGTCAAAACCGAAAGGTCACCCAACTGCAAGCTGCTGAAGTAACTAGTCCGACGTCGTTTACTCGTTCATTAGGCAACTCTTTTTACAAAAAGGTTTTGTTATGCTGTTAAAAATTTTTGTAACGACTGCATCTCAACCTTTTATTTTCATATCTTAATTTTTGTATTTTAATTTTTTTTTAAAATAAAATTATTTATTTATTTATTTCATAGAAATTTTTGAAAAATCATAATTTTTTTCAAAAATAGATTTTTTTTTTGAAAATAAACTTTCAAAAAATTAAATTCCTGAAAAAAATTTATAATTTTTCAAAATTCATTTTTAAAATGAATTATGACTTTCAAAAATTAATTTCTAAAAAATTATGTAATTTTCTTAAATTTTACTTCCAAAAAATTATGAAAAACGTAATTAAATAATTTTACTTATAAAAAATTTTTTAAAAAAATTTGAGATGTGGAAGAAAAAAAATAAGGATACATTTAGCAACACTCTTTGTAACTAGTGATTGCCCATTGTCTTTTGATATTGTCATATCTGCCCTAAATCATGAGAGTTTCTCGCACATTAGCCCTTTTACAAAGTTGCATATCAAAACAAGGGAAGTCGGTTGTGATTTTGAAGGAATCATTTTTTTTTCTCCAAAATTTATGTTTTTTTTTTTTTTCCAAAAATGTATTTTTAAGAATTCATTTTTAATTATTGACGTATATTTAATGCGATTTTTGCAACGAAATTTGAATGAATTTTTTTCTTTAATCTTTTATGGATAGTACCCATTGAATATTTGACCATATAAAGTTATTTTGGATATGAGAATTTGTGCAATAATTGTTCATATTTATCTTATGCTTATTGTGCTTGTATGTTAAGGATTTGTCATTATGTGCCATAACTATCCAATTACAAAGAACATAGAACCATGTTAAGACTCTAATACTCGAAATATCTAAAATCCTTCAATTATAATAAAATATTTTTGAAAAATTATCTTATTCAGTGAAGTTTTTAAATTTCATATCGTAACACATATTTCATTAAATATATTAAAAAATTATGTTAATTTTTTTAATTCTATTTATAAAATAAAAAAAAAATACGCTGCCGATGTACAAAGACATAAAAAACTATCCAAGGCTAAAGTTTGTACGAATCAACTCACATTGATGACAAAGATTAAAAAAAAAAAAAAAAAGAAAAATCTGTCCACTACTAATCAACAAGAAGTAAAAGAGGTCAATTTCATGTTTGATTTGTCTGACTTTCATGTTGGACCATGCATGTGGTTATGTAACCCAAATAAACAGCCGCATGTGCCCATCAACAAAGAGCATGGTTGTCGAGGTGCCGACAATTTACCAAAATCTTTTGATAATTGACAAGGTGTTTGAAAGATGGACAAGGTTATTGTTATTAAACTGAAAATAATGGTGGGACTTCATTTTCTAATTTCCATCCCATAAGTGTGCAACAAAAGGAGGAAGCAACGAAGATCCTCCGTTTAATCATATATTCAGATATGGCAGACAGGCAAGATTTTCCCAAGTGGGAAGAGAATCAGATAAATTATGGAATTTCTTACTTTAATGGAACTTACAGCAATGCTCAAAGGAATTTATAAAAGAAGTATAATATTCAGCGTTATAAAAAAAGCTAGCTAATCAGAAATGATCTCCCCAAGTCAACAAATATGATCTACAGGCTGTATTGAGTTCCTCACACTTGTTTAATGAAGGATTCTTTCACTTAATTTCTGATATATTCATGAATCCAATAGCATATTGATGCAAATTTTAAATTAACAGATCAAATGTCCCCTGCCATGTGATAATGAATTGGCCCTTGTTTCATTGTAATGCCCTGGGTTTTTATTTTCTTGTCCTAGTTTTCACTAGAGGTATGAACTCTTTAAGTTTGTGTTTCTGGGTTTTGGCATGATATCAAGCATTCTTAACCAATCAAGTTACCTCTCAATATACCCCTAAAAGCATTCTTAGGGATTGACTAACAACAAAGATGATTAAAGGACCGAAAGATGAATTTTGAAATGAGAGGAGCCAAAGTGTCTTTTAGAAGTATATTGACGGTTTTTTTGGATTTTACCCCAGTTTAAGGTATTTCGTGGGTTCCAGGCTTCCAGCTTAGCACCAGTATAACAGCTGCAGATCGTAGCATGTATTTGGACTAGACTGAAAACTCCTTGATCCACTGCAGTATTTGTAGTTTCTGGCATATCTACAAATATTAGACACAACTATTAGCAATATTAAACAAATGCTGTTCTCACCTACTAACATTATAACTGAATGATGTTGCCGCATATAAGCCAAGATGATTCCAGCTAAAGTCAAGGAGTAGATAGATATCTATAAATTGGTCGAGAACAAAAAACCTGACTAATCCTCTCAGTAGATATCATGCTTACTGTAGATTCTTGATGCAGGATGGTGGTCTACAAAAAACTATAGCTTGCAAATGCTTGAACTAGATAGCTGATTAAATCGAAACCATGTAAGTAACCAAACTATCAAGTTGGCTTCTCATTTAGGGCTTTCTGCAAAGCAACATTTTTGCTTGGATGTACATGCAGTAGAGATGCACCTATGTTCCATCCAAATTAGAAGAAAAGCAAAACTGAAATCTCAGACTCAATGCTTTTTTCTAACAAAACAATCAAAAGATCAGCCTTACGCAATGAGAATTGAGAAGCAAACTATAGCTTTCTCTAAATTGCATTAAATTTGTTATGCACTCATTACTTTTTCTTCATTATTGGCAACAAGAATAACATCAAATCATTAAGAAACCTATGACACTAGAGGTTGTTCCATCAGAATAAACAAGCCCGTGCTGCCCCACACTAATCTGTAATACTGTTTAGTAAGTGCAGCATCTAGTCAACAGAATCTGTTATCATTCCACGATTAGATTTCAGAAGAGTATTCTACATATACACTCAGAAAAGTAGAAATTTGGCATACAAAAGTGAAACTTCATATCTCTTAAAGGGCCCATTTCTAGAGGCAGACTTTAGAATGATATCAAAGCAGGCAAAACCTGTACAAAAGGAATTTAAATCAGGAACATATTTGAAGGACTACCTGAAAACTTACATCCAAAAGGAGTCCTAAGATTTCAACCATGTTACATAAAAACTTAGGAGATTGAAAGGTGGAGTTCTTATCATTCTCTATTTAGTCAAGGACCGTGTCAATTCATGCCCTCAAACGGCTCATATGATTTCCTCCACTAGATTAGCCACATCCTCACGTTTTTCAGTCACAATATTTTCAGAGGACCAAGTGCAGGATTTTGATGAAAGGTACTATTCCTCTATTCCCTGCCATAGTCTTAACATCAACCTATCTCACCACTCAAGGAAATTAATGACTCTCTGGCAACCTGTGCAGAATAGGCAAGAAAGAATCATGAATATTACAGCTTCATCATATAAAACCATGTGATACCATTCTATTAATAGAGCATGAACCTACCGCCATGGGAATTCACTGCTGTCTATTCCTGCTTGGTGGAGTTCAACATATTGCAATGCTTCCCAGCATTCCTCACAGTCACCAAAGAACTCTTTTTTGTCACCTTCAATCTGATATGTTTCATGGCTTTTGCCAACAATCACCTGCAACACACAGTTAGCATCAAATTAGCAAATATAAGTATCAACTAGTTATGAGCAGAACAGAGTATGAGTTGGGAGATGCATGGGCTACACAATTAACCCAAGAAAATTCAAGCCTGGAACAAATGCAAGAGAAAGGGATGGCCTCATTGCAAGTAACCCCCCACCTCCCCAACTTCAACAAAAGAATGAAAGAGCAGAAAGGTGGAATTGGGATGAGAAGAAAGAATAATAAAACTTGTTCACATGGTTTATTCTCCAAACCCTTGAAGTTCAACAGCAAACCAATGCAAAATAATTATTTTAACTTTTCAAACAAATTATTAATATACGTAGGTAATGCACAACTCTTTTATCGTGTGAGAGGACTGCAGTACATAAGGTCCATTGCAGAATAAAAAATCATTCATTTTCAAATACATATAACTATACTCATGAAATTGTGAGTTTTCTAGAATACTAGGAATATAGAAGCACACCAATTCACTTGAAAAAGCACATCCAAGCTTCAAAAAACTTACAACCATGTCGCCTTCTTCACCCATGGCAACAGCACAATGTACAGCTTCCCACCTAATATCATGCAGAAAAGTTGATGACCATTTGGGAGAGGCGAATAGTAATCATTTTCTCCATATTTCAAATAATCCTCATTGTCTACCCCATCCCAGCTAACACGTCATCCAAACCACTAAATAAAAGATGAAACATATAAGTAATCTAACTAGTTTTTCTAAGCAGCTGATATTGCAACTCATGATGATTTTACCCTTTTCTTAAACTTACATTGATCTTCATTCTTCATATTATCACTGTCAGAATTGTCACTTCACTTTTATCTAATGAGATTTTTGCCATCATTGGTCTTTTCCCCGGTCACTCTCCCCAGGACTACCAATAAGTTAATAAATGACATAATTAATTGGTTAGAAAGAAAAGGGGAAAACATAAAGAAAAAAGCAATGATGTTCATTTGGAGGAAGCATGGTTTTCATTTGAAATAAGAGTTAAAGAAAAAACATAAGAAGCATACCAGTAATAACCCTTTTTGGTGTAAGCTGCCTTACAGAATCAAGCAGTCTAGAAAGGGTATCCGGAGTGTAAGGACAGTCAACAGTTACTCCAAATGCCTGCTACTTATCAATTAATTCACAACTGCCTAGAACAGCACCAACCTCTTCGATCCCTCTAACAAAGTCCTCCAAGGGCACCCCAACTGCAATCCCAACAGCCACAGCCGCAAGAATATTATAAATATTATGCCTTCCAAGCAAACCTGAGGAAATCTCCAATATCCCATGCAGTGTATTAACCAAAATCAGCATCTCAAATAACGACAGCTCAAACTTCAGGGGATGAACATCTGCATTCTTATTCTCCATAGCAAAGGTCGCCACAGGAAATTCTGGGTTACCTTGCGCAATAAAAAAGGATGCATGTGGATCATCAATGTTAACAACTTCCCTACGCCTCTAAGGATCCAACATCCTTTATACTCCTCTTCAGTCTTATGAAAATCTAAACGATCCCTAGTCAAATTAGTAAACACTGCAATATCAAACTCAACCTCATTACACCTCCCTAAAGTCAGTCCACGAGAAGAAGCCTCCATAACAACTGCCTCAGTTCCATTATGCAACATCTTAGCCATCAAATTCTGAACCAAAACAGCATCCGGGGACATATTTGGTAATTCCAATTTATTATCACCATGTATATAATAAGCAACCGAGCTTAGCAATTAGCATCCCAATCCTCAAACCCATTGCCTCATACGTCCCCTTTACCAAATTAGACACGATTGTTTTACCATTAGTCCCAGTGATCCCAATAACAGCCATATTCTTTGAAGGGTACCGATAAAAAGATGCAGCTAATGCAGGCAAAACCGAATTAGTATCCACAACAATGACCAATGCCTTGCATCTCAAGGTATCGTCAATATCAATCTCTTTATTTGATACAACAGCAACAGCTCCTCTCTTATCAGCTTCACTCAAATACAAATGCCCATCAGTCTCCTCCCAACACAACAAACAAGCAAATCCCCAGCACTAACCACCCTAGAATCATGCAGCATCTCTGTTATCTCAACCTCTAAATCCCCATAAACCGAAACCAGTACCACTTTACTTTCATCCAAAAGCTCAGCTAAACTCATTTTAAACTTAGGTTCCACAATTCTAACTTTACTCTTCCCAAAATTATCTAAATCTAAATCAAAAGAAGACCCCAACAAATTAACTTTATCATTTTCTATTTTTTCCCTTCAGAATCAAAACCCATCGAATTTAGAAGAATCTTCTTCATCTGAATCTTCATTTTCTCCATCATCGGAATGATAAACAAGAGTCAAACCTCGTAATTTATCGATTTCTTCCAAGTCAACAACGTCAACTTGGTCCAGCTCATCATAAACGGCATCCACATTTTTAGGAACTTGTTGTAACAAACCTTGTTTTACTAACTCTTGCCCTTTCATTGCAATGGCTTTGTCAATTTCACCGAACAAATCATCCCCGTCATCGTTTCCCGTTTTCTCTGTATAATGGCATAAAGGTAATTTGACTTGTGTTAAAGCCTTCTTGGAGTTTGCAAGCCAGGGCGGCTTGGCGGTGGATTTGCTGGAATTTGTTTACGCCGTGCATGGAATCCTCGGAGGCTTCGGCTGGGTCATTATCGGATGGGTAAGGATGGTACTTTCCGTCGGGGCCGATAGCGGGAAGGCGGCGGAGAGAAGGAATGCTACGAGGCTTGAAAGGGATACGAAGGTGGCAGTGGCATAGTTGGGGTGAAAAGAGAGAAAGGAGAGAAAGCCAATGGAGAGACAGAGCTGCAGCGAGGTTTTAGCATTTAGAAATTTGTTCTTGCACGGCGTCGTTTTAAAGTTGAACGTTATAATTGTTTAGGTTTTTGGATTTGAAAACAATGGATACTCTTAGATCTGAGGCCCATGTAATCATTGGGTTTAAGGCCGATGGGGCTTTAGCACGTGTTGTTTTTTGGCACTCACCAGCATACTTTTGAATATGAACTATTTTAGCATATTTAATTGCAAATGAGCTTAATATGGCTGTTGTTGAATACTTAAGTTGGAAAATGAGGATTTGAATTTCAAAACTATATCGGAAGGAATAATATAATTTATTCAAAGTTAAAATTAAAGCTTGAGTTTGGTGGCACTCCCTTCCTAATAAATTTATTGATGTTTTGATTTATTAGTGTTTGTGGTTGAAAAAAATTTGTATTAAAAAGTAAATTTAAAAAATGTAGTGAAAAAAAAAATGATTAGAAATTGGTATTGTTGTGAAAAAAATAATGAAAGTAATTGAAATATCTAAAAAAATAAAATATTAAAAATATAAGAATAAAAAAATAATTTTTATCTCAAATATATTCTTTTACCATAAAAATATATTAAAAAACCTTTTCCTAAGTAATAAATTTGAGTCGAAAGTAATTTTGGAAACACAAAAATTACTTTCAACGATAATATTAAATGAGCCATAGTTTGCATTTTAATTAACGTTGGACTACCGCCTGGGGTGGACAACACAATTTAGCATCATCAGATTAAGATTCAAAATCAAATGGCATAGACAAAACCAAATAAAACTAATAGAATTGAAATATTTCTTTTTTTTTTTTTTAACTTCATTGATTTTTAACAAAAAAATTAATAAAATTAAAATATTTCACGAAATGTTTTATTAATGTAAATAATTAATCTTACATCAATTTTATTATTTTATATAAAAAATAAAAAATAATAAAAATATAATGATAAAATCTAAATTTTAATAACACAATGATCTTAATCACCATCAAAATCATTAAAATTTGTCATGTCTTATCGCAACATTTAATTAAGTTACGTTACCTTTATATTAAATTTAATAGCAGTATGTGGTTTTTTATTAAATAAAAAATTTTACTGTTCGAATATAAAATTTTCTTGGTACGTTTTGTTTTTTTTTTTGTTAATTGCTGCTGTTGGAAAGGCCGCGGATTGGTACAATTTTGGATAGAGGTCTTAATTATTTAAATGGATCATATTTTGATTTGATTTTTTTAAATAATATATAATATTATAAAATTTTAAAATATAATTTAAATTTAAATTAATATTTTTTAAAATCAATTCGATCAATTAAATTTTATTAATTTAATTTGATTTGATTTATCAAATTTTAAATTATAAAATTTTAATGTATTTAAATAAATAAATATATATAATAATTATTTTATTTTATAAAAATTTAAAATTTATATAAAAATTAATAAAAATATATAATTAAATTCGACATAATTTTTTTAATTTTTTACATCTTAATTTAAAATTCGATTTAAATTTAATATATATATTTAATATTTAAATTTAATTTAAATTAAATAAAAAATTCAATCAAAACCAAATCAGATACTACAATTTTAAATTTTTTTATCACCCTTAGTTTCGGGGTTGTCATCTGTCTTGAGGCTTTCACCGTCACAAAATCTTATTCGGTGGCTCAACAATATATATTTGAATAACTAACTACATGCCTTGTAAATCAAACAATTGAAAACCATAGGTTGAGACATTAAAAAAAAAATTTTTTGGAATCTTGAATTTGTGTTTAGATTCGTATAAGAGTATTGCATTAATAAATATATATAAAACCAAAGATAAATCGTTCGATAATGTTGACAACGATGATTTTCAAAAAAAATTATACATGTTAAAGTTCAGACAAATGTTGACAACGATAACGATGTCACTTCATCTTCCCCTGGCAGCAACGTCTCTGCAAAATCTGTGTCCTACCCATAACGTCCGAGACATTGCTGTTTCAAACACGAATACTCCAACCAACCATTTAACTTAAGATTTTTGGTGGGGATGACAGTTGACAGATTAATTGCAGAGAGAGAAGAGCTTTTGCTTCATTTGAAAGTTTACGCCATAGCCATGATGTCGTGATATATCATATATCTGCAACCCTTGCTATATTACTAGTCAATGTCATAACAACTCTCTGCCATTCTTCATCCTTAAACCAAATTTTCCCATATTTTTTCCCTCTCCTTCATGGCTTCAACTCTTCTATAGCTTGTCTTTTAATGCCACAAAAGGCTCATGAACCCAGTTCCAGAAAAGCACCGTAACAGGAAATGGTCTGTGGTCATATATTGACCAAGGAAAACAAAACCCAAATGAAGGGACATGATTTTTTTTTTGGTTTTGACCGACTTTTGGAGACGATGAACAATGCATCAAAATGAGTTATATATATTTTTTAAATGGTTCAGACATGAATAGGATGCCAAGGTTTTTACCATATTGAAACATGGATGGTTGATTGTGTTCTTCTTCTACTACTTGAACACGAACCATATCAGGTACTTTATTTTTTCTGTATGTTTTTCAAAATATGATTCTAAGTATTCATAACTTTAGATTCCATTCTATGTTGATATGTTGTGTGCTTTTCGAATTCTATATATCTTAGCGGATTCAAATGGGTGCTGAAAAGAAAATGGACGTGGTTTCCTGGAAGTTTCATAATATTGAACTTAAACAATCTTACTGAAATAAACTATTCCCCCCCGCCCCCCCTCTTCATCAAAGTAGCAGATTTTTACTTTTTTTCATTTTCATTTTCAGGGGTCATTATCAGTACATTCAGACCCTTGTTTGTTATAAAATCCTGTACATTCAAGTTATATTTTCACCAGTCTCGTAGTTCTTCAACCCGTATTCTTTAGCTAAGATTTAAATTCTATGAAATAATGAACATTACATTATATCCAACTAGAATTACCTCAGTAAAAATTTCAGATTTAAATGTTTTTTACTTTTCGGTTTTTTCCTGGTCATGCAATATTTGACTGACAATTTCTATCTCTTTGGCTGATAAACTTTATGGTCTCTTCATTTGCTTTGCCTGGTTCTCATGCTCAGGTGTTCATCTGATCTTTTGTGAATGGACACACAAAATGCGCCATAGTTAGTACTCGTTCGGCCAAGATGGACAGGAGATTGCCCGGGAGCCCTGTGCTCTCACCTAAAAGCCCTGCAATCTATGAAAAGTACAAGTCAGGATGTGCCTGGGGATCGATTCACTTCTTTGATTTTTGCCAAGGTCATTCTCATGGGAAGCTCATTTCTGATAAGAAGAGCGAGAACAGGCAGGCTAAAGGTAAGAATGCCTCATATTTGGTTAGTTTCTGGTTGAGAATGAAATATATAATCTCATTTCCATAAAAATCATATGTATTGATAAGTTCTTTAATGCTTACATGCATATTTTAAGTCTTAAAGCTGTCATGTCCAACTAAGTTTAATTACACTGATTTTTTATCTGCAGCTGCTGGTTTTACAACGAACAGGACTAATTTTCTCTCTAATAAGGAGAAGGCTCAATACATAGATGTGAGTTTGATAGCCTGCTTTTATGATCAAATTCCATTCATATTGTGAAAACCATTTTTATGGACATAATATATGCATTTGCGAAGCCTATTATTGATGTTGGTAATTTGTTCTTTCTTTACAACAAAGTGCAAAAAGATTCTGAGCTGCAAACTTTAATCATTTTTTCAGGATGCACTTGGTAACAAGAATCATGCAGTTAATTCTAGGAAGCCAGGAGTTAAAAAAATTATAGAAGAAGAGACGTCTGTGACGCATCAGAGAAAGAGGAACACAGCCATCAGTGAAAGGAAAAATGTACAGTTTAACCCCAAACTTATTGGCCATTCAAAGGACCATAGGAAGGCAAACAAGAATTCCAAGAAATCCTGTCCTTTTCCTGCTCATGGTTGTGATGCAGCAACTGAGTGGTATAGGAAGCCTTCTGATCAAAATATGGTAGACAAATATTCAAACAGCAACTTTGCATCAGTGACAGAAGCATCTGCCAATGATCTGCATATTAACAAGGGAGGGAATTATAGTTGTAAAAGCATCAGAGGTAGGAAGCATAACCATCACACCAAGATTAATCTTCAAGTTCAGATGAATGAAGCAGTTGAAGCTTTTACAAGTCAAAAGTTAAATGATGGTGAGAACCTTAGTAGAAATGAGGTAGCCAACTGGTCTAAGAATTTTATAGATGCATTGGAAATTTTAAATTTCAACAAGGAATTATTCATGAAACTCCTGCAAGACCCAAATTCACTGCTAGTGAAACATATTCAACACTTACGGGATTTTCAGGGAAAGAAACAACAATCTCAATCTTCCTCCAAAGCTAAAACATCACAATGTCAGCCAAAAGAAGCAGGGGAGTGTGAAGGTCCAGCACATGCTCAAATGTTTGAATCCTGTGATAGATGCCAATCTGAAGGAAGTGACATGCCCCAACCTTTGAAAACAATAGTAGTCTTGAAGGCTGGCACACAAAACTGTCCTGATAGAATCAGTGATTGGCCATCACCAAACTCTCCTTATAGCTTGAGGAAAAAGGACAGGAGTGTTAGGCCAGCATTCTTGTCTTTTGAACACCTGAAATGGAAGTTGAGGCATGCTATGAGGGTTAACAAAAAGGAGCAGTGCCAGATGTCCCTTGATGATTTTCATAAATCTCTGAATGACTCCGAACAGTTCGAAGATGGTGGTAGAGAAATGAGCAGGCAGGCAAATGAAAGAATTTCTGCTAGTAAAAGTTATCAGGATGTTAGGAAAATGTCCAAATCTTCCCACAAGGTCAATAGAAGAGATGGGATGTGCCAAACAGATAACTTTGGTTCAGGCAATGGAAGCAAAGCTGCTTCATCTACAGAAAGTTGTCAAAGAAACTCAAATCTGTTAACGATAAGTCATCTCAAAGGAAAATTTCACCCTAGGAAACATTTTTCAGATATGTTAAATAGAGGAAATGAAGATTTCTCAAGAAAACAGACACAGAGAGTTATAGATAGGTTAATGTCTTTGCCTGAACATAACTTGTTGCCTAAGCTTACTCCAGGAAGGGACAAGGAACATGGGTTTGCTTCTCCACAGATGAGATTTTCACCATACAGCAATCTTTCAACGGTTAATGGATATAAATGGCGGGTTAAGGAAGAAAAGAAGAGTGGCTGCTTAACTTCTCCCACTAAAGATTTAGGGACACAGCCTGTGTCTCATAAGGAGAAACCAGTTGATCGATTGCAAGGCGCAAAGAAAAGTATCTCAGGTGATCTATCTCCTGCGACCAAAGTGCTACAAACCGTCTATTCTCTTGGCAATGGTTTGAGTCACAAAGGTATTTCTTGGTTATGAAAAAGAAAAATGAAATTCCATTCTACATTTGTTCCCTCATATAATAATTTATCTTATCTGAGCAGTTAATCAAACTTCTGTATGTCATGGGAAAGTCATGGAAAGAAATCATACTGTTAGGTGGGTCGAACGCGAAAGTAATGCCTTAGAAATCACTTTGGAAACAAATGGTTTGCAGAATACCAACACCAACCAAAGAACTGAAACAGTCAATGGATTCGGAGTAAGTGAAAATTTTGAATGCTTAAAACTGGTAAACCGTTTTTTATACTCCTTTTCAAGTTCTAGGTTTACTCTTTCATTCATATTCTGTTTTTATTCTTCTTCCTTTTTCTTGTTCTCCCTCTGTTTATTTTTGTTGTCTTTTGTGTAAAAATTATGTCCTGTCACTTGGGTTGTTTTCAGCATTCATCTTCAGGGGATCAAACCTCATCTTCTTCAATAGATGTTTATTCATCAAGTCCTTTGCGTATTCAAAGAGCAGAAGATTCTAATAGCATGACTGATAGAGCAGAAGCAGAACAGCCAAGTCCTATATCGGTTCTTGGGCAGTTCTTTATAGAAGATAACTCTAACTCTCCCAGCACTGTATCTCTAGCAGGTGAGTTTTTTTACTAGAAATTACTTACTATATAGAGTAGGTCTTTTCTTAATGCTGAGTCAACATCAGAATCCTGTGCAGCTGAGCCACCAGTCGAATCATTTTGTATAGATATTGAAGAACTATATGCATCTTCTCTCGTGGAATCCCATTTGGATCTGAAGAGTAATGCAGGTACTTCCATAAATAAGCAAGGATCTTTGTCTAAGTGCATAAGAGCAGTTCTGCAAATTTCAGGTCTCAATTGGGATGAACTCTCTAGGAAATGGCATTTATCAGATCAAATGCTTGATTCATCCTTGTTTGATAATGTCGAAGTATGGCCAGAGAAGTCACGTACTGATCGTAGGCTGCTTTTTGGCTACATCAGTGAAGTCTTTTTGAAGATAGATGGGTATTATTTTAGAAGCTCCCCCGGGGCATCACTTCTCAACCCAAGACCTCGACCGGGTTTGTCATCAAAAAATATGGTTCATGAGGTGTTGAAACATGTTGATTGGCTACTCCTCGCAGACCTGCCCCAACAAACATTACAGCAACTTGTTGAAAAGGATTTGGCCAAATCTGGAACCTGGATGGATACCCAACTTGATGCTGAGGAAGTTGTTATTGAGTTAGTGGAAAGCATTCTAGAGGATTTGGTAGTGGATGCTGCTTCATGTGCTGCTTTCCAAATTGAATCTGTGAAAATAGAGGCAATTAGTGCTGGACAACATGCTACGTACTATGAGAGCCCTGGACATTGTACAGATTCATCGTTTAGTTAAACATCAGGCTTTTCTTGTTGTCAGAATGTGCCCAAGAAGTTTCTGAAATGAATATCTGTGCTTCAGCACTGTCACATTTGAATTTGATTCTCAGCGGCATTACAATTTGAATACAAGGATAACGAATCAATTCTGCCTTCAAATTGCAGCAGAATAGTTTCGGATGCAAAGTGAGAAAACCTTACTTTCAACCAATTTAAGAAGATATTTCTTCATATTTTGATATTGTCAAATTTCCTCCAAATATGATAAAGAATCGTTAAATATAAATATTTAAAAATAAAAAATAATAATCAAAGTCTAACTACAAAAATAAATTTGAATTAAAAAAATAAAATATTCAAAATAAAATTAAATGTCTACAAATTTACAAATTTTTTTTGTGCTCAAAGCTTCCTTAATTGAATATGACTTCAAAATATTCAATAAAAAATTAATTAACTACATTTCTTTATATAATATCATTTCTTTTAGTTTTTAAAAAAATAAAAAATTTCAAAACATAATTTATCTTTCATATTAAAATAATATAAAATATAAAAATAATTATGCTATAATTTATGTTGCATAGGTATTTTTATTTTTATGGAATTCATATATATATTTTTTAAAATTTTAAATTACATGGTAAGTGTCAAATTAAAATTACAAATATAGCCCTCCTGTCACTAATATAATATAGCCCCACTTCCCGCCAATCCGCGTACCAAACCTTCCCAAAACCCTAATTTCGCAACCCCGTTTCCTCCTTAAACCCTCCACACCCACCACGCATTCCTCCGTATACGAACGAAAACCCTCCAGCCATCGCCACCACCCTGAAACGCCAATGGACCCACAAGCCGTAAAATCGGACTTAGTCCTGATCCTGGACTTTGGCTCCCAGTACACACATCTCATCACTCGTCGTATCCGCTCTCTCTCAATCTTCTCCCTCTGCATCTCCGGTACTTCCCCTCTCTCCTCCATAACATCCCTCAATCCAAAAGTCGTTATCCTTTCTGGCGGACCCCACTCGGTCCATTCCGATGATTCACCTTCGTTCGCTGATGGGTTTGTTGAGTGGGCCCAGTCCAATGGGGTTTTTGTTCTGGGTGTCTGTTATGGGCTTCAGTTAATTGTTCAGAGACTTGGTGGTGAAGTTAGGGTTGGGGAGAAGCAGGAGTATGGGAGGATGGAGATTGAGGTTGAGAAAAGTTGTGGTCTTTTTGGTGGGAAGAGGGTCGGAGATAGGCAGGTTGTTTGGATGAGTCATGGAGATGAGGCTGCTAGGTTGCCTAATGGGTTTGAAGTGGTGGCTAGGAGTCAGCAGGGTGCCGTCGCTGCAGTTGAGGATAAGGAGAGGAGGTTTTATGGGTTGCAGTATCATCCTGAGGTAATTTGAGTTTTTGGGTTTTGTGCTATTTGTTCTGTTTGTTGAGTTTTTGGGTCTTATTTTGTGTTTATTATTGATCTTTTTTATTTTTTTCTATTTATTATTATTTTTACTTAATGACTAATAATGAACAAATAACTTAATGTAGCACCAATTCCAACGTAGTTGTTTTTATCGTATAGAAGTTAAATCATGCATTTTGTTCTTTAAAAAATGTTAAATTTTAATTTTTGAAGAATAGTAGCATTTTTTTCTGTATCCAAATGCAGTTCTTGCATCTTGAGAGTAACAAACAAATCGGACCTAAATTTTATTGTGAGGCTGGGTTTTAAGAAATTTTTTGTTGGTGGTGAGCAGGGTTTTTAGGTTTTGATTCTTTTATAACAGTTGAATAATATGTTGTGCTTTGTGTTTATTTAGGTTACACATTCTTCAGAAGGGATGGAAACTCTAAGATATTTCTTGTTCGATGTTTGTGGAGTGAATGCTGGTTGGAAAATGGAAGATGTAATGGATGAAGAAATTAAGGTGATCAACAACATGGTGGAGGCCTGATGATCATGTTATCTGTGCTTTATCCGGAGGTGTTGATTCCACAGTTGCTGCAACCCTAGTTCACAAGGCAATTGGAGATAGACTTCACTGTGTTTTTGTTGACAATGGTTTATTAAGGTGAGAAAGTAATTATTTTCCTTTTTTTGACGACCTTTTTTATTTTCATGCAGTCTTTGTAAAGAATTGTCAAGGTACATTTTTATAATCTTCTATAGTATTGCTTGTACACTTATTAATTGTGCTTTATTTCCTGTAGGTATAAGGAGAGAGAACGTGTGATGGAAACCTTTAATAGGGATCTACATTTACCTGTTACTTGTGTTGACGCAACTGATCAATTTCTTAATAAGCTAAAAGGGGTGGTAGACCCTGAGATGAAAAGGAAGATAATTGGAAAAGAATTTATCTGCATCTTTGATGCTTTTGCTCAAGAATTGGAGCATAAATTAGGGAAAAAACCTGCTTTTCTGGTTCAAGGAACTTTGTATCCTGATGTGATTGAATCTTGTCCTCCACCAGGCACTGGAAGAACTCACTCTCACACAATTAAAAGTCATCATAATGTTGGAGGGCTTCCCAAAGACATGAAATTAAAGCTCATTGAGCCACTTAAACTTCTATTCAAGGATGAGGTTTTGATTCTATTACTTTGCTGGATGACATTTATTTTTATAGAAGGCTTTTTCCTCTTTTAAATTATTTCTTTTTTTTTTTTCTAATTTATAAAGGTTCGTCAACTTGGAAGGATATTGAGCGTTCCTGAGCCATTTTTAAAGCGCCATCCATTTCCTGGTCCCGGCCTTGCAATACGAGTCTTGGGCGATGTAACTGAAGGCAATGCCTTGGATATTCTACGACAGGTATGAGGTGTTTACATAAGGAAGGCAATGATGTTTATACTTTGTTACCTTTAAGTATAGTTTTCTCTTATGGACTTGTTTTTCTCAGGTTGATGAAATTTTTATTCAGTCAATCAAAGAAGCTGGTATTTATGACTCAATTTGGCAAGCTTTTGCTGTATTTTTGCCTGTAAAATCAGTTGGAGTTCAAGGTGATCAAAGAACGCATTCTCATGTTGTTTCTCTCCGAGCTGTAACAAGTCAAGATGGAATGACAGCAGATTGGTAAGTTTTCAATGTTCTGCATTGCTTTGCTGTCTGTGGTTGTTGCAATATTTATGTGCTCAGGTTAAGCCAATAGTACACGGTAACAAGAATAAGCTCAAATGTGTCTTTGACTTTGGGCTGAGTTAAAAATAATTTTATTCACATGATATGGCTATTTGCAAGAAGGGTTAATGATTTTACTGAAATGGGTAGGTAGGGCTGAATGATATGGTTTTCCTGAATGGCAATACCCGAAGTTGGAAATCATTCAAAGGAGATTGTTAGCATTTTACAGTTTTGATACTAATATGTAGCAAATTCAACCTAAATTTTAGCAGGAGGCTGGATAAAATGGGATAACTTCCTATATTAATAAAAATGGATGTCCTTCCTGCCTCTTACGGATTACATGTTGTCAGAATATATGTTTTGCATGTTACAAGTTTCTCAATATCTAGGAAAATCTTTCCTTTGTCTTGTTGACTATGGTTGTGTGGTGAAAACCAAGGAATTAATCTTTTGACCCCTTTTTCCCCCTCTTATCTCCAGGATTCTGAAATTCTCATTTTTCCTCATTCAATGTTGGAATTTCAGGTACTGTTTTGAACACAAGTTCCTTGATGATGTTGCTCGAAAAATTTGCAACAACGTTCGTGGTGTGAATCGTGTTACTCTAGACATTACATCAAAGCCCCCATCAACAATTGAATGGGAATGATGCCGTTGGATATCAGTAACTACTCCATAGTTGTGTAGAGTGAGGTGATATATTTGTCATGTCATTACTCTCTGCTTCTGATGACAAGAGAAGAAAATGAGTCTCGCAGAATTTCTTAACATGAGGGACTGGCTTTTTAAGGTCTATGTCCATAGTTATATTACCCTTTTTTTTTTTTTGTCGACAATGTAAAAAAATTTCTGTTAAAACTTTTATTAAACATTGTACTACTTTTGGCAGTCATAATTTATTTGTCCTTGGTGATAAATGCTTTATAGTTTTAGCAAAATATGAAGAGCATATATCTCTGAGTGTGCGTGCCCACAGGTGTCTGTATGTTTTATTTCTCTGAAGAGTGTATTCTAGAATAAATTGCATAAGATATGACTTTGTCATTTATGGAATTCTTGCCCTTGTGTTTAATTAGCATATGAGAACATAGTATGAGTGTCTTGTTTGTCTTTTTGCACAATCATATTCTTATGCTTGTTCTTGGGTTACCATTTTGTTATTTCTTTATGTTTGTAACTTAAAAAAATAAAAATGGTGGTGATAGAAACTGCATTTGCTGAAATCATTTTCTTCTCTTGGATTCAGGGGATGTTACCATTAGGTTATATCATTGTCTATATTATTTGCATAATACTATTACTAGTGGTTCTTTTGATCTGTGGTCTTCACCAATAGGTGATTTTGTTTTAATTTCTAATTGAAATTTGTTTGTAAAAGAAGCTACAAAACTCACACTCTGCCCAACATCATTTTATGCCTAACCAATCACTGTAAGCATTGCGGTCGGTGGTCATTTTTCCTATGATGCATTTTATTATAATACTTAGTGGTGTTTAATCATGCCCGTACTCTTAACCATTTATGGAATGTGCTAGTATGCTAATCTATAAGCAGATTCTTCCAACTGTTCCTAGACTGCAATCCAATTCAAGGATCTTGTTTTGTTTTCGTATACAATGCATGAACTGCAGGATTCTATACAGCTCCCAGCACTAGATCTAACCCAACCTGCTGAATCCTCTTTTCTGTCGTCCCTCTCACAAGCCCGTAGGGAATGGGGCTTGTTTTATGTTACCAAACATGGCATCCCCCAAAATTTATTTAACAAAGTTTGTGCACATTCAAATGATATATTTAGCCTTCCTCCAGATACTAAGATCAAGCTTGGTCCATCATCATCTATCAAATCATACACTCCCCATTTCATTGCTTCTCCCTACTTTGAGAGTTTTAAGTGTTTGTGGACCGGATTTCTTTGCCTCTGCTAAGGCTTCTGCTAATGAACTCTTTGGCCAAAAGAAATCTGAATTTAGGTAATAATTTTGTTCAATACTTAAAGTTGTTACCACAATTGATTTCAGTTTATTGATGTGCATTCTTTTTTTTTTTTTTGTTGGTTGTCTGTCCGCTTCCATCTATAGTGAGATATTACAAGAGTATGGAAACAATATGATGAACTTGTCAAAGAGAATCACTGAGATCATATTAAAGAGTTTCGGAGATGGTTATGAAATGAAGTTCTATGAGTCAGAATTTGGTAACTGTCACTGTATATGAGGATAGTTAATTACACACCACCGGATGATGTGGAAGAAAGGAAAGTTGAAGGACTCGGAATGCACACTGATATGAGTTGCATAACAATAATTTATCGGGATGAGCTTGGTGGGCTACAAATGAGATCGAAGGAACGTAAGTGGATGGGCATACACCCATAGGAGATCTAATGCAGGCTTGGAGCAATGGGAGGTTAAGATCATCAGAACACTGGGTTGTTTTGAGGCGATTCAGGAACAGGTTCTCTCTAGCATTCTTTTGGTGCTTTGAGGATGAGAAGGTAATCTTGGCACCAGAAGAAGTTGTGGGAGCTGGAAACTCCTGGATTTACCATCCATTTGTCTGCTTGGATTACATAAAGTTTAGAGAAAGTAATGAGGTTGGTAATTTTGAGAAAATACGACACACTGTAAAAGATTTTGCTGGGTTAAAAGTCGAAGTGCAGTAATTACTCATGCATTTCAAAATATTGCCTTGTAGTTTGTTTTCTGCATGATTGTCTGCAAATCTATCATTAGAATTATGGGGTTAATACTTTACTTTATTCAACTGTATATCATGTGTTCATCATCAGTAATATCCCTATGCATTGTTCTTTGTGTGAAATGTGGAAATTTTCTGTGTTGTCTATTTGTTGTGTTAATGGGAAAAAAGGTAGGGGAAGTAACAAATACTTTGAATTTTTATCTTTTTTTTAATAGTTTGCTTGTTAGTGAATTCGATGGCATTCTTTTGTTTTCATGCCTTTGCTTGATTACTCTAAAAATGTACAGAAAATAAGAAAAAAAAAATTAACATACTGTTGATATAGCTGGGTAGTTTCATCGGGCAGCAAGCTTAGCCGACTGTAGAAATGCTTAATGGGGAAAATGAAGCTTTTTGTTTCAGAAGATCTGGCTCTGAATCTTTGTTTCTTATTACAGGTAAAGACAAGAAGTTTGTCTAACTTTTATATTGTGATTAAGGTTGAATTATCATTAAAGCAAACTGATTAGACATAACTAAAGATTGAGTAATCTCCTTTTTAGTGGAAATTTGAAGGGAATGATGACGATCATCATGATTAACATCCCTGCAAAAAACCTTCATTTCGAGGCCCACACTTCACTCAATCAGACTGTCTATTAAGCACTCTTGAATTATAAATTTGCGTTTTAAATGATAAAAAATGTTGGGTTTTTTTTTAGAATAAAATATTTTTTTTATAAAAAAGATGTTAAATTTTAAATCTTAAATTTATTAGATATCATTTTTTTAATTATAATTGTGAAATCCAATTCAATTTTTAACAATAATTTTATATACCAATTCAATTTTTAAACCAATAATTTGAGTTGTTTACGCTTCAGTAACCATTAATGGAAAGCCAACATGTAAAAAAGGTAGTCAAATCTTAAATCATTGATGCCTCCATCTCTTTTTTAGTTCTTTTTGAAGCCTTTGATGAGTTCTAAGTGTACCTTTTTCTCGTTTGCCATAACTATTATACCTTTTTCAAGATGTTCTTTGCCACCGAAAATTGTTTAGCTTGTCACTGCCCAGATTTGGTAGGCCAATTCTCCAATCCTGTTTTCAAAATCAAACCAAAGCATCCTAAATTCTGCAGCCAAAGGGTCATAGAGTGAACTAGAATCCATGAAACTGGACTTACCCCTACACTAGCTCTAAAAATTCCCTCAAACTTCGTTAAAAATTATTCAGCAGTCTTCGATAATTCACTTAATACCACCTCAGAAAGATGATAAAATTTTTCAGGTTCCAGTTTGATATTTTCCTGTTACAGTTACAAGGAAGCGGTGAAAGGTGGGTGTTAATTGCTGTCCTGTAAGAAAATTACAAGGTTCCAAAAACTAGGTTTGTTTCCCTTTATTTTACTAACCTACATGGAGGAAAAACCTTCTTGTTTGTGGCACCTATCATCTGCAGAACCTTCCATGGCACTGGATTTTACAAAAGAAGATGGGAAATCTACAACAAATAACTCTTATCATTGTCGGTCAGAAGATATGCTTCAACACTTCCAAGCAACTCTTTGCAATGCTTGCTTGACTGTCCCTGGTTTTGCAACAGTTGATCCTTTGTACTGCAATAAGCACAGATAACTTAAACATTTGCCAATGTCCAAAATCATTAACAGATTTGGTTTCCTAAACATTTTCTTTTACCTTGGATTTTATAGTCAGGGAGAGAATCCCCTCAGTGGTTGATGACTGAACTGATTGGCAATCCAAATTGAGAATGCTTAGTGCATCCACTATCTCAAGCAAAATTCCTTCTCTCCAAGGACAACTAAACTCAATTAGAAAATCCTTCTTGTTCAAACTGACAGTGACAGTTACATTATTAGTTGAATCATCTTTAAACGCAACATAGTCAATCTCCTGCTCAACTTCATCAATATCACAGGCTTTCCTTTTATTTGGGGATGATTTCTTTCTGATGGTGATTTTGTTATCATCGTAGTTATCGGATGTTCGCTCTACATGATCCTGACGTTTTCTTTTCGTTCTTACCTCTAAATCTGTTAACTCTCTGCAAGATTCCAAGTCTTCAACCCTTCTCCCGAGGTCTTGTAGGTATTCTATTGTATCATCTAGTATAGAAACTTTATCAGCCTGCATAGAAAAAGCCAGTTAATAAGTAATGGTCATGTTATGAATGACCAAGGGGAATGGAAATTTAACTACCTTGCTATTTGAAGGGACCAGTGATTTGAGAATCATAAATAGTTCATTTATTTTTTCTCTCCGCCTCCTCTCGGACAAGACATGGTTTCCGTAAATTTCATCAGCCTCTAGTCTCCAAGCTGCATCTCTAGCACCATTATCTTCTGGAGATTCAAGCAATCCTTTATCATGCATATGAGGAACTTCAAACAATATCTTCTTCAATAACTTTTGAGGGGTTTCATCTCTTGCTTTCTGAGACTTCACTAAGCCATTTTTCTTCCAGCTGACAAAGCTGGATTCCTGGTTAGAGTTTCGAAAGTGTGGTCCCAAAATCAACTGGTGCGAGCTGTTTAATAGGGCTGAGAGAACTGTTTGGTAATGCGGATCATCACTTGGAAGATTTAAAGAGGTCAGTTCATTGTCATTATCTTTTTCTCCCTGGCTAAGAGGAACAGCATTACCATGATCCACAACGGTTTGAGATATGCAGTCACTGGAATTCAAGGAATGGTCGACACAATTGCTGAACTCCTCATCCATGAATTGCCAACTTTGTACTTGAGAAACTCCATCAGTTATCCCTTCAATCATGAATGGATCTTCTGCTGGTTGGTTAGGCTCATAGCCATCCGAACTGTCATTGGGAGAAGCCATTTCTTGTTGTTCACAGCCTAAAAGAGATGGACAAGAAAAATCTTTCTTGTATCCTGTTCTTCCAGCGACAGGAATGGATTTATTAGAAACAAATGTCTGTGGACCATCCGAGAATGAAGTTTTAATGAACTGAATAAGGCTGAGTTCTTCCGATACCTACAGAATGCAATCAACATGACAGCATGACTTAAACTGAAATAAAGCTGCACAGAAAGCAAATTTCTCAATAACAATAAATAAAGAAAAAGAACAGAAGAAAAGTTACCAAATCAGTTACACCAAGCTCAATCACACCTCTTGAAAATGGAAAGCATACTACAGTCTGAAATCAAGACAAGTGTAAGGATTTTATTAATCTAGCCCTTCAAGGTTTTCCATGTCTAAACATGAAGTATGCTCATTCTACATTCACTAAAAGGAAATGTCGCTTGTAACCTATTTCCATACGTAGTTAAATCAAGTTGGAGTGAGAAAAGGAATCACTGAATACCGTCAGACATGCTGTGTTTGCTAATATGCAGTAAAATAAAATTATCAAACCAGTTCAAACAAAATTTGTCAAACTCATTAACACAATCCTAAAGCCTGTGTTTACTTGGGACCTTTTTTTCATATTGAAAAATGAAAATAAATTAGGGTGACAAAGAAACTGGATCAATACCTGAATAGATGCACTCTAAGAGAGCCGGTAGCAAAAATTTCCAGCCATGAAAACAGAAACCAAATTGTCATTGCAAGCCATAAAAACAGAATTAAAGCACAGGCACCTACCTTTGCAAGCAGTGAACGACTGAAAACTTTGCTTTCTGCATAATGAGCATTGCAAAGCCAAATAGGTTGACCACTTGACAATGTTCTTCCTGGCAATCTAGCAACAATTTAGAGGAAGAATTAACAATCAGAAATTTCGATATTTTCAGTTTGAAGTGCTGAGAACAGAAACATAGAAGAAAAATTACCCTTGGCCAATGTTGAATACAAATGACATACAAACTAAGTAATACCACTCAGTATCAGTCAGATCTTCTGGAGATAATGCTGCTGAAGGTCTTCTAGCCTGAGGACTGCTGTCAGCAGCCGAGAGGGACTCGTAAAGTTCTCTCAGTTGCTCACTTCTCTGCAAACCCAGTTGGTCAGCGTTGAGCTCTACAGCTTGAACTGTTTTTCTTGTCTTTATATCTCCATTATAATAGCCATCACCCCACTCCAAGACCCTGAAGTGTTCACATTGATAGCAAACAAGATTAGGCAGAAAAATGCATTAGCAAAATACCAGATTGATAAAAGTAAATAGAATAGTTAGTAGAAGGGTCAACTTCATAGAATTTTAAAGAAATATTAGCATTTGTCATATGGAAAAGTGTATGTTAATTTTCTTCTAGAAAGGAAAAGAAGGATGGGGCAAAAATGGAACATTTTGTACCCTGGCTGTCCAGCTGAAATGGACCAGAAAATTGCATAACTCCACTGGATGTTTCTCACAGCAAGAACGAGCTGTTTCTTCAGGTTCACTGGCACTCTCTCTTGATTTTGAACCCCAGTAGCCATTTGAAAGATATCTATATTTAAAGAATTAGATATATGTACATATATATGTATTCCACCATCAATCAGATCAGATGCAAATTGATTCTTACTCTAATGGTTTCTCTTCATTCAACCACACCAGCTCCAATAAAATTCTAGAAATATCTTTGGTTGTGGAATATTCCAACCAGAGTATCAACAAAAATATGTGCTAGAGCTCAAAATCATGATCCTTTTACTCCAAAGTTGCAAAGCCAGATAGGATTGTCGCACGACTGCTCCTGTTTCCTTTACCAGAAATAACCCAGAGCTCAAAACCAACATTTTGTTCTTAAAAAAAGGCTAAAAACCTCAATATGTAATACCTAAAAAAATGGTGTTTCGGGGTAGCTATGAAGCTCGAAAACCAGAGGAAAATGGGTAGAGAAGGAAGCTGGCAATGATCATTAACAGATAAACAAGTAGGCTAGTTGCAACTAGTTTCCTGTTGTGTACAGAGTAAACAAAAAAAAAAAACTCACTTTGCTGGCTAAAGAAAAGAAGAAAGGGACAAAAATATTTATATGTTAATGTGATATCTAATTCCATTATCAAGAAATGGAAACTAATAAGTTTAATGAACAATGAAAAAGAAAATTCAAAGAAAGACTCTCTCTCTCTGATGGTGTAGGGTAAAGTAACCAGTAAGTACCCAATAAGGCACGCAAACACAGCACAGTTATTATATTCCTTTCTTTGTCTTGAAGCCCTTTTTTCAGCGAGAAGAGTTATAAAGATCTGGCTTTTCAGTTTTCTGTCTGACCCAGAATACAGAAAAACACTTTGGTCCTACAACCAGAGCGATTGAGCCAACAAAGACACTACCTTTTTCTTGCTTTGAAGTGGAAATTCTAATTATTTTGATATATATATATATATATATTCTATAAAAGAAATTATGAATCAACATACCAGCAAAGAGTCCCTCACCCAACCATACCTGTTTTAAGCATTGAGCATTTTTTTTTCCTTTTTTCTTTGAACTTCTTTAAAAACAGTTGTTTTACTTTTGTTTCTTCATATATCTATGTCTAAATTTATTTCCCATTTAAAGCTTTAGCATTAGCTATCATAAGTTTTGAACTGGGTTTTTCTTTTATATATATATATATATATATATGAAGAAAATAGCATCAGAGAGATTCTTTCGTGGAAGTTGGCTTGCTTTGCTTTGAGCCCCAGGTCATGGAAGAGAGCGAATAAAAAAAAGGGATAGAGAGAGAGGCACATGGTTCGGAAACAGGGTTTACCATTAAACATTTTAACACTTCATTGACGGTAAGATTGGTTGATAAGATTAATTAAAAATAATAAAAATTATTGTAATTATAATTGAAAAAAATTATTATAATTATAATTTAAAATTTTTTAATAAAAAAATTATATTAAATAAATATTTATTGAAATTGACATTAAAGTTTTGTTTGTTTCGTAAAAAATAATTTTTGAAAAATATTCATATTTTTTGAATTAAAATTTTTTTTATTATTTGGATGAATTAATAAAAAATATTTTTCGTTATTTTATTATTTTTTGAAAATTTTTTAAAAATTATATTAATATAACTATTAAAATATTAAAAATTATTTATTATTAAAATATATTGAAATTATTTATTATTAAAATTATTATTAATAAAAAATAATTATATTTTAATAATAATATTTAATATTAAAATATTATGTTAATATAAAAAACACCTAAAATAAAACTATTTATTATTCTTTATATTATTTATTAATATATTATAATATTATTTTGTTAATAATATTTATCAATATATTATATTAATAGTATATTATTTATTAATAATATTATTTATTAATATATTATTATTATATTTATTATTATATTATTTACTAATATAATATAATTTTATTAATATATTATAATATTTTTATTAATATAATATTATTTATAAGTAAAATTATGCTTAAAAATATTAATAAATAATTTTACTCATAAACGGCTTTTTTTGAAAAATATCTTCCCTTTTTCAAATTTATAAGACAATTTAAAAAAAAATGTCTTCATTTTTTATTGATCAGAAAGTCATTTTTCGTTAATCAATCAATTTTTCATTAGACAAACACTTAAGAAAGTGAAAATCATTTTTCAAAAGCTATTTTTCATTAAATAAATGGAATCGAAATTGATAATGTGATAAGTTCAATTACATCATACCAAATATTCGAAAGAATACAAACCTAACCTAAATCAGTCAACCTAAATGATTTCATGGGTGGTATTTGGTGAAGAATAATAAAGAAAAAAATAAGAATAATTATTATGCCATGAATGCTATATGGATTTCTTTTAAAAAATTCTCAATGGTTCCAAATCTTCAAAGCTTAAAGCAGTGAGCTCTTCAAAGCTTAAAGCAGTGAGCTATCATGTTTAATTTTTTTTACTTAGAATTAAAATGTACTTATTACAAGCTTTATTATGGATCAATTTCAACAGCATCAAATAAGTTACTTGGAAGGGAAAACCAATTCCTTAATACGGGTTTAGATCTAATTTGTTTGGTGTACAAGAAAAAAAATGTAAGGAATCATGACAGCATGAAGAAAGATTTAAGGTGCCCTTGGCCATAAAAAATTGCTAGAGTAACTGTCTGTTTTAAAGTTAAAAGGGTGATTTCAGCTAGCATGTGCTGCAAATATTTGTCAGCCTCAGCCAATAAGAGGCAGAGACAAGCCTGCTGCCTCTTAGCCAATGTGCTGCAAATTTGCTGTGATATTAAACTTAAAACAGACAGAGAAGAGAAATTTATGGAGGAAAAGGGCATCTCAATCTCTCTTATTTTTTCACACTGCCAATGAGAAAAACATGTATTTGAAATTGTTCATGATTTTCTTTAAAAACATATCTTCAAACTTTCTTTGTAAACAAACACCATTATAAAACAGGAAAAGGGTGTAAAATCAATCTACGTTTACATAGTATCAAGTTGGAGCTTTGCAATTATTAGAAGCATGTCTCTGAAAGATGCCTTGTTGTGTCTAAAACCCCCTACAAAACATCACACACTGGGGTTTTGGACAGATTTTTTTTGGCAAAGAATACTTCTTGCATCCTCGCTATCCTGCAAGATTCCTTTTGCCCCTTTTGTTCATTGTAAATTTAAAATAACCATAAAAACTTGTTGCACCTAATAAAGATAATATGCTCTTCTCTTTATCATTTAAGTTTGAATCTACTTAAAAGTTGCGAAAAGATAATTTTTCATGAATTTGATAGGTTCTACGTAAATAAACCTGCTTGAATCGATCCAAGAAAAAGATGCAAGGGGCAAAACACAATAACCTTCCCTGCTAAATAAAAAAAAAAAGCTGTGTTATAGCAGTGTCATATGGAGTATAAATCTGCCACAAACCCTAACACCTGGTCGAATATTATAGAATTATTTGGAGCATTTACCTGAGTTTTGATCAATCTGTCGGGACATAGGTCACATAGCAGCTTGAATAAGAAAGAAACCAAATTTTGGTATATATGGTTTTCAGGTTTGTTTCCTTCTATGTCTATATATAATTGGCTTTTTATTTAACTTTTTTTTTTCCAAGGCTATTCTCTGCCTTTTTTTTTTTCCTTGAGAGGCTACTTGTTATAGAATCCTCCACTATTGGTTCGTTTTCAATTTTGGAACCCCATTTCAGGCTCGCCTACTCATGCCTGCATATATACGTGGTTGCCTCTGAGCTTTTCCTTTCTTTTGGGAGAGGCTTGATAGGTTGATCCTAAATAAATGGTTTAGATTTTTACCTACTTGATTTTTTCTTTTTTTGAAAAAATTTAGTTGATGCTTAGAAGTGTTCATGAACCAGGTTTTACCATGTTTGATTAGCTTTCAGAAGGTTCAGCTCAATTCATTGAGTCTAAAAGGCTCAAAATTTATAAAAAAATGAAAAAAATTAATATTTTAATATATTTAAATATAACTTTATATTAAAAATAAATTAAAAATATTTTTATTAAAATTTTAATATCTCAAATCAAATCTGAACTTAAAAATTTTTATTCAAAGCTCGGTCCAAATAAACCTAGTTTATGCTAGAAAAATTTTTCTAAAACATTAATATTGATAAAAAAAAATGACAAATGGATTGGACAATGATTTTATCTATTTACATACCGGCATATGCTAACCTTGAAATTTATTTTGGGTTTGATTGGAATACTTATGGTTTATTTATCAGTATTCATTTTAAGTAGGAAAATATATACCACTAATTATAAATTTTATTTTATTTAATATATTTTTGACGAGTGAGATATGGATAAGCATAAACGAGAATGAATCCAAAGCAGTGTGTCCAAATGGACATAAAGAAAAACAGCCAAGTTAAATAATTTGTACGAGGATATGACTGTTAAGAGCAGCGGCATGTGATCTTTCCACTGATGTTCTGCTCCTTTGGTTGAGGACAAAAATTCATCTGCTAAAAGTTAGAGAAAATCAATGCTGCATTGGTGGAAGGAGAGGAGATCGAACTGTTCAATCACATCATCACAATCCTTTGGGTTCATAGAAATATATAATGTAACGTCGGATCGATCCCTACCAAATTTCTCTTGAAGTACGTTAAAAATTCTTGTTTGGATCCAATCATGAATAAAACACGTGAAAACACATTGGATTTTGATATGAATACCGTTGAAAATTTTGATATAGATATTTTAATGGGATTGGCATTTAGATTTGTTAGCGATTTTTAAAATAAAATATAAAAAATAATTTTATATTAAAAAATAAAAATATAGAGAGATAAATTTATTTAAAATAAATAATTTTAATTATTTAAAAACAAATAATTTTTATTATTCAAAATAAACAGTCATATTTATAACAAATGATACTTATCTATTTATAAAATACTCTTTTGATTTTTTAAAAAAACACAAAAATAATTCTTGAAATTCTCTTATTCTTTAAATTTCATATTTTTTTATAAAATTTTTGTTACGAAAAACTTATATAGAAGGTTAGTGATATTGTGATAGTCAGTAATTATTTAATAGATTAATTTTGTTAATGCAAAACATAATCAATCATTAAATTTTATTCTATCATAAAATTTATTATTTGTAACTTTTTTGTACACTTATTAAATAAATAATACAATAAGAGTAAATAAAATTTTTTAAAAAATGATACTGTTATATATTTTGAAGTTTTTTTTTAATTTTAAATTTACCAAAAATAATAATTTTAGATTTTTAATATTTATTCTAACAAATTTAACTAATGATTCAAAGAACTCAGCGCATAAAAGATGCAGTGGAATCCAAACTCCGTATGTAGTGAAGGTTCTTATACGTTAATCCACTAGCTCCCACACTTATAGGCAGACAAGGTGGCCAAAAGTCAAAAGTTTATGACAAAATATTACATGCGTTTGTAATATGGAGCAAATGC